GATGCCCAGGCGCCAGAATCTCCAATCTTGACTTGGAGAGCTCTGGCCACCTAGCCAGGGAGAAAATTTTTTGTGACTCACCCTCAGCGTTCTCAATAATCTTAGGGGCCTTGCCCTCCATAACAGCGACGGCAGAGTTGGTGGTACCTGTATTTATCAATGTTAGGATCCTGCTTGATGGATAACATTGCCGTTATAAGATGCTACTTACCCAGATCAATACCGATAACCTGGCCCTTCACCTTCTCCTCGCCACCCTCTGTGGAGTTCCATCGGCGGAAAGCAGCGCCGGGGATTCTGGAGGTAGGGGTGGTGCGAGCGAAAGCAGCGCGGGGGAGCTGTTGCGACAAAGAGTCAGTGGAAATGTTGCGACGCGTGACGAATTTTTCTCCCGGGAAACCTTACCGCGCGGGAAATGCGAGAAGGAAGCATTGTGTAATATTAAGTAAAACAAGAACTAGAAAAGGGTATTACACTCGACGACTCAATCGCAGAGTGATGAAAGGAGAAAAGGGGAAGAAGGGTTGAAGATGGAGATTGAGAAGGAGAAGGAGAAGAAGGGAGGAAGAACGGGAAGAAATTGTCGGGGAGCTTCGAGCGACCGGTCGAAGCCGGTAGAACCGTGTCCCGGGACCAATCAAGAATGCGTATCCATCACCGCCCGGCATTAAATTAAGGAGTGTACACAAAGTCAGTGATGATGCCGTCATTCTGTGGTCGATGGAAGGGATGGAATTACATGCAAAAATTGTTGTTTTGGTTTTATCTAGAACATGATACCTAACTGTGATATACGGGGTGCCTACCCCAGGGTGTCTACGCCTTGTCTCATTCTCCATGTTATTCCAAAGCAATCTGCCACCCCAAGCACCATCAGTCCAGTCAGTACATACCATAGCCTCGGGCAAATAACCTCGGGCAACCGGCGAGGGTCCCCGAACCCTTTCCTGGAGAATCGGGCCAGATTGAGATGATTCTCCCAGCTCAATGGCAATGTGTCCCTGATGCTTTCGAGCTTGGGGGATTTGGGGGTCCGTGGCCATGTGTCGTGTGACCCTCGCTCTCTTCAGTCTGTCGACCGTTGGGAAGAGGACGATAATCGGTCCGAATGTAGATGGCGGTATCAATGCTCTCCGACTGGATCGCAATGATGGCTGCTCAACATGTTCAGGTGGCCCTCTAGGGCTATCTAGGTAGGAGACTCGAGAGATCAGAGCTGAAGTTCACCTGGGCGATGTTCAATGCTGGGGTATCTATTCCCGCTCCAGGCTATGCACGAGTCAGTCGGCCATGTCTCCCCACCTGCACCTGACAATTCACTATTCACAACCATTGGTATTAACCTTTTATCTCCGACATTACCAACTGGTCCCAGAGTCAGCTTCCAGCGGATTGGGACTTGAAGCCTGAATCAGCACGACTTCATTCGCATCCGGACCCTACGTCCGCATTCGTTGGTTCCCCGGCTTTGAGCTCCAGTAAAGTATTACGTCATCCGTTTGAAAGCGCATCTGTGAGCACCTGAGCACCTTGGGTTCTGTTTCGGCTCAGGTTTTGCTCTCCGGGTTCTTCGGGGGCGCTTTGTACCTTGTGTCTTATGCTATAATCGTGCGCTTGGACGATGTCCTGGCTGAGCTAATTCACCATGACCTCGGACTCGTCCCTGTGAGTCCATCTTCCCTCTCCCGAGGTTCCGTGCTTTGCGGCGCTTCTCACACTCACGCTGTCTTAGACATCGCCCGACCGAGTCTCTCATCCTACCGAATAAGCGACGCTTCATTCCCTTCAAAATCCCGAACTTGTCTGTATCTCCGCTTCCCGCTTCCCCTCCTGGGCCCGCACTGACATCAATCTGAACAGTCATACCCAGCTTCGCCACTACATCAGCACCGCCGATCCTGATCGCATCTATGTCGTCGTCGACAGAATCGTCTGGGCCATCCACGTTTCCACTCAGTGCTCCGAGAACATAGCTGTCATTCCGTTCGAGCCGCGATGCTTGGCGGCTGGTTTTGGGTGGATCGCGGTGGGGGGCCCCGATAATGGGGAATGCGCCTTCATTAAGATCGGTGACAGCGGCATTCAGGTCCATGGCGAGACGACCTCTCACCAACACGCCGACGTGGACAGCGCGCTTCCGCTCGACCTTGAGCCGCCTTCTGGCTTGTCTTCGCCCGGTACTTCCAACGGTGCCTCGGCGCCTGCCGCTCGACGTTCGGGCCGGAGGATCTTGCCTGAATTTGAGCTTCACAAGTTCGGAGGTACCATCGTGAACTCCGTGACTATTCATCGTTTCCCAGGAAATGGACAAACCCTCTCGGATGAAGATGTGGTGGTCTTTAGGTACTGATTTAACTTGTTTGGCGTGGTGCTATGTGGCTGACATTCTTGCAGTAACAATGACCGAACTATCACCGTCTATTCGCTGACCCGCGCGAAAGTTTTGAAGGTTCTTCAACACCCAACTTGCATGAACTATGCCTCCATATCCCCCGATCATAGGCTGCTTGCTGCTGTAGGAGACGAGAACCGTGCTTATTTCTACGAGATCACGCGTGATCTCGAGGGGTTGGTGACAACGGAATCCGGCGAGAAGCTCGCCGGATTGGAATGGGACTTGGCACAATGCGTTGAAATGGATATTGGCCTGCGGGCGGATGACGCGTGCTGCTTCACCATCGCTTTCTCGCCCTCGAGTCATTTATGTGCTATCGGATCCCAGTCCGGAATTGTCACCGTTCTGGACGTTGAGATGATTCACAACACTGCGGGTGACGAGCCAACCGATTTGCCAGTTATGTGCCAATTCCCGGCCTCCCGATCTTGCCCCGAAGGAGGAGCTGTGCGCTGCATGACATTTTCGCCCGAGCCGTGGGATCTCCTGGTATGGCTCGAAGGCCATGGGAGAGCTGGAATTGCAGATGTTCGCCAGGCATTCTTGCGTCGGCAGATAATTCACTTGGACGCCGATGACCCGCAGCTTCAAGAGGTTCGCCTAGTTCCCAAGACAGACGGATATGACACTCCGAATTTTGAAGACGATGATCTGGAAGTCTCACCGCGGGTAGGGCTTGATGTCGAGGATTCTCTCAATGAGCGGGGTGGGCATGAAGCGGAACGGTCTTCCCTCCGCGAGGCCTTGATTTCGGATCTCACAGAGCGCGAGAGACTTATCATGGAATTCTTGAACACGGCTCGTTGGACGTCGAGACTAGAAGAGGGACTCACCGAGCGCCCGGAAAGACCGCCCAGAGCCACTCTTCATCCTCTCCCTGCGACGCGTTCGCGACATTACGGTTCTACAGATGGGGCCACTCGTCCATCCCGTCCTACTTCACCTCCATATCTTCATGAATCTGCTGAATTATCCCGTACCAGTCATTTGGGACGTACGCACCATCCCCGACGCCAAAGCTCCGTGGTGCTTTCTCAAGGGAGCCGATCATCTGAAGCGGGAGGTTCCAGTCAGGACCACCAGCCCAGCCTGACCCTCAGCTACACCGCATCGCCTTCCGAGTTACGATCTAACGGATCGGACGCCACGTCTCGGTTTGCCGATTCAGACCCCGCCATCCATGATACAGGCTTTCTCCCCGAGATGAGAGCACCGCCTTCACCCCCAGTGACTGGTCTCGATCTCGGTCTTTCTCCCGAGGCATTGCGTATTCTAGCCCGGTCCAGATCTACACCCCGACGACCCGAACAAGGGCAGTCCGGTGCCGAGAGGCGCTACGACACGTCACGTCTATCGAACTACGAGATTAGAGCTAATGTTGCGGCCGAGCGTCTTCGGCGCCAACGTCAGATAGCCAATGAGGTACATAACCGCTCCTTTGAACGGGAACAACGGCATCGTCAACAGCTTCTTGGTTTTGAACAGACCCATTCTCCCCGATGGATTCGAAATATCATCAATGATCTCCCGGATCGAAGCCTCGTCCCTGGCCCTGGCGCCGAAGAGCCCGACTCCACTGCAGGCGTAGGCTTTGGCGCTGATGGCAGAACACTGTAAGCTGACACATTTCCCCAAACTTTCTTTCTTTCTTTCTTGACCATTTTTTAGGTATATTGCGACCATGGAAGGAATCTTCGAGTTTTCACTCAACATTCATGATCGAAAAACATTCCCGGTATTTTCATACCGGTAATTGTCTCGGCCCCATTTTTTTCTTATCCCTTGGCTCAATAAAGCCAAAATTATCTGGCAGGGATACATTCGGACTTTTGACTTTATGAACTTTTTTAACCCTTTATGGGTCTTTTCTTTGCGGATTTCTTCAATTTCTGACTTCTGGCGTCTTTTCATGCATATGATTCGGGGCGCTCGGGGCGTACATCTCATCGGCCATTCTGTTCTTCGTTCCAAGGCTTAAGGCTTCATGCACAGATTCTTCCCGAATGGCTGATCAAGGTACAAAAGTCCAGCTACTTATTTTCTAATTCATCTATGGGACTGGTTTTGAGCGTAGAGAAAATTACAAATCTACCTCTTGTAGGTTGTGACTCAAGGAAAGGACGGTAAATGCTGGGTAGTGTATGAAGGTAAATTGGGCGAAAGACCTGTCAGTGTCATGATCCAGTGAACTTTGGATCCAAAGGTCAAGCTCAGTTTCCAAGCTTTCGGTCATGGTGAGCTAGTTCTCTTAAGGGCTTTGGTTTCTTGGACGTAGCTTCTTGGATGTCATTCTTTTTTCTCTGCATCCACCCATCATTCCTGTACAAAGGAGTTTTAGATTACATGTCTCTTTTACCTTCCGTATAACAAAGAATTCTTTGACTTGAGAGGCTGGATCGAACTAGTCAAACATAGGGCAGCGGGAAACAGGGTATTGTTGGTTCCTTAAACAACCAATTGTGCTCAACTACATAAGGCATGGAGGTCCTCTAGCAATAGCTTTCACTTACAAGCTTTCACAGTCTATCTGTATTCTAGGCATTCTTTACATACTAATGCTTCATTCGAAGGCTTTTGTTGCAAAATCAAGCTGACCTCATTCACTATGCCTTCCCCCACGTCACGCCCATCTGACTCCAAGCCATCCGATCCAAAGCCATCCAGCTTTAGGTCACCCAATGGCAAACCACCCATCTCCAAGCATTCTTGGAACTCCAAACAAGAACACAACCCTACATTTGAGCAGGATCGCGAAAGCTTCTACAAATCCCTAATGCATCGAAGCCGCCTCATCAACCGTGAACCAGAGAAGTACATGGAAATTGCACAATACCTAACCAAAGTAGCACGAGAGTTTGACAAGATAAAACAACTCGCAGATATTTCTCAAGGAAACGGACGAGACGTCCCTCTCTGCTTTCCAGCACGATGCGACATGATCAAAGAAGAAATGCAGAAACTAAGCCAAGGACTCACGAGTAGGTCCCTGCCCCCCGCTTTGGGCTCGCTATTGATCGAGATGCTCGCTATTCACTCTGGCAGATTGACTCTAGATGGCAGTAGTACTGCCGTTGACCTTTCTCAGGCTTTGGAGCGGAAGATTGGATCGAATCAATTTGATTGGAAGAGGCGGAATAAGATTGATCGGAAGGGTCAACTTATTGTTCGGTATGCCCATCAGATCTTTGTTAGATTAAACCAGGCAGTTCCGCGCTGCCAGTGTCTTCAGTGTGTTAGGCGGACACTCCCTGGTGTTACGAAGAAGGATTGATACGGAAAAAGCTAACGTATATGAGTTAGTAGGAGATTGTGTACAAATATTTAGTCTAAGGAATGTTTCGGTCTCCACCTTGAGAATACTTTTGAAAATTTTTGAATAGCTTTGTTGCGCACTTTGACACAATAGTCTCGGGAATGAACCGGCCCCCAGTAGTTTAGATTAATCAAAGATCACCCATATGGGGAGAAAGATGCAGCTAAAAGCTCGAAGTATAACATGGTAGAGAGCTCCGGGAAATACCTTGGCCCCTACTTTGCCGACTTGTGAGTGAAGCCAAGGGCTTTGTTCGACTGCAAAGAAATGTAAATATATACTCAAACTTATGTGAATGCTCTTGGATGATAAATAAGTCATTTTAGAGAGCAGACAAAGATTCGAATCCAGTAATAATATCTATTAATAATGTTTCACATTTCGACAATGCCTATTGTATCTAAGGCAGTCTGTCTCATGCATCGAAATGAAGAACAAAGGGTCTTTATGTAAGCTGGAATTTGGCGAGAGCATAATAATGATACCAAGAGTATAAAAGGCAGCTTAAGCCATGTCCTCTACCCCGGGACAACACTAATCGACCCAACTCAAAAGATCAATTTATCGAGTACCGTCCTGACAATACTATTCAAGATGGGCAAGTCTTGGTCCAGCCCCAGTATTACAGCAGCCATCATGATGAACAATAGGGCTAGTCTCGTTAATAAATTGATGCATTATAGTCGCAAGATTGACCATCGGAAAGACAACTTTCAAGAGACGGCAGAATTTCTCGCTCGATGCGCCAGCGAGCTTGCCATGGTAAGTAAGTTGGCATCAACTACCGACCAATTGTTATACCAGCAAACCGCGGCATGCTTTATTAAGAAGTGCGCGAGGCTTGAGACGGAGTTTCAAAATGTAAGCAAAGAGCTTACAGATAAAAGTTTCCCCTGTTCCCAAGGGAAAGCGTCACTGATGATTGAAATGCTCGCCGTTCACGTAGGAAGACTGACACTAGACCCATATAGTGGCAATGACAAGTATGCAATGCACATGTATCTTCGGGCAACAAAAAAAGAATATGAATGGAAGAAGAGGCATGCACGAGATGATGATACTACCTCTATGATTCGAGGGGCCTTCAGGCTCTCTTTGCGCCTGAATCAGCGAATGCAATTTTGTCCTTGCCTCCAGTGTACGATCAAACAAGACTTCGAAGAAACTTTGTAATGGTTTACTTCTCTATATGGGGTGGCTGGACAAGTACGTGATGAAAATTGACATGTGTATCTTTGCGGCGCTATCGAGTCTTTCACTTGCTGACAAGGGCTATTTGAAAAAAAAAAAAAAAAAAAAAAAAAAAAGGAAAAAAAAAGGAAAGGAACATTTTCAGTTCGGAATAAATTCGTCGTAATTGAGCTGATCGTAAGACTACTTGGTTCAAGGAGTGGCTTTCAAATTAATGCAAGTCGATAGAAATGTATCAACTAAGTAATTATAGCTACATTCCACTAATACCTCGCTCGAAACGTTGCTCTTCATCTAGGACTGCGTAGTTAGATCATCAATGCTGTCAAAAATGGTACAGTCATCGTCATCCTCGCACATAGTCGTGCGCTCGAGGTTTTTATCCACGGGCCCAGTTGGCCCACTTGAGTAGCGACACTCGGACGAGATGCAGTACTGCCCGGTCTCAATATCGTCAAGGAGCCCATCTGGATACTGCTCGTCACCCCAGTAGCCTAACCAGTTCAACCATTCAGCTGTCTCATCTGTCTCCTCAGTAGCTCCTGTTCCAGCCCCAGACGCGACGGTGAATGTACTCGAGTCAACGTCGTACAAGAAGCCCCGGTAATTGAGCGTCATATCCCATACGTAACCAGCGTCCGTTTTGTCGGAAATAATGCCCAGTGCGATAGTGTAGTCTTGGGTGCCCGCGGTAACGTAGTTGGCGTGTCCTCCGTACGCGATGTAGGTGATGGGGCGATCTCCTGAGAAGTCCAACACATCCCAGTAGTAGGCTGATCCGGCGCTGTGCTCGGAACAATAGATGGCGTACGGTTTTTCATCAACGAAACGGATCTAAAGAGTATGTATAAGATTAGGCACAGATCAAGCGTGTGAAAATTTCTGAAAGTATGCTTACCATAACGTGCTCCCAGTCACCGACGTGGTCGTCAAAGTTGATGTCCAAAACCCTGCCGAGAATTACAGATTAGCAAACCAAATGTAAATTTAGCGCGAGCAGAAGCTCGGGCACTGACTTTCCACCATAGTTGTACGAATAAAAGTAGAAGTAGAACACATCGGTCGTGGTGCTGTTCTTCTCTGCGGCAATAATAAGACCCGGAGCGGCGCTGAGGCCATCGCTGTCGGGGATGCCGTACTCCGAAAGGAGCCAGGCCGGGGTGTCATCCAATGGGTCCAGAATGGGTCCGTCAGAGGCAGTCAGATAGACATCCGAAGCATACGTGTCGAGCGTATCGAGCGTGACCGACCCGTTGGTCCCGGTAGCGACATAGTCCACCTCGGGCTCAACGTTGGCCAGATGTGTTGTGATATCAGACGGGAACCACTTCTCAATACTATAAAGGTAAGACAGGGGCGCATATGTGATAGCATAATCAGGGAGCGTGTCGCGCTTGACCAGCTTAGAACCAGCCTCCTTAAGAGGCACTGCAGCTGTGAGGCTCGCGAGCGCGAGAAAGTTGAACACTTGGTGAATTGAGGACATCCTGATGGTATGCGGTGTGTGGTATAGTGTCGCGCACCGATGCAGATTGACATGGTCGGGCAGTCGTGACTATACTTATAGTCCTTGGTCACTCCTAATACAGCCTACATTCGTGAGGACATCGTGCCGGGATGTGACCATCCCAGCTGGGACATATTCCCGGGCTAGTGCCTGTGAATAGTCAGTGGTTTCTATGCTTGACGCAAGTGGCAGAGCTTAGCATCTTCAGGGAATGTGCCATCAGGCACAGGCGGCGGGATAGGGCTGGTGTGGACCACGTGGACCGGGTTTGAGGGGGCATCGAACTACAATAATTGATTGAAATACACATTATCGCTAGGGGTAAGAACCAGTCAGATCAGCCTGTGGGCTAGCGTGCAGCATTTGATAGGTCAGCATGTAGTTCTGTGCGGTCGTCAGCATAAGCTGCACCGTGACCTGCTCAAGTGCCGCGATATTATTAATGTAACCCGGCACGGAGTAGCCTAATCCTAATCGATACACAAGCAACCTCTTAACCCGATGCTGACTAGCCAGACGCGTACTCTTACAGGAATAAGACTCTTAAGCTTGGGGAATTCTCAAGGGCTCGTTGCAATATCATACCGTTAGCGATGGAAATTACTCGTGCGAGACCGGCCAGAAGCTAAGGGCACATGGGAACCCAAGTGCCCCGGAGAAGATACCTACATACATCATTAGTAGTTGCCAATATGTCCAATATAGTCAACATCATTTTTTTTCCGCCGTTCTTCCAATTCTGCACCCCAAAAAGCACTCATCTCTTCTAGCCTATTCAGGCAAGATTTATATCCCAATTATAACATCAGAGCTATCTTTGGTCATGGTAGAGGCATCTGCTTAGACAACAAACGTGTGATAATATATAGACAGACAGGCTTCATGAAGAATGAGGAGGTCAGAGAAATTTTCATGCCGCAAAAGACTTAATATTGATCATCACTTGTTGATCCGCCATGATTCCATAGAAAGAGCCCCACACGACGTCAATCCTCTCATTCTGCCATTGCACACCGCCATCTACCAAGCTCCGACAAGCGAGTTCATGTCAACGCCCAGTCCGCCTTTCTATTGTGAGACTTTTCCTCTGTTCTCCAGACAAGGGACATACCCTTGGAATATCACATACATCAGGCACTGACGTGTGCAGTCACGCAAAACGCAGTGATTGCGTCGTGGGCGCCAGACACACATCGTCGTGGGGTGTGTTTCCCGAACTGAACCCGATAAATCTACGATCTGACAACACCCATTGCACGTTCATTCCTACCATGGCTGAAAACCTGAGCTCGGTGTTGGAGCGCCTGAGCCTCAACACCAAGGATGCAGACCCAGAATTGCTCGCGACCCGGCTTGCAGAGGAGGAGAATGGTACTCTCAAGAACACCAGGCCTCGCAAGCAAACTCGAAAGACCACAGAGGAGCTGCTAAAAGAGCTGGAAAATGATTTCCTGGCTCCGTCATCTCGATTCAGCCCAAAGTGGTTGAATCAGCTACAAAAGTAAAGCCAGTCCAGTCGAGTTTGGAAAAGACAAGGTGCTGACATTGTTGCAGGCGATGGGATGTGTCGACCGACTCCACCGACCTTTTTGAGATTGCACCCACCCAGACACGAACGGTCACACGATTTTCGCGAGAAGGACTGGAAGGACGAGTGACTGGATACCACGAAGTGACGGTTCCAGCTTCAAGCATCAATGCCAAGAACTCGACATCGCTTCTTCGCCGACCTGCAGGCCGCGCAGAGTTTGTTCGAGGTGCTGCTGGATTTTTTCCTTTCGCGCCTGGCGGCCTGGAAGGTGTTCAAGCTATCGCTGATATGGAGGAAGACCCAGAGTCCGCGGACCCGTCGCGAAGCGGTGGAAAACAGGCCGGTCTGGACCGGATTATCAACTTCGGAACTGAGGGAGGCCTTCTCACAACACCTCCCGGCTTTAGTCGTGGTTTCGACTTCGCAGAGGCTAAGTCCAAAGAAGCTGCCGATGAAGATCAAGAAGTAGAGCATACCCTTCAGGAGGAGAGCGAGCTTAAGACTGATGAGGCCGAACGCATGCCCGAAGCCAAGGGCCAGACACTGGCCGAGGATGATGACGAGATTAGTGACGAGGATGCCGAAGACATCGATGCTCTGTTGCCTGTGGAATTCCCTGCACTCGAACCACGCAACCCACTGCTCCTGGGTATCCAGCAACAGAAGGGTAAGGAGTGGGCCCATGTGGTCGATGTCAACAAGGAAATCACAAACTTCAGTGACCTGGTTCCAGACATGGCCAGGGAATGGCCGTTTGAGCTGGATACCTTCCAGAAGGAAGCGGTCTACCATCTCGAGAATGGTGATTCCGTGTTTGTTGCTGCGCATACTTCAGCAGGAAAAACTGTTGTGGCTGAATATGCCATTGCCTTGGCATCTAAACACATGACGAAGGCCATCTATACATCGCCCATCAAAGCACTTAGTAACCAGAAATACCGTGACTTCCGCAACGAGTTCGATGACGTTGGTATCCTCACGGGTGATGTTCAAATTAACCCCGAGGCGAGCTGTCTCATCATGACCACAGAAATTTTGCGAAGTATGCTGTATCGAGGCGCAGATCTCATTCGAGATGTTGAATTTGTCATTTTTGACGAAGTCCACTACGTCAATGACCTCGAGAGAGGTGTGGTATGGGAGGAAGTCATTATTATGCTTCCGGAGCATGTTACTCTGATCTTACTGTCCGCGACTGTACCCAACACCCAAGAATTCGCATCCTGGGTTGGCCGCACGAAGAAGAAGGATATTTACGTGATCTCCACTCTGAAGCGACCCGTTCCCCTGGAACACTATCTTTGGGCCGGAAAAGAGAAGTTCAAAATCGTCGACAACACCAAGCATTTTCTTGAAGGCGGCTGGAAGAAAGCAAATGATATCATGTCCGGCAAAGATGCAAAGTCGAAGAAGGAGGCTGAAGCCGCGGCCCAGGGACAGTCCCAGCGCGGCGGACCCCAGGGACGAGGACGTGGTGGTCAGGACCGAGGCAGAGGTGGCGCTCGCGGCAATGGACAGCGTGGAGGTGCCCCACAAAGAGGACGAGGAGCTCCCTCCAATCGCGGCCAAGGAAACATTGCTCGCACTGGGCGTGGAGGCGGCCGAACGAGTGCTCAGCAAGATCAGAATCTTTGGGTCCACCTGGTTTCCCACCTTCGCAAGGAGGATCTTCTGCCGGCCTGTATCTTCGTCTTCTCCAAGAAACGATGTGAGCTGAATGCAGATGCTCTAGCTAGACAGGACTTCTGCAACGCTTCAGAAAAGAGCTTGATCCACATGTTCATCGAGAAGTCGCTCACTCGACTCAAGCCTGAGGACAGAGCACTTCCACAAATCCTCCGGCTCCGTGAACTCCTGTCAAGAGGTATTGCTGTGCATCATGGTGGTCTCCTGCCTATCATGAAGGAAATTGTCGAGATTCTCTTTGCCAAGTCTCTGGTCAAGTGTCTCTTCGCGACTGAGACATTTGCCATGGGTCTCAATCTTCCGACCAGAACGGTTGTATTCTCTGGATTCCGCAAGCATGACGGCAAGAGTTTCCGCGATCTGCTGCCAGGCGAGTACACCCAAATGGCTGGTCGTGCAGGACGTCGAGGTCTCGACAAGGTAGGCTATGTGATCATCACAACCTCTGGCCGAGATGAGGCCCCGCCAGCCGGTGCCCTGAAGAAGATGATTCTCGGAGACCCCACCAAGCTCCGATCTCAGTTCCGTCTCACGTACAACATGATGCTGAACCTTCTGCGTGTGGAAGCTCTGAAGATCGAAGAGATGATCAAGAGAAGTTTCTCTGAGAATGCAACCCAAGCCCTTCTTCCGGAGCATGAGAAGCAAGTCCAGCTGTCCGAAGCTAGTCTGGCTAAGATCAAACGTGAGCCCTGTGAGACTTGTGACCTTGATCTGGCAGCTTGTCACGAGGCTGCTATGGAGTATGAGAGACTCACGAATGAGCTGCATGTTGGCTTGCTGTCTTCGCCGGTTGGTAGGCGGCTTTTCTCCGTCAAGAGGCTGGTAGTTTATCGGAAGGTTTGTTCATGATTCGGCCATTTTCTTTACACGATTTTTCTGACCCTCATCTAGGATGGACTACGCACTGCCGGAGTTCTCGTCAAAGAGGGAGTGACGGGTGGTAATATGCCATGCATCCAAGTGCTCGAAGTTGGCAGAATTACCAACAAGCGCCACCCGAGTGACATTCTCCCATTCCTGCCCATGTTCAGATCGTTCTTCCAGCAGTTACCTGCAAAGGCTGCGTCAATGCACCTCAAAGTGCTCAAGATCCCGTTGTCGGACCTGGAATGTGTGACGAACATGCAAGTTAAAGCTGGAGGGCCGATTTGGTATTTGAATATTAGGAAAGGTACTGACAACCCCTCTCGCTAGTGGAATCATTTTCATCATACTAAGCTCATACCCCAACGCAGAGGCCATCAAGTTCGGCGAAAAGGAACTAACCAAATACACCTCCTCCTGGACCCAAGATTCGTGGGATGAGATCGACTGGTCGCGGATTAAGGAACTGCAAGTACGAGACATCCTCGATAAGCGAAACGCCCAAGCCCAGACTGCACAGTCATGCCACTGTTTGCAGTGCCCTGAGTTCTTGAAACATGTGAGTGAATTTATCTCGCAGGGCATTGGTGCCAGTCACTGATCAATTTGCAGTTCGAGATGCAACATGACGAATGGCAGGTGAAGGAGAATATTTCACAGTTGAAGCAGCTGATGTCCGATCAAAACCTGCAACTGCTGCCGGACTACGAGCAGCGTATTCAGGTTCTGAAGGAGCTAGGCTTTGTTGACGACCAAGGCCGCGTGCAGTTGAAGGGCAAGGTGGCTTGCGAGATCCACTCAGCCGACGAGCTGGTTCTGACCGAGCTGGTTCTCGAGAACGTTCTTGCCGAGTACGAACCCGAAGAAATCGTTGCGCTACTCTCGGCGTTTGTCTTCCAGGAGAAAACCGAGAGTACGCCAACACTCACCCCTCGTCTGGAGAAGGGTCAACAGGCCATTATTCGAATTGCGGAGAAGGTCAATGATTTCCAGATCAAACACCAGGTGATTCAGTCTACCGAGGACTCCAATAACTTTGCCAGTGAACCCCGATTTGGCCTGGCCGAGGTGGTCTACGAATGGGCCAAGGGCATGTCCTTCAACCGCATTACCGATCTTACGGATGTGATGGAGGGAACTATCGTTCGCACGATCTCTCGACTGGATGAGACATGTCGCGAGGTGAAGAATGCGGCTAAGCTAATTGGAGACCCGACTCTCCATACCAAGATGCAGCAGGCCCAGGAGTTGATCAAGCGCGATGTGATTTTCGCGGCATCGCTATACATGTGAAGAGACTCCAGGGCTGAGGGCCCAAGGCTGAATGTGGGCCATATCGGGTTACTCTCTGCATGTCCATTGGGCATCCCCCACCACAGAGAATTCATGATTATGCCACAAAAGAAAGAGATGAATACAATGAAAGATATCGATCATCATCGCCTTGAAATGTAGAACCGTCAAAATTCAAGCCTCAAAAACAAAGATAAACAAAGATCCGACGGAAATCACTGTGCGGCCGCTGATTAGCTGCGGGGCGACCGCCCGCGAAAATCCCAAAGAATTTCAATTCTTCCCCTCGTACACTTTTTTAAACCCACTGCCACGGACTCTGTCCTTACTCTCTCCCTCACTTCTAGCCCCGGTCTGTCTTCCTCGGGGGTTCCTTGGAGTTTTTCTTTTCTTTTTTTTTGGGCTTCTGTTCCTGGCGGGGTGCCTAGGTCAAGATGGACGTCACGGTTCTCCGAGACCGCGTCCAGTCAACGCTAGATGCGAACACAAGTACTCGTCAACAAGCCGAGTTGGACCTGAAATATGTATGTGCTGGGCCTGGTTAGTGGTGACTGGATCTCAAAAACTTACACTCGGGGGGCCTTTCCCCCATGTCTAGGCCGAAACTCAGCCCGGATTTATCAATGCGCTGCTGGACATTCTGCAGGGCGAGCAGAACAACGCTGTTCAGCTATCTGGTAGGCGCTATGATGTATCCTCGGTATTCTATCGCACTGTGTGGCTAATCAAACCCCTCCCCCCTCTCTAGCCGGTGTGTACCTGAAGAACCGCATCAGCCGCGGATGGGCCCCAATCGACGATAGCCCTCAGCGTGCCCCTATCCCCGAGTCCGAGAAGCCTGGATTCCGCGAGCGACTCATCCCCGCACTGGCGTCGACCCCTCCCAATGTCCGCGCCCAGCTGGTCCCCCTCCTCCAAAAGATCCTGCAGAACGATTTCCCCGAACAGTGGCCTGGATTCCTGGATCTCACCCTTCAGCTGCTCGGTACCAACGATGCGAACCACGTCTACGCCGGTCTCCAGTGTCTGTTGGCCATCTGCCGTGTGTACCGATTCAAGGCCGGAGAGAAGCGGGAGGAGTTCGACAAGATTGTGGAACACTCCTTCCCCCAGCTGCTCAGCATTGGTCAGAAGCTCGTCGATGAGGAGAGCCTGGAGGCTGCGGAGATGCTCCGTATTGTCGTCAAGTCGTATAAACACGCTATCTACGTGAGTGCCTCTGATTAATAGATGGCAACCCTAGGAAGAATTGGCTAATCCAGTCTCTAGTTCGAGCTTTCGCCCGCTCTCCAGACTCACCAGGCTACCGTCGACTGGTGTACATTGTTCCTGCGAATTATCGCCAAGACCGCTCCGGCCAACGCCATGGGCGAGTCCAAGGAGGAACGTGAGATGAACCACTGGTGGAAGTGCAAGAAGTGGTCCTATGCCAACTTGAACCGTCTTTTCATCAGGTAGGCTATCGCTTATACTCCGCGTTGTGTCGAGATCTCCCGTTTAGAGTCGATATTCTAACCCCCACCAGATACGGAAACCCCACTACAATCACGAAATCCTCCACTCCCGATTATACCCCGTATGCGAAGACCTTTATCAGCACTTTCGCCCCGGAAATCCTCAAGGGATATCTGCAGGAGATTGACAAATGGGTCTCCAAGTCGCAATGGCTCAGCAACCCCTCCCTTTCGTATACTTTGGTCTTCATGGAGGAGTGCGTCAAGCCAAAGGCGATGTGGGACCACCTCAAGCCTCACATGGAGAACCTGATCGCGCACTTCGTTTTCCCCATCCTTTGCCAGTCGGATGAGGATATTGAGCTGTTCGAGGAGGATCCTTCGGAATATCTCCACCGCAAGTTGAACTTCTACGAGGAAGTTTCCGCTCCCGATGTCGCTGCCACGAACTTCCTGGTCTCTCTCACCAAGAACCGCAAGAAGCAGACCTTCTCGATTCTCACCTTCGTCAACTCCGTTGTCAGTAAGTACGAGTCCGCTCCTGAGGACCAGAAGCAACCCCGTGAGAAGGAGGGTGCTCTCCGCATGATCGGTTCTCTCGCCTCCGTCATTCTGGGCAAGAAGAGCCCCATCGCCGACCAGGTCGAGTACTTCTTCGTTCGCCACGTTTTCCCCGAGTTCCGCAGCCCTCACGGCTTCCTCCGTGCCCGTGCTTGCGACACGCTGGAGAAGTTCGAGCAGCTTGACTTCCAGGACCCCAACAACTTGATGGTGATTTACCGCAACATTCTGGAGTCGATGACCGATCCCGAGCTGCCCGTCCGAGTTGAGGCTGCCCTTGCCCTTCAGCCGCTGATCCGCCACGATGTCATTCGCACTTCTATGCAGCAGAATATTCCCCAAATCATGCAGCAGCTTCTCAAGCTGGCTAACGAGGTCGACGTTGATGCTCTGGCCAACGTTATGGAGGACTTCGTTGAGGTCTTCTCTGCTGAGCTCACTCCCTTCGCTGTTGCCTTGAGCGAGCAGCTACGCGACACTTATATGCGCATTGTTGGCGAGCTTTTGGAGCGCAATGCTACCAAGGGTGGTGACGACGACGGATATGGCGACTTCCTCGATGACAAGAGCATCACCGCTTTGGGTGTTTTGCAGACCATTGGAACTCTGATTCTCACCCTGGAGAGCACCCCCGATGTGCTTCTGCACCTTGAGACCATCCTGATGCCCGTCATCAGCATCACTTTGGAGAACAAGCTCTACGACCTTTACAACGAGGTCTTCGAAATCATTGACAGCTGCACTTTCGCATCCAAGTCCATCTCCCCTACCATGTGGCAGGCCTTCGAGCTGATCCACAAGACTTTCAAAGCCGGCGCCGAGCTGTACCTCGAGGACATGCTGCCTGCTCTTGACAACTACGTCTCTTACGGCTCCGAGATGCTGGTCCAGAACCCGGCTTACCTCGGTGCCGTTGTCGGCATGGTCGAGGACATCTTCCGTGACGAGAAGGTCGGCGGTGTTGACCGCATCTGCGGCTGCAAGCTCGCTGAGACCCTCATGCTCAACCTCCGTGGTCACATTGACCAGTACATCCCGCTCTTCATTGAGTTGGCCATGGCTGTCATTGATGCTGGCGAGGCCCGCACCAAGTCTTACCGCATCCACCTGATGGAGATGATCATCAACGCCATCTACTACAACCCTCTTCTCAGCCTCCAGGTCTTGGAAGCCAAGGGCTGGACCAACAAGTTCTTCAGCACCTGGTTCTCTAGTATTGACAGCTTCCGCCGTGTCCACGACAAGAAGCTGTCCATTGCCGCCATCAGCTCGCTTCTAACCATGAAGGCCGAGACTGTTCCCCACAGTGTCCAGCAGGGATGGCCCAGATTGTTGCAGGGTGTGACAAGACTCTTCCAGACCCTGCCCGCTGCTATCAAGAGTGAGTTTCCGGTTTTCTTTCCTTTCTTTACACCTTTGTATCCTACTAACAATTTTATAGTGCGCGAGGATGCCACCAAGGAGTCCGACTTCACGCTCGATGACGATGTTGAGGATGATGACGAGGAGAACGACTGGGATGGCGAGGTTGAGTGGAACGAGGAAGAGGTTGAGGAGGCCCTTGAAGGCGACGTCGCCGACGAGAGCGCTGCCTACCTCGAGTTCCTGAACAAGGAGGCTCAAAAGTTCGGCTCTTTCGCTGATGATGACGATGATGAGATGGACGAGGAGTCCCTCCTCGAGACCCCTCTGGACAAGGTTGAGCCCTACGGCATGTTCAAGCATGTCTTCCTGAGTAAGTCATCGTTACAATCATTTCCAAGTAAATTCCATCTAACAACATCCACAGGCCTGCAGCAAGAACAGCCCCAGCTCTACGACAGCCTAACCAAGGTCCTCGGCCCTGAGGAGCAGCGGATCATCGAGTCCGTCTTCCACGAAGCCGATGCCAAGGCGTTGATCGCCGCCGCCAACGCCGAGGCTGCTGCTGCAGCGGGCATTCCGACCAACGGCCAATAAACCAAATTGACGCCGTATCGCATTGAACAGGATGTCACAGTCATCATGTCAGGTCATTTGGGATTCTCATCTTTTCATCCTCACGAGACATATGCCCATTTCATGTCTTTCCACCTTGTTTAGATCATGCCCGCTTTCTCGTTCATATCTGCTCATGTCTGTTTTCTCTTTTTTTTTTAACCCATTTCCTTGTCATGTCCCCCCTGATGTGCTCCCAAAAGTCTCTACCGCCCTATGCCCCTCCCCCTTCTAATCCGCCTCACTGCACAGATTCCCCAAGACCTAGTCGCCGAATGATATAGTACATCAGCCACGCAAACAATACTGTTTTCATGTCTTTTCCAAATTGTAGACTGCCCTTCTAATAATAGCAACGCTGTTCTCGAATCACACTCACTAGAATTCAAGGTCTGGGTTTGTATCGCGCACGTGACCGTCATGACATGATGTCATAGTAGACTGGCAAGCCATTCACCGTTCGCATTGCAAGGCAACTCAACAGGAATAAGATTACAGTATGTGGAGGTTGACTCCACAGGTGCCAAGGTCGCGCTGGATTGGAAACCAGCTGCAATTGTCTGTGGTTTGAAACGTCATCATGATGAGACATCCAGACTGTCCGGTTTGAGGGGTGGTCACGTCAGATGAGTAGAGACTCTTCTTTAAATGAGAGCTTCAAGTCAAATCCTTCCTCCATCCACTCTCAGCATTCAAAACATCTCGAATTTGCCATACTTTAAATCCAAGGCAAGCTATCTACGTGGTAAGTGTATACCTCGCCACTTGTTTCTAGGTTTTGGATCTAACACCAATTAGTGCAGCCACATCACTCACCTTTCACCTTACTCGAAAACTACCACCATAATGTCTGCTCCCTACCCCGGTCGCCAATCCCCACCTCCGGAGCGCCAATCTGGTGCTCAGGGCAACGACCCTCCCGCCAGCGGCAAGATCGGAAACTCATCTGTTCGCCCCGGCCCAGAATTCGGTCAGCAAGAGTCGGACAAGTCTAAGGCACATGGTCTTGAGAGCAACCCCACACATCCGCTGGAGAAGTTGGAAGAAGCCAAGTACCATAAGGGAACTGGGAATTAAGCTGGAGTTTCATTATGATAATTAGCATACCCACTCTACTTTGAGAGGAAAGGAAAATCATCACGGCTTATTGGAATAACATCAGATAATGAAATCATGAGTTTACATTTACAAATGCACAAAATGTATGAAAGGAACTGTGTGCCAGTAGCATGACAATTTTATGTCCATTTCCTCCGTGTATTAAAGTAACAGGAAAAGCAAGTGTTGGAATCAAATCACGGTAAGCGTAACCTCGTCATAGCAAAATAAAAGCGTCTTATTGCATCGCAGCGGTATCATCATCGCAAGGAAAAAGGGTAAACAGCATTTAATAAGCATAGACATGAAGAATGCGAGCCAGCACAAGTTATCTATGCCTTAGGCTCAGCAGGGGGAGCAGCACCAGCAGCCTCAGCGACAGGAGCCGAAGCCGGGACAACACCAGCAGTCTCGCCAGTCGTAGCAGACTCACTCTTACCCTGCTTCAGATCGGCAAGACGACGAGCCTCGTTGTGGATATCGCGGACCTGCTTATCGGTCTGGGAGTAAAACTCAAGGAGCTTACGGCCGGAGGGGTGCTCGAGGGCCTTCTCGAAGTACGAGTGCAGGCTGCTCCAGCCGGTCTGGGCCTTGCTGGTGATCTGGTAGCTCTCATCGAGGCCCTTGGCGCGGTCGGTGGCGCTGAATTTCTTGTCGAAGTTGCTCAGGACGGAGGTGAAGCGGTTGGAGAAGCCGTGCTTCTGGTCCAGGGCGATGGCCTTCTGGATTGCGTTGTCGCTGACCACGTAGCCTTGGGCGAGGTACTCGGCAACAATACGGGAGCGAGGCTTGTCCTCCTGGGAGAGCTCGTCGTCATCTTCCTTCTCGGTGTTGGCGGTGGCCTTCTCGCCGGCAAGGTCGTCGATGTTAGAGGCGGACTCGACGTGGACGGAGGAGCTGCCCAATTGGGTCTGGTCTAGGAGCAGAGCGGTCTTAGCGGCGCTGTTCATGCAATGTTAGATATGGTGTGATCCATTTTTGAGGATGCGTGCGATTGAGGGGCAGCATCTTGAAACGCGGGTGCGGGGTAGCTTACGCTTGCTTCTCGAAAGTGACGCTGGCGGACTTTTGGGCGTCGGCCTCGGACGAGACAGGGGTGATGGACAGAGAGACGATCTTTCCGCTGTTCAAGTAAAGCTGTTAGGAGTGTCTTGGCCTGCAGCGGGGGAGCTGGGAGCTGGGAGCTGGGTTGGTTCATACCAGAAGCTGAAGAAGTCGCGAACGTCCTTCTCGGAGGTTGCGGGGGCGATGCCCGAAACGTGGACGGTAGACTGGTTAGACATTATGAATGAGAAGAGCACGAGGATGGCAAGTAAAATCGGGTGTGTTTAGAAGGGGGTTAAAGAGGGAAACTTGATCTAGTCAGCTATTTATCTGTCGCAACTGCGCCACAAGTGACGTAGAGCGGGGCTGCACCGCCGCGTATGACTATAAACACTAAACTTGCTCGGGAGACCAATGGCCCAACGGTTGTTTTGCAAAGTGTCTGCCTGCAAACTCTGCCCTAAAAATAACATGTGAAAAGTAAACTGCCCCTGGCAGATAAAGAAAATGAAAAAAAGGTCCCCTCTTCACTCGACTGGCGATTCCTTCTGCTGTTTCAGTGTGTTTTCCAGCTCCCGCACACGGCGCCGTAGCTGCTCATTCTCCCGTTTCATGGATTCCAGCTCCGATCGATGAATAGTAGCCTCCTCGTACCGCGCCATGGAACTTGAGCCGCTCGACAGTCCGAGATGAGTCTGTGAGACAGAGCTTCGATGCGGATAGATCGATGGGCTGCCGTAGTGAGATAGCGGGTCACCGTGGGGATATTGTGAAGAGGGTAGAGATCCGACGGATGGGCGACGAGAAGTCACAGATGGTTCGCGGCTCCGAATTGTGCGAGGCAGGGCATGCTCTGTTGATCGCGATGGATGGCTAGTGTCGCGAGACGGGGCAATCCCGCTTACGCTCGCAGCTTGGGCGCTCTGGGCTGCAGGGGTATGAGAGCTGAGACTGGACGACGATCGCTGTCGTCGGGAGACGTGGGAGGTGGTGGAGCTGCCCAACGACGGGGATGCGTGTAGCCCGTCAGGCTCAGTCAGATTTGAGGCGGAGGATGCCGTGGAATTCACGGATACAGTCTGTTGGCGAAGAAGGGAGAGCTCTCGGGTCAACCGGTTGACCTATAGTTGTAAATGTCAGTCTCGTCATAATTCAAATGTCATGAGAGATAGTATCCCACCATCGCCTCCTGCTCCTTCTCCAGCACCAAATGAAGATCCGAGGGTGTAAGTGGTTTCGGGTGTCGCAGCGGCCCTGCATTAATTAGTCTCGGGGTCAGGAACAAATCTCCGTATGGTCACATACCTTGCGCCGTGCTGGTAATACCCGGCTCACTGGTCCCGAGCGGGGGACTGGTAGCTGCCATACTGGCACCTCGAGTGTGTCTAGGTGAAGGTGGCCCCATGGTAGGCAACATCGTGGGTAATACGGAAGTAGCAGCACGAGGCCGACGTGTGGACGTGAGATCGGGGGCCATAGCTAGAAAGTTAAGGAAAGGCAAGCTCCTCTGAACCTGCAGAAGGCATGTGAGAATCAAAGGAAGCAGCGGGCAGCGAACTATAAGCGTTTCAGGGCTGGGCAGGTGTGGCTCAGAACAATAACCGTGGAAACCCCTAGATCGGAATGCGACGAAACATTCCACTGCGACTATGGGATGAGCTCTTTTGACGTAGACAGGCGCAGGGGAGTCTCTCAGTGAGGGGAGAATCATCCCGACCCCTGATAACACAGGATTGCCGTGCTATTGGGCCGTGCGGGTAATGTGCAGATAGAAGGTACGTACCTAGCTGCCGACGCAGGGAATATATAACCAGAGCCAATATTAAATATGGGTGCATTCCTAACGCTCATCTATCATACGATCAACATAGCTATGAACGTCGGAGCCATCATGAACCGCAATGTCTATGACGTCCTTGGATTCGCCTCGTTGATCTACCGAGTGTAGCTCATCGTAGCACCTTGAGTGCTCGGGCCTCTCAGGCAGGAAACTGATGTCTCAACTGTGGAAGATCGTAGTAGCTTATAGATGCAGTACAGCCTCGATATATATCGATCTGACGAGTATACTTGGCTAGGCATCAGCTCCTCGCAGCAAAACAATAAACGTTCGTAAAACCCGACAATCCATCGAATAAGCTCATTAAGCTCTGTTTGATCTACACTTGGGGTTACATAATCGCGCCCAAAACGGCAAAACAACAACGGGGAACATTGCGGAGTTGTTATTTACGATTTACGTTTGAGCCAACCCAGAGACCCGCGGGAGTGGCCTCACTCCGTCACAGCCTCAACTCTCACCATTCTACTCTCTGCCAATGACAACATGACCCGGCCCTATGACCCTCTTATCCACATTCCACCCTTTGTGAAACCTGTCGCTCCTTACGTCAAACCCCGTCAGGAAGCCCTCCGCATCCGCCAGGCATTGACGTTGTACCTGCGCTCGCTCATCGTCTTCGACGATGCAAATCTCCCGAACCACACCCAGTCTCACCTTGCCCTCTGTGCGCCCACCGATGCCATTGCGGACGTCAAACCCATCCCTGCCGATCTCACGGGGCTCCGCAAAGAATACCTGCAGGCGCTTCAGGCCAATGTCGCAGCGCGAAAGGGGCTCCGGGCTGTGTCTGAGGACGTTGCCTCTCTGAGGCGTCAGCGGACGCCCGCTACCCGCCCTGCTGAATTCGCCGAGCCGCAGGAAACCGGCGCGGACCTGCGAGATTATCTCCTACTTCTGCGCGATCGACGGCGGCATGCCAAATTACAAGTGTTTCAGGATTATCTGGAACAGCTGGAAGGGAAAAAAGAGATCGAACTGAAAGGAATCGGGGCTGGAGAGGATCAGAGCCCGCAACTGTTGCCTAAGGGCTTGGAGGCAGATGTGTCTGGTCGGAGTGACACCGATACAGACTTAGAGGCACTGGTGCACAAGCTTGAAAGAGCAGTGCTGCGCTCCCGGAAACAATTGGACCGAGAGAAGCAGTTATTCGAGAAAATCAAAGCCCAGCATGGTTCAAGGGGCAGTGCGGCCTCAAGCGAGATCTCTGCAGCTATGAAAGCTCGTGCGTTACAACGCACACGGGACGAACTGGTTCAATGGGTTGAAGAACGGCTGATCATCGAGGGAGATCCGGACGAAAGTATAGTGCAAGACCTTCCCCCGGAAGAAATCGAAGAGGCTCAGCGTGTACTGGAGCATCAAAAGATGCAAATCGCCGAGCAATACACTGCCTATCTCCATGCTCGACGAGATCTTCTTGAGGCCGCCTCCAGAGCCTGTCAACCTGTGACAGTGACCTCAAAGCCTCCAACTCGACCAGTCAGAACCGAATTTGCTTCTGAAGAAGTACAACCGCCCAATGGGTTGGACGTGGTATCGTACGCAGCCGATAACCTTGTACCGCTTTCCAAGAGCCAGAAGGCCCTGGCTCTTCAGAAGTCTTATCTGTCTGGACTGCTTTCCAAGGAGAAATCTACAACTCTTCGGACCCTGAACCGTTTGAGCCATGAAAGCCATCTCCTTCCCGAGTACCCGATTCTCGCACGACAGCCGCGCTTCAAGCACGCTGTCGCCGCCCTCAATTCCCGCACTTCCTCACAGTCTGATCAAACCCCACCAGATGAAGTAGTGAGCCTTGCGGAAGCATGGGCATTTGCCTCAAATGCGGCGGGAGGACACGAGCGAGACTACGTACAGCAAAAGATCATATTGGGCAATGAGGTGGCACAAGACGCACGAAGAACACTAGAAGATGTATACGGCACCCTAAACCAAGACCTGAACGAGGTCATTGGCGAAGCGGAGCCCGAGCTAGCGTCAGATATCTGGGCCTCCGAAGCTCGCTCCACGAGAGGGGTTACGAACGCCACTGCGGCCCGGCTAGAAAGGCGCCCGAGAGGTCCTTGGTCTGGATTGAATGGGCGGGTTGGAGTGGAATAATGAGCTAAGATGTGTAATTCGTGCTGTGCACAGATAGATCCATTCCAGTGCAGAGCATCAAACTCAATTGAGATAGCCTCCTGGTGATGCTTGTCTAGATGCTCCTAGCGGTTTCACTAAGTCAACGCTAGACTACGTCACACACAAAAGGAATTCAGTCCACGGGGTCCCGGCATAAAATTATCTCGTAAGGTGAACGTCGAGTGTAGATCATTTGCAGATAAGAGCGGCGGGTCTTTAGTGCGACCGGCAAGCTTCCGGCATCGGACTCCCACGCTGATGCCTTCTCATAATTGTCTATGAAGCCCTATACTGCAAGTGCGATTCTGGAAGTGTATACGCCTCGACATTACCTTTGTAGTTACTTTCTTTATGGACCCTCTGACTCATAGGAGTCTTTAAAAATTGAACTATGTAATTTCGGCTGCCCCAGTTTACCCACTCTTCAGGGAATCTATTGACCCGGGTAAACTGCTCCGAATTGACTCATCCTCGAAGCATGAAGGAAAAAAAAAAAAAACAAAACCTTGTCTCCGCTCTTCCCCGTGACTCTTTTTTTCTATTGCAACTCATCTGCTTTCCCCTCATCTGTATCTGCTATACTCGATTGCTCGAGGTCCCCATTATCTTTTTTTCTGAGAGAAAAGTGGATCCTTTACGGTGAAGGGCACGAGCCAATTAGCGACCCAGTGGGGGAAAAAAGAACCTCCGAGTCGGAGAGTCATCTTCTCTGCTCCCCAACCATTTCCACTTTCAGCAATTGAACTTCTATCTTCTCCGCTACAAGCGGCGCAATGGTTCTTGCTGCTCGTTGTGGGCAGGCGGCGTCTCTGCTGCGCCAGCGATGCCTCGCTGAGGCTCGTCCGGCCCTCTCTCTCCGCGCTTTCTCCAACACCGTTCGCACCCCGGCCACCACTCTGCGCCTGCAGAAGTTCGCTTCCCCGGCTCGCTCCCAGCAGCTGCGCGCTTTCTCCAGTGCTCTGAGCCGTCTCGCTGAGCAGAAGCCCGATGCCGAGTCCTATCTCGCTAGCGGTGTCCTCAAGCCCAGCAGCAACCTTGTCGATGTCAAGAAGGTTCTGGTCATTGGTAGTGGTGGTCTGAGCATTGGCCAGGCTGGTGAATTCGATTACTCCGGTAAGTCGAGAGAGATCAACTGGAGCCCCGGACAGTCGTGGAGGCTGAGGTCCCTTGCGGACTGAGGCACACGACTCGCTCCGCGGGAAGCATGCAGAGAGCTTGCGGAGTTTCGCAATCTCCAAAGGAAAACTTGTGACTAATTTTTGACTGCGATAACACAGGCTCCCAGGCTCTGAAGGCCCTCAAGGAGGCTAACATCCAATCGGTTCTGATCAACCCCAACATTGCCACTATCCAGACCGACCACAAGCTGGCCGATGAGGTCTACTACCTCCCCGTCACCCCTGAATATGTCACCCACGTCATTGAGCGCGAGCAGCCCGATGGTATCATGCTGGCCTTCGGTGGTCAGACTGCCCTGAACTTGGGTGTGCAGATGAACCGCATGGGTATCTTCGAGCGCTACGGTGTCCGTGTTCTCGGTACTAGCATCAAGACCCTGGAGACTAGTGAGGATCGTGAGCTCTTCTCCCAGGCCCTGAACGAGATCAACATCCCCATCGCCGAGTCTATCGCCGTTGGCACCGTTGATGACGCCCTCAAGGCCGCCGAGGAGGTTGGCTACCCCATTATCGTCCGTTCCGCCTATGCTCTTGGTGGTCTGGGCTCCGGTTTCGCTGCCAACCCCGAGGAGCTGCGCAACCTGTCTTCCCGCTCTCTGTCTCTCGCTCCCCAGATTCTGGTTGAGAAATCGCTCAAGGGCTGGAAGGAGGTTGAGTACGAGGTCGTCCGCGATGCCTCCAACAATTGTATTACCGTTTGCAACATGGAGAACTTCGACCCTCTCGGTATCCACACTGGTGACAGTATCGTTGTTGCTCCCAGTCAAACTCTGTCTGACGAGGAGTACCATATGCTCCGTACCGCTGCCATCAAGATCGTCCGTCACCTTGGTGTCGTCGGCGAGTGCAACGTCCAGTACGCTCTGCAGCCCGATGGTCTCGACTACCGTGTCATTGAGGTCAACGCTCGTCTCTCTCGTTCGTCTGCTCTGGCCTCCAAGGCTACCGGTTACCCTCTGGCCTACACTGCTGCCAAGATTGGTCTCGGCCACACCCTGCCCGAGCTGCCTAACGCTGTCACCAAGACCACCACCGCCAACTTCGAGCCTTCCCTTGACTACATCGTCACTAAGATTCCCCGCTGGGATTTGAGCAAGTTCCAGCACGTCAACCGTGACATTGGCAGTGCCATGAAGTCTGTTGGTGAGGTTATGGCTATCGGACGTACTTTCGAAGAGTCCCTCCAGAAGGCTATCCGCCAGGTTGACCCCAAGTACCTTGGTCTCCAGGGTGACCACTTCGAGGACCTTGACGACGTCTTGAAGAACCCCACTGACCGCCGCTGGTTGGCCGTCGGCCAGGCTATGCTCCACGAAGGTTACACTGTTGACCGGATTCACGAGCTGAGCAAGATCGACAAGTGGTTCTTGTACAAGATCCAGAACATCGTTGACTGCAACAACGAGCTCAAGGAGATCGGCAGCCTCTTCGGCGTCAAGAAGGAGACCATGCTCAAGGCCAAGAAGCTCGGCTTCTCTGACAAGCAGATCTCTCTTCTTGTTGGTTGCTCCGAGGACGAGGTCCGCGCTCGCCGTAAGTCCTTCGGCATCACCCCCTGGGTCAAGAAGATCGATACCCTGGCTGCTGAGTTCCCTGCGGACACCAACTACTTGTACACTACCTACAATGCCTCCTCCCACGATGTCACTTTCGATGACCACGGAACTCTCATCCTGGGTAGCGGTGTTTACCGTATTGGTAGCTCCGTCGAGTTCGATTGGTGCGCTGTGAATGCCACCTTGTCTCTTCGCAGCATGGGCAAGAAGACTGTCATGATCAACTACAACCCCGAGACCTACTCCACTGACTTCGATACCGCCGATAAGCTGTACTTTGAGGAGTTGAGCTACGAGCGTGTCATGGATATCTACGAGCTGGAGAGCGCCACCGGCGTTGTTGTCTCTGTCGGCGGTCAGCTGCCCCAGAACATTGCCCTCCGTCTGCAGGAGACTGGCGGTGCCAAGGTTCTTGGTACCGATCCCCAGGATATTGACAAGGCCGAGGACCGTCACAAGTTCTCTCAGATCCTTGACAGCATTGGTGTTGACCAGCCCGCCTGGAAGGAGCTGACCTCCTTCCCCGAGGCTGAGCAGTTCGCTGAGACCGTTGGATACCCCGTCCTGGTCCGCCCCAGTTACGTCCTGTCTGGTGCTGCCATGAACGTCATCTACGGTGTCGATGAGCTCAAGGAGAAGCTCCTCAACGCCAGCGCCGTCTCCCCCGACCACCCCGTCGTCATTACCAAGTTCATTGAGGGTGCCGAGGAGATCGATGTTGACGCTGTCGCTTCCAACGGCGAATTGCTGCTCCACGCCGTTTCCGAACACATTGAGCCCGCTGGTGTCCACTCTGGAGATGCCACTCTTGTCCTCCCCCCTGTCAACCTGCCCGAGTCCATCATGGACCGTGTTAAGGAGATCGCTGAGAAGGTCGCCAAGGCCTGGAACATCACCGGTCCCTTCAACATGCAGATCATCAAGGCTGACCAGGAGGGTGCCGAGCCCCAGCTCAAGGTCATCGAGTGCAACCTGCGTGCCTCGCGTTCCTTCCCCTTCGTCAGCAAGGTCTTGGGTACCAACTTCATTGATGTTGCCACCAAGGCTCTTGTCGGCCGTGATGTCCCCAAGCCCGTTGATCTCATGAGTGAGAAGCGTGACTACCTCGCCACCAAGGTTCCCCAATTCTCCTGGACCCGTCTGGCTGGTGCCGACCCCTTCCTCGGTGTTGAGATGTCCTCCACCGGTGAGATTGCCTGCTTCGGTAAGGACCTGGTTGAGGCCTACTGGGCCTCCCTCCAGTCCACCATGAACTTCCGCATGCCCGAGCCCGGTGAGGGTATCCTCCTCGGCGGTGACATCAACCAGACTGCTCTGGCTGCCGTCGTCGACTACTTGAACCCCCTCGGCTACAAGTTCTTCGCTGCCAACCCCGAGATCAAGAACCACCTCGAGAAGACCTGCAAGGACAACGTCTCCGTCCAGGTCATCGAGTTCCCCAAGAAGGACAAGCGTGCTCTCCGTGAGGTCTTCCAGAAGTACGACATTCGTGGTGTCTTCAACTTGGCCAAGACCCGTGGCAAGACCCAGCTTGATGAAGACTACGTTATGCGCCGTAACGCTGTCGACTTTGGCGTTCCCCTCTTCATGGAGCCCAAGGTATGTTTACTCCATTTCATATCCACCCAGCGTATCAAATTCTAACTACGTCCTCAATAGACCGCCCAGCTCTTCGCTCAGTGCATGAACGTCAAGCTCCCCCGCGCCGAGGGTATTCCCACCGAGGTCCGCAGCTGGTCCGACTTCGTTGGCGGTAAACTGCTGTAAATGATGAAATCCCTTGCACAGAAAGACAAAAAAAGCCCCTGCGCCTAGCGGCACTTCTCGGCCTTTTGAATCGAGATTATACCCAGCTTTCCCGGCATGGTGGTGTAGGTAGGGTAGCCTGTTGATAGACGGCGTGCATTGTTCTCCTCGTTTTGAGTATTGAGTGTTCTGGGTTCTCCCGATTATCGATGTTTGTTTCCGGCTTTTCCCCTGCGGCAAAACAAGGCGGGGGATTAGCGCAGAGGCTGCTCTCAGCGCCCTGATGGTTCTGTATCTGACAAATTGGGTCTGCTTGTGCCTGCTTTCCGGGTTTTTGTGAATTGTAGTTGGTTTTGTGTTTCAGCGACAAAAGAACGTTTTAAGGTTTCTTATATAATCCAAGGTGTATTTACGCCAATATCTACTTCGTTCAAGTAATTGTTGCAAGGGCTCCTCATAGCTGTAACTGTAGCTGTGACATCGACATCCCACTTTTAGCCTGAGGCGGCGATAAACATATGCTGACTAACATCCAACAGCACCACGGCTTGCAAGCTTCAGATGGTATAAACTGTTCAACTACGCCACGATGTCAACATCTTTACCTTCAGTGACGACGAAAACAGAGCCCCGCTCTGCCCCTGATGGTATGGGCAATGGGTTGTTCGCAACATCAAACATCAAGGTTGGCGAAGATGTTGTGCATGCCCGAGTGCCGTTTGTCGCAGTGCTCGACTCACCGCGTCTGGAGGACACCTGTTCCGGCTGCTTTGGAAAGAAGCAGATGGGCGGAGAGACCGATTTAAAGGCATGCACAGGATGCCGTGTGGTCAAATACTGTGATCGGGTGAGTTCTTAGTCTATCTTTTTGATGGATTAGTTTAAATTTGGGATTGGAGTGCTATATCTGAATAGTACTGATCAGAATGGAAACAGGCCTGTCAGTCGAAAGATTGGAAGTTTGCACACTCTACGGAGTGCCCTATCTTCCAGAAGCTCAAGCCCATGGTTCTCCCAAACAATGCTCGTGCTCTGTTGCGAATGGTTCTGCGCACTGGACGCGGTAAATACAGCGCACGGGAGCTGGAGATCTTCAATAATCTGGAGACTCATATGGGCCAGATTCAAGAAATTCAAGCCCACCTTGACCGCGTCAATCTGACTGCCAAGGCCGTCAAGGAATACTCGCTGAGTGAAATGTCCCACGAAGACATCGCTGCCTACGCCGCTAGAGTAAGTGGCCCATTGTCTCCCAAACATTCATGGCTAACAGGAGACTTCCAGTTGGATCTCAACTCATTCAATCTCACCACGGCACTATATGACAAAATCGGATTATACTTGCATCCTTATGCCTCTCTGATCAACCACAGCTGTGATTACAACGCCACGGTTGGATTTGACGGCGAGGAGATTTTTGTCAAAGCAGTCAAACCAATCCAAAAGAACGAGCAAATCTTCATCTCATACATCGACACCACAACACCCAACGAAGTCCGGCGTAAGGAACTTATCGAGCGCTACTTCTTCGACTGCCAATGCTCAAAATGTGCAAAGGGCAAAGATTCCCCCGAAGATCGCTTCTCTGTCCCAGTTGAAGACACATCGGCCCTCGAAGCAGCCGAACGCCAGGCATTGGAACTCATGCAGTCCGCCTCAGCCGACGACGCAAAGCCAGACGAAGCAATCGCATATCTCGAATCAGCCCTGAACGCCCTCCACAGAGTCTCCAACTGGCCACTACACCGGCAACCCTACGCGTCCATCCGCGACCAGCTCATCGTCTCCCTCCTAGCCGGGAACAAGTTCAACAAAGCCTTCATCCAAGCTGCGGTTCGGTATCTGCGTGTTGATCCAGAGCTGTACAGCCCAGCACATCCGATCAGACAAATTCACGCCTGGATTCTCGCAAAGCTTGCAATCTACATTTCTCAAGGCTTCGAGCCTAGCCCCAAAGATCCGATCCAGCTACAAGATTTCGAGATCAACTTCCACTATATCCTGTGGTACATCCTGGCCGATCTGGCTAGCAAACAGCTGGAGAGCTGTACTGTGCCGAGCTTCAAGCAATTGGTTGGGGCCAACTTTGCCCAGGTGCATAATGAGTTCAAGTCGCATGGGATTGATCCGAGTACACAAAAGGCCGTTGTTAGTGCCGAGTGGAAGAAATTGGAGAGGCTTGTTCAGTGTGCATTAGACACAGAATAGAATAAGAATAAGAGCTCTGGACTACACTACATGGGTATTCAATTACATCTCATGGGACACTACAGCATATGGGTTCTTGCAGCTGTAAAGTGGTTATTTTGCGGACACCCGGCATTGTTTGTACGTCTAAAGCCATTGCTTCGTGAGAATTATTTCCAATCTACAAAACTGTGAGAGCCTGGAGAACCTCAAGATCTGGATAGTTCGAATAGCGCTCTAGAAGCTGGGATGATTCACGCCAGTAACAATAAGTACATGAAGGGAGCATAAAGACAATGCAAATGTATATATACAAGGTAAAATATCTACCAAGCAACGGATCCCCCAAAGCCAGATCACATAAGACTCGACCGGCCACCGATCTCATTCGAGGGCTCACCGTTGGGCATTTCACCATTTCGGCCGGCAATGAATTCCCGGTAGATCCCGCTGAGCCGACGACGCTCGGCGGAACTGAGTGAAGAGCGTGTGCTGGCGAGGGAGCGCTCAATATGTTCCCATCGCACGATGATCTCGTCTCGCAACTCGTCGGCAGATGGATCGGCACCCTTGGTGGCTGGTGTTGCGGCGGCGCTGGAGCCGGTGTTGGCCGAGCCGTTCTCGAGCTGGCGTTGACGGCGACGGGAGTTCTTGATAGCTTCGAGCTTGGCTGCGATCACAGCTGGAGGTGGCATCGAGACCGAGCCGGAGGCTTCCTCTGAGGATGAGTAGAGGAACTGGATAAAGGATTTGCTCGAGGCGCTTGCGGAAGACTTTGTGGCGCTGGATTTGGCACCGGGCTTTTCGTTCCCAGTGGTGCGATCGCCTAGTGCGTCGTGCACTGCCTCAAGATGGGCATTGTACACGATCGCCTGGAGGTCAGCACCAGAGAAGCCCTCAGTCTGATCAGCAACTTCACTCAGACGAGAAGCAACCTCGTCATTCATCTTCAGCTTCTCGCTGACTGCCTTGATGATATCAACGCGGTCTGCGTGCGAAGGCATATCACAAAGCAGGGACTTGTCAAGACGACCGGGTCGCAACAGAGCGGGATCGATCAGATCCGGACGAGATGTCGCAGCAAGAACATAAACGCCTGAGAGACCCTCGGCACCATCCATCTGTGTCAAAAGCTGGTTGACGACACGATCAGTGACACCAGTGGAGTCGTGGCCACGCTTTGGTGCAATACTGTCAAATTCGTCGAAGAAGAGAATACAAGGGCGAGCCGCCTGCGCTCTCTCGAAAAGATCGCGAACGCTCTTTTCACTAGCACCGATATACTTGTTCAAAATCTCGGGACCCTTGACACTGATGAAGTTCAAACCACACTCGCCCGCCACGGCACTGGCCAACATCGTTTTACCACAACCGGGGAAACCATACAAGAGTAGACCAGACCGCAGTCGCAACGGGCACTGTGCAAAAATCGGCGCATACTTGGTGGGGTACTGCAGGGTCTCAAGCAGAATCTGGCGAGTCTCGAAGAGACCGCCGATAGCCGAGAATGTTGTTGTAGACGAAGTGAGAGTGACATTCCGGAGGGATGCCGGGGTGAAGCCCTTTAGGGCACTCTCAAAGTCTTCCAACCCAAAGTTGATCATCTTAGACTCGACTGTGACATCTTGAACGGAGCGGATAAGTGCTTCGTTACGCGCACGAGCAACCAGCAACACAAGATCCCCGGGCATGTATCCATCGGTCTTTCCGGCAAGCTCGAGCATGTCCACGTCGCGACTCAATACGAATCCATCACCACCAGAGGAGCTTGGTCGGCTGCCAGGATTTGATGGGTCAAGCCATGAGTCTTGTGTGTTTTGTGTGGAAGAGCTCTGCGAACGAACATGGCCATTGAGACTCTCAGTGGCTCTATCCTGGGTAGTGAGCTTCTCCAACACCTTGCGGCGTCCTTCCTTGTCAGGGGCCCGAATGCTGATGATCTCACGAACAACATGACCGCCAATGATAACATTGTTCAAAGACTCCTTAGCTTGGGCAGTGGCAAGCAGCACGACGGAAGAGTTCATAGAACAAAAGTCTCGAACCATGGAGCAAATAACTTCACTGTTCTGACGACTACGGCCGTTATCGCCACCAACTTGTAGTTCCGTTTCCGCAGGGCAGAGCTTATCAAGATCATCAAGAATTACTACTGCTTGACCACCGAGACGGGCACACCAAGAAGCAGACATGAAGAGGCGGTTCAAGACCTCTTTAATGTTCGAGATTCGTGTCTCATCAGTGACGAGCTTGCGGCAAGAAAAGTATTTCACGTTGAAAAGCTGTTCTTTGCGCAGGCGATGACCAAGAAGCTGAGCGAGTGCTGTCTTTCCAGCCCCGAGGCCACCAGTCAACAAGACAGATGAGGACTTGGTCAAGTTGGTGAGCGATTGCGAGATGATCGAATCAATTCCGACCATGTGAGGAACAGTATCCGGAAGAGGGTCCTCGCTCGGTAGAGCAGATGAAGTCGAATCAGAGGGTGTCGGGATTTCGGCTTGCACTTCAAAGTTGAGTTTGGCTTCAGATCCTAGAAGCCATCCAAACATCGATTTAGTCTCTTCTGAGCCACCCTTCAAGGGAGGATCGAATCTAATAATAGCGCCATCGAAGGCAGAGACAGACGGGTGACTCTCGACCTTTGGTAAAATCATTCCATCTGTCAATGGACCGGCGAAAAGACCATGATCAGAACCAGTGCTGCCATAGATAACCTTGAGGCGCTCGGCCAAGGCATCGCGAGAGGCCGCGGTATCAGCTCCGAATTTCAAACCATCCTTTTTCCTTGATGCATCGCCAGTAAACGGATATACTTTGAGTGTCTTGACCGCGGATCGATGTAGTTGGGGTGGTGCGGCCTCCACCCGCACGACTCCCCCCACTATGTGCTCCGCGCCAAGGGCCGTGCACAGCAGAGTGGACATCGCCGCATGCCGACTGTCCGGGGCTTCCTCCCACGGCAGCAGTTTAGCTACCAATTTGTTGGTCGGGACTCCGGCCTCACTGGATTTCTGCTCCTGCTGAGCGATTTGTTGCTGGGGGTCGACTGGAGGCTTCAGGCCCGACGGCTGCACAATTGAAACACACGCCCAAGTCGCGCCGCGGAGTTCATTGGAGGCCAACAATTCCGGGTCAACCCAAACACGTAGACCGTCATTATCATCCTCTTCAATTTCTGGATCGAACGATTGATCGGCCATCAGGCGATCTACGCCTCTCAAGTAGAGAGCGCCCCTCGAGTCAGACTTCTTCGGGCGGACTGTACTCCCGGAACTTCGCCCCCCAGTACTCTTCTTACTGCTCCCTGCGGTGCTCCGGGGCGATTTTGCGGTCTTCGCTCGGGTCTTCGGTGCCACAATGACCTCGGCATCGGGCGAAATTTTTGCGAACGGAGATGTAGATGATGGGGCGGGTGTAAGCGAGGTGACGACGATGTTCGCGGTAGAAGTAGGAGAAAGGTGCAATGCGAGCGGGTGCATATGTTCGCCTTCCGTCGCATTATATGTAGGATTTGGAAGCGCGCGGATCTGTGAGAGGAGATTAAGCTCCAGGAATGTGGCATGGAGCTCGATAACTGCAACGGCAACAATTAGCCTGATGTTCGAACGTGACGGAACGAGACATAGACGTACTCTCCCAATCCTCAGGAGTCAATGGTTCAATATTAATTGTATGCGCGATAGGCGGGTCAAGGTGCACAAGTAGTCCGACCTGTAAGGAGCCATGTCAGTACCCCACGTGGGAGACGATATGCAGCGGAGAAGTTACCTTCTGCCCTTCAGTGAGACCGAGAAGTCTTCCAAACGTAGTATCTAGTTCCACGCTGGAGGCCTCTTGCTCCCTAGAGAAGCCCCCGTTGATGCCGTCTCGACCGACGACGGGCGCGGGTTTGCGCTTGCTCGGCATGCCCGTCCAACCCAAGAAGCATGACCGCTGTGGGGGAGGCCCATTGGCTTTCCCAGAAAGGGCCTTATACTGCAATTCAATGATCACATTTTGGGCAGCCTGCAAGTCTTCAAATTAGCCGGAGAGGGAGCTTTCAGTGGAGCTGGTAAACTGACCGTGTTGGCATTGACCAGCAAGGCGACCAGCGACGGCGGCAAGTTCACAAGACAGTTCTTCAACGAAACGAGAGCAACTTCCGCGGTGGTAGAGGGCTTCTTGGGCGCCATGATCAAGGCGCAGAGGTACAGACGCTCACGCAGGAAGGATGTAGGAGTGGGATGTCTGATCGCAAAGCCCCCGGACTAGCTCCTCCACACGAGACCGCCCACGGAGGATTGGCTCATAGCCTCGGCCCGATACGATCCACGTGACTCACATCCAGATAAACGCAATAACCATTAATCCGGTGTACCTGAGCTAGTCTGTATCAGGGCTAGCGCACATTCCCGGGCGCGTCTCTTTCGCGTTCGCGTCTCACGTTGTCGCGCTGCGAAGGGGCTGCGTCGGCCCTTTTCTTGGGAACCCACTTTCCACCACTTTGCGTTCTCCTTGCAACAAGCTTGTCACCCAAAGCTTGAAAACGCGCATTTCATCCCACCATGGCTTTGAACCAATATCAAGCGCCGGTTGACTATGCCGCCCAACTGGACGGCTTCAAGGATTTCTTGAAACACTTTAAGACCCTGCAGTCAACTTCAGAAGCCGCTGCGACCGAGGCCTTGGAGGAATTGAACATCGACGGCAACCGCACCAGTGACGAATATGATTTTATGGATGATGTTAATGAGGGAGCGGGAGCAAGGAGGCGCAAAGAGCCGAAGCTCAAGTACATGCAGATTCTGCAAGACCTTGCCAACCGGGATGCCTCAAATATTGTGATTGAGCTTGACGACTTGGAAATCGTAAGTCTCTTCAAACCCCGAGATCCATGACCCCCCAATTGCTCACAACCTTGGCCCACAGTTCGAAAGAGCCCTTCCGGAGGAGCAGCAGAGCTTGAACCTTGTCGGATCGATCCAGAAGAACACCAAGCGCTATATCGATGTTTTCTCACAGGCGGTGGATGCGGTCATGCCCAAGGAGACCAAGGATGTCACGTACGTCAATGATTCTGGCGCAATGGCATACACCAAGCTAACATGACACAGATTCAAGGATGATGTGCTGGATGTCATCATGTCCCAGCGTGAGAAGCGTAATGAGACCATGGAGATGGCTGCGGAGGCTGATATGGAAGCTGCCGCTGCTGCGAGCATGTTCCCCCCGGAGCTTACCCGCCGATACACCCTGAACTTCAAGCCGCTTACCCCGTCCGGCTCTAGCAGCGACCGTGCGGGCAAGGCCTTCGCCGTCCGCAATGTGCGTGGAGAGCACTTGGGCAGCTTGATCACTGTCCGCGGCATTACCACTCGTGTATCTGATGTCAAGCCGGCTGTCCAGATCAACGCCTACACTTGCGACCGATGTGGATGCGAAGTCTTCCAGCCCATTGTCACCAAGCAGTTCCTTCCTCTTTCCGAGTGCTTATCCGAGGAGTGCAAGAAGAACAACTCCAAGGGCCAGCTCTTCCTTTCTACTCGTGCCTCGAAGTTTGTGCCCTTCCAAGAAGTCAAGATTCAGGAAATGGCAGAACAGGTGCCCGTGGGTCACATTCCCCGTACCCTGACTATCCACTGCCACGGTGCTCTCACCCGGCAGCTGAATCCCGGTGATGTGGTAGATATCGCCGGTATCTTCCTTCCCACTCCCTACACTGGTTTCCGTGCCATTCGTGCCGGTCTCCTGACCGACACCTACCTCGAGGCCCAGCATATCACCCAACACAAGAAGTCCTACCAGGATATGGGCATGGACGCCCGAACCTTGCGCAAAATTGAACAGCATCAGAGCTCCGGCAACATGTACGAATACCTCTCACGGTCTATCGCCCCCGAGATCTACGGACATCTCGATGTGAAGAAGGCTCTGCTTCTTCTTCTGATCGGCGGTGTGACCAAGGAGATGGGTGATGGTATGCACATTCGTGGTGATATCAACATTTGCCTTATGGGTGACCCTGGTGTGGCCAAATCCCAACTTCTTCGATACATCACCAAGGTTGCTCCCCGTGGTGTTTACACTACTGGTCGTGGTTCCAGTGGTGTCGGTCTGACCGCTGCTGTGATGAGAGATCCCGTTACCGATGAGATGATGCTGGAGGGAGGTGCCCTTGTCCTTGCCGACAACGGTATCTGCTGTATTGATGAGTTCGACAAGATGGAAGATGGAGACCGTACAGCCATTCACGAAGTTATGGAACAACAGACCATTTCCATCTCCAAAGCCGGTATCAACACGACCCTCAACGCTCGTACTTCGATTCTGGCCGCAGCCAACCCCCTGTATGGCCGCTACAACCCTCGCCTATCCCCAGTTGAGAACATCAACCTTCCTGCCGCTCTCCTTTCTCGTTTCGATGTCATGTTCCTGCTGCTCGACACTCCCAACCGCGAAGGCGACGAGGAGCTGGCTAACCACGTCACCTACGTCCACATGCACAACAAGCACCCCGAGTCTGAAGATTCCGGCATTATGTTCACTCCCCACGAGGTCCGCCAGTACATCGCCAAGGCCCGTACCTTCCGCCCTGTCGTCCCTAGCAGCGTCTCCGACTACATGGTTGGCGCCTACGTCGCTATGCGCAAAAGACAAAAGAAGGACGAGGCCCGTCGCCAGCAGTTCTCCCACGTCACACCCCGTACTTTGCTGGGTATTGTCCGTCTGTCGCAGGCTCTGGCTCGTCTTCGCTTCAGCGAGGAGGTTGTGCGTGAGGATGTCGATGAAGCCCTGCGCATCATTGATGTCAGCAAGGCCTCTCTGTACAACGACGGCGATGCCTCTGCCGACCACACCCCCAGCAGCAAGATCTACACCATGATCCGTAACCTGCGCGAGAGTGGTGCCGCAGCTGTGGGCGACGGTGATGACAACGAGCTTAGCGTGCGCCGCATCCGCGAACGCGTGTTGGCCAAGGGCTTCACCGAGGACCAGCTTACCACTGCTCTCTTCGAATATGCCGAGTTGGGCGTAAGTTTTTCAATCTGCTCACCATTAACTGAACCTACCACTAACCTTCTCCCCAGGTTTGGCAAACTACTGGCAACGGTGCTCGCCTCATGTTCATTGAGGGTGATGATGAAATGCAAGGCTAATGAGGATACTTGTTTTTCTTTTCTGTTCTTCTCGACGGTTGACTGGTCTTTGCGGGTGAGAAAATGCATTCAGTGGAAGTCTTTAGGCAACAGGTGTTTAGGTGTATTCGCGGGACAGGAAAGCCGGCTCTTGTGATTTGTTTGGTCAATCAAAAGATCTTATTCCCAATCTACATTAATCTGTCTTCGACCTCATCTCTTCAAAATTGTCGTTTGTAATTCGAATCCGACTCTTAAGGAATGACATGTAAGACGAAGGTCTTAGCGCCCAACACTTCCCCAATCTAACATCTCAATACATGAACCGCCCCATCCGACTGAACTAACCACCCTAAATCGCGCACTTCTCATACAAGTGAACCTCATTGCAAAGCTCTGAGGCGGCGGCATAGGGGTTGTCACAAAGGGTATTGCAAGCAGTGTTTTCGGGCACGAAAACGAGGAACTCATAGTTGGGCACGGGCAGACGGAACTGCGAGTGGACATTATTATCGGCGTCAGAAGCCTTGTAACCGGCACGGCAGGCACAGTGGAAGGTCGACCCGGTGTTGATGCACGAAGTGGTGACGTCGCAGCTGTTCTGGCCCGAGACGGGATTGCAGGTGCCGCACTTGGGCGGAGCTGGGTTGGCCACGGCCAGAGTGGCCGCGGCGACAACTGCGATGAGGGTGAAGTGCATTTTGTTCAGAGGATGAAGATCTGAACTAAATCTGATCTGATATGGCGTGATATACCAGCTTGGTGGCAACAGAGCTTCCTTTTATATTTGCTGTGGATCCGTATAGATCCGGTGTCCCCCTACCTACCAGCTCATCACGAGGCCATCAGCATGGTCTTACTTGAGTAAACCTTGGGTATTCGGGAGTGGCAATCTTATGGTCATTGTTCTTTTCTTTTTTTTTGGCCTCGGGTTTGGCTGCAGAGCTGCTCCCCCGCGCTCGGATAGGCCGGGGAGGCAGAGCCACAGGCCCCGGATTGGGCGAGCTGTGAATACGAGATCTGGAACCGGTCGAGACACCACCAATGCTCGTCGACGAGGCTGAGGGCTATGCCTTGCCAACTCAGGGTCAGGGTCGAGCTCTGCTAGTGTTCTGGAAATAGAGGCGTCGTGTAGTGTCAAGGTGAACGCGGGGGTGGATGTCTCAGCTTTGACAGCCCTAACTCGACCCGGATCAAGATCTTCACTTTCCCCGACGTTCTGTAAAGAATGCGGGGACGGGCTTGACTTGTCGCCCCAGCTGTCTCACACCGCTTCGACATGCGTTGTCATCTTTTACTGATTGAACTTCATCAGTCCTGGTTGATTGTTTCGTTCCTAGTAAGACCAGCTTTCAGAACTCGAAGATTCGATTGCATAACAGGCTTTACGAAACACCCATCAATAAAGAGCACCAGGATATTCATCGTGAAACGAGAAGGAGAGATATCAGATGTCTAACTTCCAGAGGGGAGAAGAAGTCTGCACTTCGTCTTGTATTTCCGCTTCTGGGCCATCCCCATGGTTCACATTGCCCACATGGCACGCTCGCACACAGGGTTGGTCCTGTTTCAAACAGATTTACCTAACCATCTGCATAGACCTCACTGCCAGAGGACTGCAACCATGGCATGACATCGTGATCGACACGAACCACTACATCCTTGGCTTAGCCAGGTGTCACGCTTACTTCTCGGCAATTCAGGCAGACAATAGGACGCCTGAGTAAAGAATCGATCAATCACTGTTTGAGTGGAGCACGAGGTATGCAGTAAAATGTGCCTAGTATAAGAGCCAATCGCGGGTGAGCGTGATGTTCTCGTCTGAGCTATTTTTGCCTCCGAGCGAGATCTATTCAGGGACTGTACCGCCTCGGTGAAATTTGATTCCTAGTTTACGCTCGTAGCAAAGGCAAAACAGATAATGTTGTCCTATATAGGACAAATGCAGGTCAGGAGTCTCGTAGACAGTCAGGTACGTCAGCTTTGGCCTCTATAGTCAACGCTCAAGTCAAACAAGACGAGTACTAAAAAGCATTTGATTCCACGCTGCTGCAAATCGAAAATAGACAAAAGACTATAGTGAGACATGAGCCCAAGGCTCAGACTTTCCTGTCGGTACATACTTCTTTACCAGTCATCAACCCACAGATGCTAGTCTAGAGATGCGTCTGCGATCCCTCCGGCTCTCCAATCAGCCTCAAGAAAGCCCCATGCACTTCATCGGTGAGATCACTAGCCTGCATGCTCCGCCCTTTGGCCTCGAAAGCCTTTCGCGAGCACTCTCGAGTAATACTACTTCCAGCCCATGCAGCCAGGAGTAGCGTCGTTGTCGGGGACATGCGCTTGTTGGACTCGAGCTCGGCCTGGACTTCATCCCTGGTCTGCGCATCCTTTGCGTTGTCTTGCTCACCAGAGTCCCACAGCTTGTCGTGGTAAGCTGCTCTCCAGGCGAGAAAGGTACCTAGCGAACCCGTCAGAGTATCGCCTTGGCCGCCGCTGCGCTTCAGTCCTCCTTTGGTGTCAGATATTATGCTGGTGACTCCGTTGGAGATCACGTCGTGCGGTCCTTTCTGGACAACTGTCACGCCGCCGAGGGCTTTGGACAGCTGTTCGCAGGCTTCTGATTCCTTGCTAATCTGGTCGCCGTTTCCTTCTTGGGAGATCTCCGCCTGGCTGGCTACCTTGATTCCCAGGGCTTTGGCGAGACGCCCGAATTCCACGACATTCGGTGTGAGAATGCACTCCTTGTACCCTTTAATCAGACCCGGGTTTTCTGTCACAATGAGAAGCCCGTCGGCATCCAGCACGAAGGGAATAGACTGAGACCGTGCCGCTTTGATTACTTCAGCCACTACCTTGAGCGTGACGCCATCACGACCAAGTCCTGGTCCAATGACCAGTGCATGGAGGCGAGAAAGCATGTCGATAATGGGGCCTGCAAGTGCAGGAGCATCAATTGACTGGGTGTCTTTGACAGTATCCGAGCTTGGTAACAACGGATGGACCATTAGGTTCGGAGAATAACTCTTGACAACCTAGACGCATATTAGTCAAAGTACTTGGTCTTTCACCTGGGGGTTGAACACACTGGAGCTGCTGAACGTTCGCAGACGACATGACTCTGGCGATTGTCAGCACAGCAGATTTGCCTGTAGGAACCCGCCCACTTACCATGTCACACCCTATGATACCATTAGGTTATTTACTGTTGCTCAATACTCAAATGTCGTGTGAGACATACCTAATTTGGCAGATGCCATGGCCGAGAAGTATGGAGCGCCGGTATAGCTTTCGCGGGGTCAGTCAACGCCCTCGCCGGAGTTAAAGGGACATACTCAACACATCCTCCAATAACCGCTACACGCCCCAATTGACCTTCAACGCCGTGTTAGCATCTATTTCCACCGCCGACAATGATCCAGCCATGAGGCCCAAGAAGCTAAGGCACTTAATTGACAACAAACCTTTGTGGAACTTCTCAAGCATAGGCGGCACGATCTTGCGCACCTTGGTGAACAAAACCTTTGATGAGGCCGTGACATGATGAACCGACTCCATGATGAATGTGAATGAAGGAATAAAATGATCTTTGGAAGGAAGGTAGTAAGTAGGTGTAGAGGTTGATCGGAAGCCGAGTAAGATCAACGGGTGATGTCACCTCCAAGTGGGGCCGACAGGTTTGTACACTCAGACGTTACTTGATTATCACTTGCCATCATGTACTTGTCATTTTGCTGAATAATGCGAGTGAATTGCAGGTCTATGAGCATATAGGACAGTTGAATAGTCCCGAAACAAAGCAGATTTGGTATTGGTAAGACGCCCGCTATGGAAAATGTTCGCAAAAATTGAGTGTTCACCTTTCTAAGGACACCAAAACGCTCATGATGCTCGGCAAAAAAGCCCCCTCCCAATACAAAAGAAATGATAAATGAAAGCCTATAATGCATGTTGAGAGCCCCAAAGGACTTAACGCTTCGTTCGGTTTGCAAGAGCAGCCAACTTCCTCTGCCGCTCCTGCTTTTCCAACTTCGCGGCCATTTCCATGGCCAGCTCCTTTTCGTCTTCCTTGCGTGCAGATCTAAGCGCAGCATCTTCTTCGCCTGCCACATCGTCGAAGCCAGCTTCCATGTCGGAGGATGCGTCAGAGTAATGGTCGTCGTAGCCACCGTAATCGCCCTCATCTTCCTCGTCTGTTCCGAGGTACTCGTCCCTACGACGCTTGCCGTGAGCCCGGCGATCATTACCACCACGGCCTGGAAGGCCGGCTGTGCCACGGTACAAGGGTCCTTCGGGTGCTTTAGGTGGTGGCTTGGCTGTGCCCTTGTAGGCAGGGCCCTCGGATTCCTTTTTCACACCTGAGTTGCCCTTCATTGGCAGGGCACCAGGCGCGGGCTTCTGGCCCGGACGACGAGCAGCTTTCTCCTGCGCCTGGGCTTCCATCATGCGGCGCTTGCGCTCGACTTTGCTCAGCCTCTCCTTAGGCACTGACTGGTGACGTAGCATGCCAACTTGTGCCGGTGCTTGATCCTGCAATGCCTTGGCTCGGGCCATGATCTCGGCAAAAGAGCCCTTTGGTGGTGCCTTTGATGGAGCCGCAGAAGGCTTCGGCGGGGCAGCTTTTGCAGAAACAGCCTTAATGGGTGCAGATTTCGCAGGTGCAGTCTTGGTGGCAGCACCGGGGCCATTCCTTGGGGCAGGCTTGGGCGATGCAGGCTTGAGACTTGTAGCGGGGGGCGGGGCCGGTTTAGACAAAATTCTGAGAGCCCTGGGCGGTGCTGGAGCCCTGTTAGTGGACGAAGTGTCGACTTTTGGAGCTTCAGGTCGCGAGGGACGGGGGAGCTGGTCCTCGGCCTTGCGCTTTATTCCTCCACTGGCATTTACACTCAGGGCTGGCCGCGGCGTGGGAGTCGCTGGTTTGCGCTCGACCGTCTTAACAGTCGAAGACGTAGCTGGCGGCGCCGGTGGTTGAGAAAGCGGGGCTGGAGACGGCTTCCCCGTCTGGAGAGACGTGAGAACGGAGTCGAGAAACTAGTCGAGATGTTAGATAGGAGCAAGGCAGATGCGAAGAAAAGATATGCTTACACTCATCTCGGAGGGTAAGAAATGATGAAGCTTTGCGTTGGTAGGATCTAGGATGCGACAAAGAGTAGAAGTACCGATTATCGTCCACGATTAGTTCGACTAGGTAGCTTCATGACTCCCAACGCGAGACCATATACTGGGGAGGTTTGGTCGGAGATTTCGACCTTTTGACTTGAGAGGAAGACAAAAGAAAGGTTGGAGCGAGAGAAGAGCTTCCAGATGATCTTCTCCGCTACTTCGAGACAAAGCAGGCAGTGATAGGAAGGGGAGGTGAAAGGAGCCTTGAACTTTGGAGATGGCCACTCGTCACGTGTCATCGCGCCACACTCGCTTAGTCCTTTTCTGCCGGGCGGTGACACAGCCACATCCAGCCGCATCGCACTTTTCCCTCGATTTTCACGGCCCGTTTGTTCAGTTTCTCAACCACCCTTCGAACTCGACGTTGCAGTCTCCGCCCAATTCGCGGTTAAATCGATTGTTTCTCCTGTTCCAGATAACAGACAAAGGTAAGAACCTCGTTGCTTGCCTGCACCAACTTCAGTCCCAGCGTACTGAAGGCCGCAAATTTCAATATTCGACTTTGAAGCTAACATCGAATTCTTTGCGACCAGTCTATCAAAATGAAGTACCTCGCCACTTACCTCCTCCTCGCCCTTGCCGGCAACGAGTCCCCCTCCGCCGCCGACATCAAGGCTGTCCTCTCCTCCGTCGGTATCGATGCCGACTCTGAGCGCCTCGACAAGGTCATCGCTGAGCTCCAGGGCAAGAACCTCCAGGAGGTTAGTTTCATCTACAACTTTTAAATTATGGAAGAGTAACATACTAACTCTGTGGCTCTAGTTGATCGCTGAGGGTTCCACCAAGCTCGCCTCCGTTCCCTCCGGTGGTGCTGGTGCCGCTGCCCCCGCTGCCGGTGGTGCCGCTGCCAGTGGTGACGCTCCCGCCGCTGAGGAGAAGGAGGAGGAGAAGGAGGAGTCCGATGATGACATGGGATTCGGTCTTTTCGACTAAATGCCTTCCTCTTAGGAACCTCAAAAATGACGACTTGGGGGGGACAGACGTCTGGATGGTGCGTCCAGTTTGAGAAGAGTCTTCGCCAATTTGGGTCGCAAATGTGCATTTCTCCGACTGTTTTAACGCAGTTACGACTTTACCATGTGTGAGCTTGAAAGAGTTCATAGCCAATACAGATTCATCTGTCCTCCACCACTGTGTTCTGCGTAAGATGTAGTCGTACGTTGTGTCTGGCTCTGGAATTATATTTCTAGGCTTTTAGTACCGTTCTTCATACGGTCAATCTTTCCTAAACGATAATATGCTGGGGAATGGACATATCAAAAACATCCTTGATATCAGGTTGGAAAGGGAAGGCAAGACAGACATCGAGTCACGCCAATACGCAGTCGTAATGAGCCATGGGTACGGGAAGCCTCGCACGTTCAAAGTGGGGTCAGGCAGTACCTTCCACGAACCCTGGCCAATAAATTACATTGAATTACACAGTACATACCATACACCCAAAGTAGATTAGGGTACTAGGGCTAGCCCTCGTAAATCGCTTAGACGAGCCCTGCCCACCTCGTTAGGGTGTTAGTGCGCCCAGACGCTCCGTTTAGCGACACGACAATCCCGACAATCCATCTTCCTTCGCTTTTCGAGATCCCGTTCGGAAAGCGAGCTTCAAGGAAACCACCGCTAACATGGCTGACCACGAATACGTGAGTTCTCTTCCTCGTCCCTGTACCGTCCACGACTTTGATGCTAACATGCGCCTTTAGAACGCCGAGGAGGCTGCCGGTACGTTTTTGAATCCAACATCTATCCAACCCATCCCCCGAAGAGAATCACCTGTCAAGTCATGGAACCGAATGGAACACCTGGATGAAACGAACGACGATGGATGTAATGGAATTTTGGCGCGGGGATAATTTCGACTTGGACGCAGGGGGATGGAAACACACGATGAACGAGAACACAGGTCGCTGACAACGCCTTCGCCCAACAGAGATCAAGAAGAGAAGACAGTTCCGCAAGTTCTCCTACCGCGGTATTGACCTCGACCAGTACGTTTGATCGCCAACCCCTCGCCCCTCAAAAAACATTCAATCACGGCCTTCGTCTGGTGCCCATGCGATTCAAGGGCAACTTTCAATACTCTTGACGGTTGTCACTGGTTCATGTCGCAGTAGTGCCAGACGTCGTTACGTGATGGAACTTGGCACTCAAATTTTTTCGAACAACAAATCTGACTGAATATTCCAGGCTCCTCGACCTCTCCTCCGAGCAGCTCCGCGATGTTGTCCACGCTCGTGCCCGCAGACGCTTCAACCGCGGTCTGAAGCGCAAGCCCATGGGTCTCATCAAGAAGCTCCGCAAGGCCAAGCAGGAGGCCAAGCCCAACGAGAAGCCCGATCTCGTCAAGACCCACCTCCGTGACATGATCGTTGTCCCCGAGATGATCGGCTCCGTCATCGGTATCTACTCCGGCAAGGAGTTCAACCAGGTTGAGATCAAGCCTGAGATGGTTGGCCACTACCTGGCTGAGTTCTCTATCTCTTAGTACGTTCCACTCTTGGATCTATACATCTTCACACACAACTAACAACCCTCCAGCAAGCCCGTCAAGCACGGTCGTCCCGGTATCGGTGCCACCCACTCTTCCCGTTTCATTCCCCTCAAGTAAACGACTTCAAACGATTCCCCTTGGAGTGGCGTGTGGTGGAGAAGGTTCTGGGAAAGGAAAAATGGAAGCCAGCGCAGTCCAAATCTGGACTTCTTTATTCAGCTTGTATTTCCAGAGCGGGTCAGCTGTTTCCGTCTCAATTTAAAGATTTTGTCGGCATAAAATTACGGGATCTTGTATCCTTCTGTTCTTCGTCGATCTGGCGGAGTTAAAAAGGTATCCTACCTCTGGTTGCGTCCGCGTTACTAGGGAATGGAGTTTCAATTTACGATATGACAACTTTCACCTCGACATCGTAGTATAGTGTGACTCCACGCTAGCATAGGGTCTTGAGGCTTGTTGCGGTGGACACTGCCTTGTGTGTGGGTTAATCGCCCTGTGTCACTCACTATATCACAGAGTCCTTCTGGCCTGTCCGCTTAGTGACATGGTGCCGGGCTGCTAGCCGGAAGGACAGTTTGAATGGACATATTCGTGGTGAATCTTTGGCCTTCCCCAACGATATGACCTATCATGGTCCCCATACAGAACCGTTGACTCTAACGTACGGTATTTGCATGGTGGCGGTAGGCGTAACTCCGTAATGCGTGGCCAATGTTGGGGAATGACAGCATACAGGGTCCACTTGAGACTCAAAAAAGGGCCGAACATCACCGAGCGGGCACTCAACTGCGAGAACAGCCAACAGTGCCTGCAGAAACAGCATGCGAAGGCGAATGGAATCTCTATAACCTAGTCAAAAGACTTGTTGGCCTTGGTATTTGTACTCGCTAAATGTAGATTATATAAATCAAGCGCAGCGGTCTCAAGTCCGCGATGGTGGGCTTCGGGTATTGGCTACCCCATAGGCTCTCTGAGGTAGCAATGGACCGAGGCCCCGACTCCCCAGGAACCGAGAACTGCGGAGAAAAGACCCCTTCCTCTTCCTTTCTACTTCTTATAACCTTCATCCCTCCCATTCGTGATTTAATCTACAACGTACGGCTTGCCGATTCATACCTCCTGACCTTCCCCGGATCGGCCGCTTGGCTCTTCCCCGCAACATGCCTGTCTCCTCCAATTATCCAAATGCCGACATTCCCAACGTCGACCTTTGGAACTTCCTGTTTGAACGCAAGGATAGGCCTTTCCCTGATGACAAGAGTGAGTATTGAGGATTCTGGTGGTTTCATAGGTCTCCTTCTACCCCGGAAAAAAATTGTGCTAACGCTCAACAGTCCTCTACCAAGATGCCGACACTAAGCGGCATTACACCTACGAAGGCCTCAAGGATGCCTCTCTAGACTTCGGAAAGGGTCTCAAGGCCCTCTACGATTGGCGCAAGGGCGATGTCCTCGGCCTCTTCACCCCAAACACTATCGACACCCCCGTGCTGATGTGGGGAACCCTCTGGGCAGGCGGCATTGTATCCCCCGCCAACCCCGCCTACACGGTCGACGAGCTGGCCTTCCAGCTGAAGAACTCTGGTGCCAAGGTCATCGCCACGCAAACCTCCGTGCTGGATGTTGCCGTCAAGGCTGCGAAGAAGGTCGGAATTCCAGAGGACCACATTATCCTGCTCGGCGATCAGCGGGATCCCAATGCTCGCTTCAAGCATTTCACATCTGTCCGCAACATCTCGGGGGCTACACGGTATCGCAAGCAGAAGATTACACCGGAATCGGATTTGGCTTTCCTGGTTTACTCTTCAGGAACTACTGGTGTTCCTAAGGGTGTGATGCTGTCTCATAGGAATATTATTGCCAACATTATGCAGCAGTATATCGGCGAGGGTGGAAATCTGACCTGGAATGGGGGTCCGGATGGCAAGGGTGACCGGGTTTTGGCATTCTTGCCTTTCTACCATATCTACGGTATGTCCGAGGGATCCGATTATACGTATGCTGAAATGCTGATACTAGCTTTCTAGGATTGACCTGTTTGATCACCCAAGCACTCTACAAGGGCTACCATCTTGTTGTTATGTCCAAGTTCGAGATTGAGAAGTGGTGTGCACACGTGCAGAACTATCGCATTACCTTCAGCTACATTGTGCCCCCGGTCGTGCTCCTACTGGGAAAGCATCCCGTAGTTGACAAATACGATCTGTCCAGTCTTCGCATGATGAACTCCGGCGCAGCACCCCTCACACAAGAGCTGGTGGAAAATGTCTACTCCCGTATCAAGGTTGGAATCAAGCAAGGATACGGTCTCAGTGAGACCAGCCCCACCACACACTCTCAGCGGTGGGAGGATTGGCGCGACTATATCGGCTCTGTTGGTCGTTTGATGCCAAATATGGAGGCTCGGTACATGACCATGTCTGAAGATGGCTCCGAGTCCAAGGAAGTAAAGGCTGGTGAGGTCGGCGAGCTCTACTTGCGCGGCCCTAACGTCTTCTTGGGCTACCACAACAACCCGGAAGCTACTAGGGAGTGTTTGTCGGAAGATGGCTGGTTCCGTACCGGCGATGTGGGATACCAAGATGCCAAGGGCAATTTCTTCATCACGGATCGTGTCAAGGAACTCATCAAATACAAGGGATTCCAAGTACCACCCGCTGAACTTGAGGGAATTCTGGTGGACAACGAGGCCATTGATGATGTGGCTGTCATTGGTATCGAGAGCGAGGCTCACGGCTCTGAGGTGCCTTTGGCGTGTGTTGTTCGCAGCGCCAAGAGCAAGTCTTCTGGTTCCAACGAGGAGCAGGAAGCTGCTAAGATCGTGCAGTGGTTGGATAGCAAGGTTGCCCACCACAAGCGTCTGCGCGGTGGTGTGCGCTTCGTCGATGAGATCCCCAAGAACCCTAGTGGGAAGATCTTGCGCCGCGTGCTGAAGCAGAAGTTCAAGAACGACCTTCAAGGCCCAAAGGCAAAGCTATAAATACCTTATTTTCTGTATAGATTGTTGAAATTCATAGATCTTATATTCAAACCATATCCACTGTAAGAAACCCGAAAAATAATGAATTTTTTGGTCGGAAAACTGTGTTTCCTAAAAATCGACCCGAAATGCAGACGATGCATCATCCTCCTTAGGGGAAGAATCTCTTAACCATTCCCTTAACATCCTCTCCTTCAACAGCATCAATCTTCTCTTTTGCGACCTTCTCAACAGCCTCCTCCACCGGAACCTTGCCATTAATAAGGTCAATCCACCCTTCAATATCGTTCCTAGCAAGCAACTGATCTGCAACAATAGCAACATCCTCACGCGTCACATGCCCATTCGCTGTATGACCCAACTCAACCCTCCTCGTAGCAGGCTCTGTCGTCAACGTACCCGGACGAAGATTAATTGCCTGGAACGGACCAGCCGCGGTATCCAGCTTGCGGCGCGCTGTGAGCGCGGCCATGTACTCGTCTGCTTCTTGCTTGGCTTTGGCGTAGGTGGGGAGGACTTCGGTGTTTGTGCGGACGATACTCGCCCAATCATCGTTGGACATCCAACGAGGTTGCTTGCTGCGGCTGCCCAGGTATGAGATCATTAGGAATTTGGTTACACTGGGTGAGGAGAAGGAGGCGGTCATGAAGTGTTTAGCGGCTTCTTGGTCGATGGCGATTGTGCTGGCTGGGCCGCCTTTGCCGCCGGCGCCTGGAATGGAAGGTATTCATTAGTATGATGATTTTGAAGGTATTAAGATAGGGTATATTTGGGTAGGTTGTTCAGTGGATTCTGAGGTCCGGCACCGCGGAGCTTTAGTGGGGGCGGGACGGGGCGCGAGCTTACCAGCCGACCAAACCACATAGTCTGGAGTGACGGAGTCGAGGATCTTTCTGGCATCCGAGGCGCTCTTCACGTCTTCCAGGCTGGAGACGAGCACGTCAAGCTTGCCCTTGAGGCCCTTGCCGAGGGCCAGGATCTCGCTCTTGTGGTCGGGGTTGCGCACTACGCTGGTGACATTCCAAGCTCTGTTGAGAAAGAGCGGCGTCATGTGGAGGGCCACTTTACCGTGGCCACCGAGCAGAAGGACTTGCATATTGGACTGTGGTATTTTCAAAGGATCAGAGGTGTCGAGGGGAAGAAATTGGTGGTTTCAGCATGAACTCTTATTTCAGCTCATGCGGGGGCCCGATGACGCCACCAAAATGGCGCGTTCTTGATCTAATTTCTACGTAAATTTGATGTAAAGGACCCGCTCGTGTATATTGTCACTTGATGGTTTACAAGATAGGCTAGGTTCTATTACGCACGCTTTTAGCAAGAGGCACCAGAAGGCACATTCTCACACTCGCTGCTGGAAGAACCACCAGTGATCGAGACACCGGACCAAGTCCAGTCGGAGCAAGAGCCATCACCGCATAGGATATAGACCTGCTCAGCATCGCTATCGACGGAGCCAGTGATCGAGCTCACGGTCAAATCGGTGATGGGCACACCGGTGGTAGGAGTACCAGTAGGGCTGCCGTTCTCGTAGTCCTGCTCGAAGACAATGCCGTAGTCGCTGATACCGGAGAGGGTGATGTCAGAGAAGGTCACGCCCGAGACGGAGCCAGTGGCATCGGAGATGGTCTTGATGCGGATACCGTTGGCAGAGTCGGCCACGGTCGAGTGCGAGATGGTCACGTTCTTGACGGTGTTGTCGTCACGTCCGCCGACTGAGCCGATGGACAAACCGTGGCCACCGGAGCAGGTGCCGCCAGTGAAGACGATGTTCTATACTGAATATTAGAATATGCTATCTTGGTTGTTATAGGATTCTCTACATCAGAGGAATGTAAGAGATTGGGGCACTCACAGAGCCAGAGTTGATAGCCAAGCAGTCATCCTGGTTCTTGACAACAGCGTTACGGATGGTCACACCGTTGCTCTCACTAACATCAAAGGCATCAGTGTTGTGGCCACCTGCGGAGTCACCATCGGAGTTGTCAATGGTGATACGGTTCAGGACGATGTTGTCAGACTGGACACTAAAGGCCTGCACGGGAGTGTTCTTGATGTTGAGGCCAGTGATGGTCGAGTCGTCCAGGCTATGGGCGTAGAAGAATTTGGGCTTCGTCTTGCCGCCGTTGGTGCCCTCGCCGTCCCACCAGCGAGCGCCGCCGCCATTAATGGTGTGGTTGGATGTTCCGGTAACGATGATGTTCGATCCCTCGATACGGATGAGAGGGCCATCCCATTCTTCGTATCCGAAGGTGGTTTCACCGTCGAAGATGACCTGTTCCCAAAATTAGACGGTATTTTGAGATAGAACGATCTTTGATTCATACCTTGGTGCCATCTTCGAGGTCGGAGAGGTCCAGAGACTCACCAGCAGGCACCTCGATGTTGTCCAGCACAATCGTGGAGCATGATTTCTGACTTTCGCTGGCCTTGGTGGCAGAGGTGAAAGTGCAGGAAGTGGCTCTCTTAACCTGGCTCGAGGCACGAGAAGCAGTGGGGAAAGCAGATGTCACGGCTGCGCCCAAGGCGAGCATCGAAACAACGGAAGAACGCATTTTGAAGTATTGTCCGATCAACAGACAGAAAAAGAGTGCAAGTAGAGACTAGCTCGAACAAAAGGAACTAAAAGAACGAATAACAAGAATGGATTGACTCGAAAAAAGCAATTGACAGCATGGTACACCTTGCTATATAAGAATGATCAAGATTAGCGGACATCACATGAAACGGTTGAATGACTATCTCATCCCTCAATAAAACCCCCTGTCAGGAGTTCTGGGTCCTAATATACATATCTAAACTCCAATTGAAGCTCCGAGATGATCTCCACAGTGCGCATCATCACCATGTTAAGAAGTCTTGTCTGTTCCCGAATTCGGCGATGGTCCGAATTGGCCCACCAGTACCTCGGCAGCGTGTTCGGACAATACAAGGGCCGAGAAAGTCCAAAGGAGACTATTCCTCAGTCTCGGAAGATATTCGGGAAATAAATTTGACGGGGGTCGGTACCCGTTTCAGCCTGAGATGGGGATGTCCTCCAATGAGCAGTCTGTTGATGGAGCTCTGCAGAACGCCAGGCACGCGGTTGAGTGGGGCGATGCTGGTTGTCTCATGTAGAGCCCCGTGTATGTCAACAGCGTGCATGTCTTGGATTGCGGGCTATGGTGTGACTTGTCTGCTGAGGCTACACGTGTTGAGATCACCCGAAATAGGGGCTTGATTAATCGGCGAGCTCCAGTCGCGGTCAAAAGTCAACGAGGCTCACCTGCAGTAAAAATTACCCAAAGGGACAAGTGCTACAGATTGAGGGGAAGAGACTTGACAAAAGCCAGGTTTGGGTGAGGATTTTTCAACGACGTACTTCACACAAGCTCAAGACCAAGCCCTTTCGAGACAACTGAGGATCTGATATGTATAACCGGGGTAATATGGCAGGCCAAGACTTTTTAACTTCAAAAACATTCTAGCTTCTAACGATCGAGCGGCCTCGATACGAGCCAGGTTTCTCCATTTCGCAGACTCTGGCCAGTGACAAAAATCAAATTTCATGGGCGTGCGACGAGCCGTCAGACGGACCCGAAAAAAAGCGGAAGCCAGGAAGTTGACACATTCGGCCCATAAAGTTAACCCTTCCTCGACATGATAGGTTATTGACACGGAATGGTAAGTGTACTGCGCCGCAATGGCCACTGCCTAGATAAATTAACCTCTCAATCTGAAAAACGTGCCGGTTGCCCTTTCCAGGATGTAATAACGGGGACCATGACTAGAACGAAAAAGTTCTCAACATGTTCACCGACGCTGACTGGTTGAAGCTGTGACATTCAATGAGCCAGTACTTGAGTGTGTCGTGTCACATGAGTTAGGCCACCTTAGTACTCAACGAGCCATCAGGCCCTGACATTCCATCTTCGGCATACCTACCTAAGGTCACAATGATCTTATCGCCATAGCGTTGGAAGGCGCTTAAATGAACATCAGTACGTCAATTCAAGGACTAGCCACTACGGCAGCCTTGGCAACGTCATGTTCCCAAGTCGAAAATCTTGATATCGTAGAAGATTTTGCGAAATCTGAGATTCTGCAGGATCGGCGTGGTGCAGTCAACATACAATGAAGTCTCTCGAATTATTCACCAGCTCCTGGAGACCCGGAGGCGAGGCCGAGCCATGAGTACATGGTCTAAATCATCTTCTAGGGAGGAAAGCGGCTAGAAGGCGCTCAAGACTTAGCTTAACCGATTTCCAAGCCCGGCTCTATGGATAGATTACCTCGTGAATATATCTGGCTGGCGGTCCATTAAGGCCAGCAAGATGGCATCTAAGTATTTTCCACTCATTACTTTTTGCATAATAGTTTTGGCGATACTATCTCTTGGTGGAAATTTTTAAACCTCAATTTAGATTTAAATGGCCTGAACGTTGCTTTTCAATCCCCTTAATTTTCGAATTTTCAATTCTTTCTAAAGCGGCAATATAATCCTGATATGACGCATGGCAATACATGGCACTCTGCAAGTACCGAAAGGCCGATTTGTGAGGCGCTTCATCGAATTGAAACTATAGAATTATTTATGTAGATTCTCGACCCTCACAATTTTCTCGTCTTTCTAGTTAGCTTTTCCTAAGAGTGAACATGATTAATTTCCTCTCTGACTTGGTTGATTAGATATACTGACAGATGTATCGATGACTGTCAACTAGCAGTACTACTTAATATGAGCACGGTAGTGTTGACGCTGACTTCCGGCTTGAATCTTCATTTTTACTAGCAGATATACTTTGGCATATCTATCCCTTTCTCATACACTGCTTTTTAGTTTTACCATAACAGACAGTGTCTGTTTCTCAATTCTGCGCGCCCCACTGACGAGCGGCCATTCGTATGTCACTGTATACGGCGTCACTGCTATAGTAGCTTGGTCTGTCAATTATGTCAACACGTGAGTATCAACTCCAAGTATTTCAAGCACCAATTTCTCATCCTGCTACAGCTATGTGCCCCCAAGCATTCGACAGATTCTGCACTTATTGCGATGCAATTCCATTCACCTGCCGTTTTAACAACCGATGCCTACGCAGTGGGTCCTTTTATGCAAATCAAGCGAAACAAAATCCTCTGATCATCAAAGCACCTGTAAGTAAGTAAAGAAATATTATACTATATTACTGAAAAGTATACTGGTCGTAGCGACAGGAATATGTATATAATAATTTGTCTAGTAGTCTAATATTCCCCACGTTTGCCTCGAATAAAAATAATAATAACGTATACTATCAAATCAAATATCCTCACAACTTATTGTTAGTGAGATATCACTTAAGATTAATCGCAGTTACTATAAATTACGTCAAGTCTGGCAATGAAGAGATGAAATACAGTAAGTCAGAATATGGGGTCGTTGTGCTAGGGACTTGGAATATGAAAATCGGACAATAAAACCAACGCCAAAGGATCAAGTATCCATCCGTGCGCAAATGGTTCCAACCTTGGAAGGTCCTTAACATTCACGGCAAACCTTAACGATCAATTCAGGTATTCCGAGATTTTCCCGATCGGGCAGCACCGATGGTCCTTAACGAGCGCAGTTGGTCCATGATCCCAATGTTTACACTTTCGGGTCTATATATAATCTAGTCGCGGCTGTCTGCACGACGTCATGCATCTTTTGCCAGTACCGGGATCCACAATAGGATCAATAAAATGATGATCCTCAGAATTATTCAATCTATTGATCTTCTAGAAAGGGCGGACCTTCCGAGGCTGTATAGTTGAAGCATATGTAACGGGGGCGGGTTTCTTGTTCAACTCCTTCATATCCCCGCCCGAATCAGGACTACAGGAAAAAGCCGACCCATGACTCAGCTCAGTCGAACCGCTCACAAAGTTCTAGATTCGCGTGCCCGGTCTGAAATAGATTACTGACACGGGAATGACGGTAGGGCACGGAAAAAAGGTCGCGAAAGTAAAACTCTATCACAGGGCGGTTCAACAGTCGACTCCACCCCGCCCCAGGGGCGCCGTTGTCGCTAAAGTCCCAAGCGACTGCTTCATCGATCTTGTGATCAACGTTGGGCACTGAAACGAGCGAACCCCCGGGGACAAGACCCGAATTCCGCGGACAGAGAACGGTCGCGCAAACCCAAAATCAAGCCCTGGCAAGCCTCGATCGTGGTGAAACGATGGCTTGGGAGGGGAAAGCGGAGCTCGTGAGATTGGGGTGCCCCGTTCACATATTATTGCCGGCGATATCGTCGCGGTCGCTTTCTCTTGAACTCGGTGAGAATGCCGCTCGATCTGGAGGTTCGCCCGAGTGCATGGACTTCAGGGCGTCGCTTGTTGAATTCCGAGTCGATTCCTGCAGGATTTTGTTGAATCAACATTCGACGGTAATTGTTCTATAGCGGCACTAGTCATCTATGTGGCTTTATCTATGTGTCTAGATCGATAAGGCGTTGAGAGGCTTGGAAGACAAGGCGGGTTTAGATGCCAAAGGAAAGTGAGTAGAGGGGAAACGGAGGACAGGATCCGGTGGACCTAGGAATAAGTACCGTTCCATGGATCCAATACCGGCTCCACTCAGGCACACTGCACACTGTCCAGGTGTTTGTTTGGATCATGTCAATTAGTTATCCTTTGCTATTGAGACTGCCCGAAGCAGTTGAGGTCTGAAACTGACAATCAGGGATCTACACTTTGCCATCTGAAATTCGAGGATCTCATATATCAGGCCAGACTCGCAAGAGATGCAGGAAATGCAGGGGTAGGGCTATGTATATTCAAATTTCGCTCCCACAATAAATTGAGTTTACCCAACGCACTAGTCAGGGGCACACCAGTGCACTAGCATCCAATCCGGGCTGGCGGGGGATGTTGTAGCGGTTTTAGCTGAAAAGGGGCATCCCACTTTAATTTCCAGTGCGTGCTCTTAACACACTCAGCTCGACCCGCACTGCAGCCGAGGACAGCTCATCGTGTGGAACCCAAAACCCACGCACTAGGCTCTGATCCATTGACTCCCATTTACACCCCCTCTCAGTCCCACTGCTCGTCCTTTCTAAAGCTACACCCAAGGTAGCAGGTCCTCCGGGGGCCAGAATCTCTCAGAAAGCTTACTCCGGGTCCAGCAACGGCTGTCAGAACACCAAAGGCGACCCGGAAACTACGCTAGACAGTTTGCTTCCCTTTGTCCGCTTTGGGCCAGTTCTTCATTATCCATCGTCTTGTCCTCATGATCTCATGGTTCCACAGAGATGATCCGGTTTCCTGGGTTCTCTAATCCTGGAGCGACCCTAAGAAGGTCACTATTGAAATGCACGGTGAAGGAGTTGAGCGAGCCCCATCACTTGCCTCAGCTGGTTTGTTTTTCTCTGCCCGACCAAGTATGAGATCCACGACAACAAATCCAAACCCAGGACTATGGAATAATCTCCTGGGCCGTGCAGCGTGGTGCAGCATACTCCGTAGTGGCACAGCACCATAGCCTCATGAGCATACAGCAGATACACGGGTCCACCCGTACCTGCACGATGCAGGAGGTCTGCGCGCTCGGAGAAAAAGCTCAGGAATTGGGCTCGGTGCGACGACCGGTGCAGTGTGCAGTGTGGCTGATGCATTGATGCGTCTCTTTAGTGCCTCGCCACATTTACGGCAATTTGGCTATTAATTGCATTGTTTCCGATGCAAGGAGTCGTAAACCATCGAGTTATATTGCTAGAGCTCCAGCCGAGGGTAATTTCCCTGCATAGGCTCGCGACGGCTCTCCGAGAGGCCAGTGATCGTCAAAAAATCAGGTTCATCTGAGATCGGGGCATCGCGTTGACCCGCGTCCAGACCCCCGGAACCCATAGTCCGCTAGTAATTTAGTCTTCTTTTGGTTGGAATTACCTGGTTTTCAAGCACCGAGCCAACTTGGCACGCGAAACACGTAGGTTGCATACCGTGAAGGTTGGAACATGTACGTGGGAGACTGGGAAATGGGAGATGCTTGAAGTGGCGCATCAAGCCCCAGGTCCACATGCCGCAGCACACGCGAGAGAAATTTACGGGATGTGATAGATTACAGGTATCTATTTCCAGGCCTAGGTAATGCAAGGGGACCCTGTACCATGGACTATGACAAAGACACACATCCATGGATGCGAGTTCGGGTAGCCCCTTCCTTACCTTCCCCTCATGGGCGTCGCGTTGTACTGACAGGCCAAACAAAATAAACACACGCCAATTCTGACCGAAGACAAGAGAAGAGAAGAAGAAAAAATTTAAATTTTTTTTTTAAAAATTTCAATTGATCGACTGAACGGTGGGACAATGTCGGGGACGATCCGGATCCAGATCCTAGGATTTTAGGAATTTTTTTAATTTTAATTGAAGGATTTTGCTTTTCGGGTTCTTAGCCCCGTACATACTCATAATACACATACAAAGGGATCCAGGCTCAGTTAGCGGTACTTTTCTTCCCCATTCCCAACTTGCATTCCTCGACGAGGTTCTAACATTGTCTAACTATTCCCTTCAGTCACTCTTTTTTCTATCTTTCGCTTTGCTATTAATCTATATTGAACACAACAACGCTGTGACCTTCCGGTACAGGCCCGGTCTTTCTTCGTGTGATCAATCGCCAATTCCACAACCACCGGTCTTCAACCTTGATTGGCGCAACACCCCTGGCCCGATTTCCCTGTATACGATACGCGAGATCGATCCAAGAGTTATACATAGTCCCAACGCGCGCCTGTTTTTCTTTCCCCGTCGCCAGCTTCCCCGCCTGACGGTCATGCCGCTCTCTTTCTCCTAAGCTTCGGTGAGTGGTCTAAGACAGGAGATTCAAGCTAAGACTGGCAAGACTGACGGCTACTTGCTACAGCCACAGTCAATCTCGTATACCCCTCGTCCTTCGTTTAATTTCCCCTGCTTGACTGCAGCCACTCCTTTCCATACCCACCCACCACAATGAATCGATTCCGCAAGAACAAGAAGGAGAAGGAGAAGGCCAAGGAGGTCTTGGAGGACTTGGAAAATGGACCGACACACACTACAAATCCCGTCTTTAGTCTGAAGTCCAAGAAGAAGGAGCCCGAGCCGCAACCAGAGCCCGAATTCTCCATCGAACTCCCCTCCACAGATAACTTCCGGACCAGTTTACTCATGCCGAAACTATCGGCTCGCTTCAGCATGTTGCGAGAACAGGATGATCCAGAATCAAAAATAGGGAAAGCGAGCGATGATAGTGTGCTGTTCCCTAAGCGCGCCTCCCGATTGAACATATTCGGTCACAACCCAAGCATGCTCGCTGATATCGACGAGGTCTCCTCGAATGACGGTAGTCGACCTTCAATCGCCTTGGGACGCAAAGACTCATACGCTTCTGGCGTTGATGGAGGATATGGTACGGACGACGATCGATCACAAAATGGTAGCATCATGAGCAGAGCCCGCCGAGCAGAGGGCAACAACTTGTTTGGAGGGCGCCAAAAGGTCTATCGGATTCCAGTGCGGACGCCGGGGGACAGCCCGGCGCCCGAGAGCCCATTGGGCTCGGGCAAGTTTGTGTACGACCATGACCTAAACATGTCTGCTTTCCAGCGCCTGAGGCTCAAGGAGAAGCAGGAGCGAGCTGCCGCTGAGGAATCAACTCGAGAAAGCCTCACACAGGAGAATGAGGATGCCAATTCGACCATCTCTGCACAGCGTACCACCTTCTCTTCGACGGCATCGGGACCTGCAGCGGATGCGCGCTCCTCGACCGCGGCTACTTCAATCGACGAATCCCAATTTATTGTGTCGCAATCACAAGTTTCCACTCCTGCAGAAGCCCACGTGGACTTCCGGTCAGCATCTGCCATGTCGACCCCAAAGACTGGCTCAATCCGCTCCCCGTCGGCTCTACGGTCAAGGCCTGACTCAGGCTGCTCAGAACCAGCAGTCCTCAACTTTGAATCGGTTGGAGAGCTTGAGCCGCCAGCGTGCGGGTACCCCCGAGCTTCAGCCTATGAACCGTGCCTTCTCCCGAAGTGCCTCCAATCTGCGGGGTCGGCTGCAGAAGCTCAACATTACGGAGCAAGCTCCTTCGTCCCGGCCTACTAGTCCTCCCTCATCAGCGACCTCGCCCCAGCAGGCCACTATTCCGGAACCTTCGCCTATGGAACGCATCTCACCCACGGCCGCCGCTTTCGGGTCTGCCCCTCCCCTGAGCCCGCCCTCGAGCGAGAACGAGGATGGTGCCTCCTTGTTGGCCGCAGCACTCAACCCCGAAGACCACGGAAAGGCCACCGCCATGGGTCTTTTCAACCGACCCGCCACCGGCTTTGACGAGCAGGCATTCGCTCGCCGCCAGCTTCAGATGCAACAGGGACGCAGCACTCCCCCGTTGCGGCGTCCTTCTTCCCCCCTCGTCGCCCTCTGCCCGCGGAGCCTGTGGTCCGTCAGCGTGGCCTGTCCAAGTCCAGCTACCGTTCCCGAGCCGAGTCTGCTTCGTCCCATTACAGTAGTGATGCGCATCACGGCATTGACTACTCCCGAGCATCTAGTGTGGAAGCATCACCAGGACGGCCTGGTGTGTCAACTTTTTATGCTACTTCTACTGCCAGCGAATCTGGAGACGAAGGCGATGATCGCGGATCCTACGAGCTTTCTTCTGCTACATCACTGGCCACCGAGTATGGTCCCTCGCTGCATCATTCCTTTGCATCTAAGCCGCCGACACCCACCGGCGACCACCTTGAGACGCTTCCCGAGGTGAGATATTCGGATCTCGGTGACCTTAAGCCCATCGAAGAAAACGTGGACGAGCCCCATCCATCAGGCATGACTGGGGATCACACCCCCGAGCGTCCTGACTCACCAATACTTCATGGCGTTGGGCTGAGTGGGATTCGGTCTCATCTGCGTAACCCAAGCGACAAGTCTTCAATCTACCCGCCTCCATCGCCTGGTCTTCCAGCGCAAGACTCCATTGCAAATAGACTCGCTATGGAGGAGCCTATCCTTGAGCAGTCGCGCAGTCCTTCCATTGCATCGCATCCCCGAGAGGAAGATATTCCCTCGTCAACTGAACAGCTAGAGGCATCAAGCCGCGGCAGCGAGGATTCATCCGAGTCCACTGCTTTCCCCGGAAATAGCTCAGACTCGAATATTGCGTCGTGGAAAGAGGAGCTTTACCAACACCACCGCCAGGATGGGAGTACCGAAACTCAGAAAGAGCGCGAAGAGTTCGCCATTGAGCTGGCCGAGCGACGCAGAAAGGTTCAGGAGAAGCTGCGCAGTGTTGCAGAAAGCGAGAGCCGATCTAGCAGCCCTACCCCTGGGCGATCGACTCCGGAAATCAAGGCAGGCAACGCTTTCTCTATGCTGAAGTATAAATCAAGCAAGCAGGAGCTTCCAAGGAATGATATCAAGAACGGCCATATCTATGGCTATGGCAACTCATCCACACCTGCTTTACCATCCGATGATCTTCGCCGCGATGAGGAACGTGCTGCATTCAACTTTGGCCGCCACGGCAACTCTAGCTCCCCTCAAGTTGCCGAGCGATCCTTCCGATCTCGGATGCCAGCCCTCAGCCGGACTGGCCGTGACGCATCGCGCGAGTCGAGTGACAGCCGCAATGAATCTCCCGCTCAGAGGGACCGTTCTGGTTCTGGCGGCTCTGGTCGTTCCAAGAGCCGAACTAGATACCGCGACCGTGATGATCTTCAGACGGTGGACGAAGGCGCAGTTATCGCACATGACAAGTTCGTCATACCTGACAACTTCGAGCCTCCAGTTCCTGCTTCAGTTCCAGGTTCAGCTCGCCCTTCGATGGAAGGTAACGAGCCTGGTTACTTCGACCTCGCTGCCTCTGCTTCCTCTGGCAGATACCGCAGCACCAGCCGATCTGGAACCGCAAGCTTCCAATACGAACGCCCCTTCCAGTATCAACAGTCCCAGCCGACCTCAATGATCGGTGTCTCCCCGCGACCATCGCCTGCGACGCCGGCCTACTCTGCCAATGCCACTCCCCCGCTGAACGAGGATCAATCACCCACTACCTCAGCGGGCAGCGGTACCAACCCACCCCAGCGGGCCCCTGGTTACAACATGCTCCAGAAGCGTCCCATAAACAAGAAGCTCATTTCTGAGCCGACATTCGTGTCGTGCACATCGAATGTTCCTACCGTTGGTCTACCCGGAGGGTCTCCAGCAACTACACCCCCAGTGCCCCCCATGAACCCTCGCCGCCGCCGCGGAACCCAAACTTTCATCAGCGCCTTCAAACATGACTCCTCGCGGGTCTCATCCCCCGCTCCCAGCATCTCCGATGAGCACAGCGTCTTCCCCGACGACGAAACTCGCCCACGCTCAAACTCCCGCTCCAGAAACCGCCTTCGCAAGACCTCAAGCGAAGGAGGTAGCATGAACGTGCGCGCTCGCCAGGAAGCAATGGCGGACCCTGTCCCAGCCGTCCCGTCTTACCCTCCCCCTGCCATTCCCGCGGATGGTGGCATGTTCTAAACATCCCGCTCTTTGATAAAATTTCTTTTTCGTTTCTTCGTTTGGTATCAAGCCACATACCTTTGCACGTCTCTCTACCTCTAGCTTTTCTTGCGTCACATTGCTCTCATACTTCTCACGACTATATACCACCTGGTGCATTACTTGAGCGTCACTTGTCTACCTTTTTTTCCTTTATCTTTTTGTCACAATATGGGCTCGGGTGTACTACACTGGTGTGTATCTTGAGTTGAAAACTTTGAATTACATATTGCCTTTTGGACTATTCTTCCTTCGTAAAGACATAATTTCATGCATGCCCCTAGCGTATTGCCTGTAAATGGTGCTCAAACGTTCCGTGTGAGTGTCTAGGACCGGTTAGACCGTAGTAACTCTAGGTCTCCCAGGCCATGAAGCTTCTTTTTCCGGCCTGTAAGCTTCCGATCCTATATTCTGTTCGGAACCATTCAAGACGGATGTACTTTTTACAGTCTCCTCACCGCATGCACTTCATTATTCTGGATACAGCTAACTTGTCTAGGCCATCGGTAATGCTTCCAATGATACAATCGTGAGCATCTGAAAGTACGTGGATATGGACTACATTGAACCATTAACACTAAGGAAAGCGACATGTAGCCTAACGCGCACACTTAAAGTCAATCGTCGGGGATCATTAGTACGAACAAAAACTCTCTCAGTGCCAGGCCTCGATTGTTAAACTTTGTCACTCGTCTGTTCAGTCAAGGTATCTCATAGCATAGCTGGTAATTGGATGGGATGGTGGTTAATAATCACAATCACGTGGTAAATCCGTGCCCTTGTTTATCGATTCTAAAGTCAACCTTTCACCTTCCCGTACTGCGATACATAAGATGACAACAGCTCATTTTTGACGGGAACCCTTTTTATAAACTCACAGAGATGAAACAACATGTCTATAATAATATAGGCTCTCTTCAAATGCTCAATATGCAGGTGAATATAGAAGGCAGCCGTTCTGGGTGATCTAGACTCCGACGGGTCTATAACTGCGAAGGATGACACCTTTCCCGAAATATACAAGGAAGCCTTCGTAAGTATGTGCAACCGGCGAGAAGCTAAACCAGGCCCAGGGGCCGTGTGCGTTGCGATGAGGCTTGATGCGCCGCCAACCTTTACTTTCCAACTCACTACTTCCACGCCCTTTCCCCCGTAACTTTTACAAAACCTCATTGAGACTAAGGCCAACAGCCATGGCGCACTCCGAGGGTAAGTACCAAGGCGGCATGCACTGGTCCGAACAGGTCCTAGCGTACAGTCAAGGTCTTCCAATGCCTGGAATTCCTGAGGATGCCACCGTGTGTACGGACCTGGACTCTTCAGAGTACGAGTATGCGGCGGCTCCTGGCTCTTTGACCGAAAATTCTTTTGAACTTCGCGAGAATCTATCTCCAGAGGACTTTCTGGGAAGGTTTTGGAATTACCACAAGTGGTATTCAACTCCTGCAGGAACTCGATATGTCGCGCATGCGCCTCGAAACCCAGCGGATGAGTTTGTACGGTGTTTTGATAGTTCAGGACAGGCAGTTGGACACGCGCCGGTCGTCAAGGATTCATCGGTCAACATCGCCTCAGGATCTGCTCTTTCCGACGACTCCCTTGAAACGCGAGGACCGTCTACTCTCGATGGACCTTCACTTGGGCAAATTATTGACGCTGGTTTCAATTTCGACTTTTCTCTCAACCTTGATCACTTCTCCGCACCTTTCCCCTCATCTCGTGCTATTCCTGTCAACACTCCGTCTTATTCTCCTTCCCCTCCGCCTCATTCTAAACAGCCTCACGTTGAGGAGTATCAGCCTTGTCCTCTAGAGACCGATATTATCACTTCTTCACACGTGAACAAACCTCATTCTCAGAAAGGCACTGGGCCCAAAAAGGCCTTCAAAAAGAAAAACATGGCGAAGAAGCCGCTTCCTAAACCTACCGCCAGCGCACTCAATGCTGAGGCTTCTTCAAAGCTTCTCTCACTTTCACCTACTCCACCTGTTCCTGCTCTCTCGTTCGCATCCATCTATGCTCCTCTGCCTCTCTCTGACCTCCCCGCCGAACATGCTTGGGATGATACCTCTTCAAAACCTTGGACCAAAGTGGTGAACAAGAAAAAGGAAGCTGCTTTGAAGAAATCATCAGCCAAGGCATCTCCGGTCCCCCAGACCCCCAAGAACGCGAAGGTGTCGCCTAAAGATAAAATAAAGACCACTGGCTCTGGTAACTCGCCTGCTCAGCCTACACCGTCCACCTCAAGTGCGAGTGCACGGCAAAATGACAAAAAGAAGCAGCCAGATGCCTCTCGCCCCGTTTCCATGGAATTGCCTCCATGTCTGTCCGCCATCTCTCCTCCCAGGTCTACTCCCGTCCGTTCTTCTCCTTCACAACCCGCTCCCGTTCCGTCTTCTTCGCCTGCGATTCCCGTCTCTTCGCTTTCCCGTACGGATACTATCGTTCCGTCTCACCAGCCGGCTCCTATTTCTCCGGACCGTCCGATTTCTGTCTCGTTCTCTCCTCATCTGGCTTCTACCTCACCTTCCCGTTTGGATCCCGTTCCCTCAACTCTCCCCGTGGAGCCTGAAGAGACATCTTCCCACAGTAGCGATGGGTCGTCTTCGTCGATTGAAATTATCACGGAGAGACCCTCGGCTGCTGCCACGTACCGAGAAGCGAGTGAAGAGAGCGTTGAAAGAACCCCCTGTGGTCAGCCGGGCTGTGGTTATTAGGCCACCGCCGTCTTCTATCATTATCTCAGCCCCCCTGTCTACTGGTGCTGTTCCAGTCCCTATGCCAGCTGCTATTATTCCGGTGCCTGCATGCGTTGTGCTCGTCCCAGAGCAGAACTCTAAGCCCTTTATCATCGAAACGGAGGATTGGCGCAATAAGGTTGCTGAGACACAACTCGAAATCGACGAGACGATTGCCACAGCTAAGCAGGCCCAGGATGTGCACGGGGATGAGAAGAGGCGTGCGCTAGCTGACGCGCACCTGAAGCTCGTGGAAACCACCCGCCAGTATGCCCATCAAAACCCTCAGATCGCGTTTGGTAACCCCAACGCCGTTCCGTGGCCCCTGGGCATGCCGCTCATGACGGACGACGAGTACCGTGAGGCTGGGCGATCCTATCCCAATGGCATACCGGCGATAGAAAAAGCGGCGGGATACACGTACTGGCAGAGTGAGAGTTCTCACCCTCGCTCGGCCGTCACTTACCCGCACATGACCCAGCATACAGATCAGGGCATGCATGTCTTCACTTGGACCCATATGAGTGAACCGGGGTACGACTACCTAGAAGCATTCTTGAGTGACCCAGCGAAGTGCTGGTTCAACCCCCCGTGCTGCCAGCACAGGCATGCATATGCCCTCCGGACAAACACTCCTTTGCATTGGGCAGATAGTTGCTGCTGTGCTCATGATCCGTCAAGATGCTGCCCTTGTCTTACTCTGGAGATGCAAAATGCGGTGCCCGAGGCCGGGTTACCTTGGGGTAATATCCCTGATGAAAGAATAGGACATGACTTCCGTGATCAGCCTGTCGTGATTTCTGGAAGATTCCGGCCTGATAACAGTGGGTACCTTACTTCTTCTAGCGGCCTTATCGCGCAACCCGGTCTGGAGAAGCCGGGAGGCATCGGTAACTGGCTTTTAGGCTCTGTCGCGGTGCCTCCTGCCAACTTGACTGGATATGGTTATTACAATCCGGGTGGATCTGGCGAATGGGGTCTGATAAAACAAACTGGACAAGCTCTTTCTGTCCCTTTCAGAGGCTATGCTCACGGTATTTCTGGTCAATACGGTCCCATTCACTCCGGCTACAATGGTCAATACATTCGTAATGTTGGGCCATCAAGCTACGTTGTGAGACCTCCAGGAAAAGAGGGTTCTATCTTCCCAGGGTCAGCTCGAGTTCAAAACAGTTCTGTTCAAACTAGCAGTTCTCATGGAAACAGACAGCAACCCCAGGCCTTTGTAGGTCAATATCGACCTCGACATGGAGGTAACCATATAAACACGCCTTCCTCTGGCAGCTATCAGCATGGTCGACCTGGGTCCGGACCCGGACCTTCTATAGTGGCGTCTCCTACTCGGCCACAGACTGATCTAGGTAGCCCCCTGCCTCCAATACATGATCTACGAGAACCTGTGGGGGTAGCAGAGCCACCTGTTCGGAGACGTCAAACTACACGTCAGGTTCCCGTGCCAGCTCCAGCTTTCACTTTCCCTGAGGTAACAACTGAGTTGAATCTGACTGGGAAGGTTTCTGATACCCCTCAGCTCTCGTCAACTGAGACTTCACTTTCCCCCTCTTCCAACATTCCTCCCACGGCACTTGTTCCTGTGACTGAGACCACTCCTATTGAATCGATCGATTCACTATTTGACAATAGGGCCTTTGCGGTATCAGTTGTTTCGAACCTTCTCCCGGCTCTTCCCACTCCACTTGACTGGTGCCGACGCACTGTGTCATTCTTCTCGCCTCTTGACTCCATTGATGAACCGTCTCCTGATCCCCTCGCTCGCCCGGGCTCTGCTCCCATGAATCTCGACGCAAACAGGATCGATCGCATGATTACGCAGACCAGTGATTGGCTCAGGCAAGCCAGACTCGAGCAATCTGAGTCTGATCAGATCTGGTTCGAGCAGGCCAAGTCTGAGAAGGCCAAACCGGAACACTTGTCTATGCAGAGCCTTCGCACTGATTCGACTTCACTTACACCGGACACCCCTCACGAGTTCTTTGACGCTAGACAGGAGCAGAACACATCTCCTATTCCAACCGAAAAGTCAGACAGACCTACTTCGCCAGGTATCGCCACTGAACCGGTCACTGAACGAACCACTCCTCAAGGGTCTCCCAAGAGGAGCTGCCTGAAGAGCCCCGAGGCAAAAATGGAATCCCCTTCTCCCTCTGTTCACTTTGACAAAGGCTCTGGCGACTCCACTTGGAAGTACCCATCGTCTGAGAAGATGCAAGTCATCAGGGACAGTTGCCTCCACAAATCTCAGGGTGTCAGAATTCTCCTCACGCCCGTAACAAATCTCTCGGCCAAGCCCAGTGAGTGCAAGGCTCACAAAGAGATACTCATGGCCACCAGCCCGTTCCTTGCCGCAGCCTTGCAGGTCATTAAGGAGGATGGAGATGGAATAACTCGCATCCACCTCCACGGTGGTCCCAGATTCAACTGCCACACTGCTTTCGATTTGGCTCTCGATGGCCTGTACGACCCTAAGCGGAAGCTTTCGCACGAGAACATTCGATACCATGCCATAAATGGTCTGGGCGGTGAACCCAGAAAAAAGGACAGCGATATGACCTTCTCAGTTCACCTGGCCATGGTGGATTTTGCTCTTTGCTATGGTTCGGCTGGTGCTTTCTTCGGATATCAGCCGGCTGTCACGCGGGCGATTGAGCTGATCCTGGATCTTCTTGACTGGGAAAGCGCAGATTTCCTTCTTTCGTCGTGTCTTCTGGTCGGCGAATACATGCTGACTGTTCCTGCCCTTCACCCAGGCGCGGTCAAGCCCACTCCCGCCGTTGTGCGGGCCGGGCAAATTGGTGATCAGCACATGTCCAACTTCCATTTGAACGAAATAGGTATTGTCAAGAAGGCATTGTTCAAGTTCATGGCGTCGAACATTATGCCCGGTTTCAAACTCTACGAACGTGCCCAAGCCACTTACTACGCGACGCGCATTCCGCGCCAGATCTGGACCCTGCCTGGTTCATACATGGATAACATGAGCATTGAGGCAGTCCGCTATGGAGGCAACCTCTCTTTCGCAGATCCTAGACCCAAACGTCTCGATATCACCATCCTTTCCGCAATGCTTATCACTCTTCCATTCTGTTTCTTCATGAACCTCATCGATGAGATGAAGAAGGCTCGGGCCCCCGCGCTGACCGTGGAACTGATGAAGGAGGTTGTTGGCCTGCGTGAAGAACGCCGCACATGGGCCTTGCATATCTTTGCCCAAAAGAGACTCCCATCTGTTGTCATCGACCAAGCCTATCTTGAGGAACTTGCCTACCGTGAATTTGTCCTCTTCGAACGAGCCGCAGACCAGTGCGTCAGCAATGCCATGGTCCATCGCATCTGGGTCGGGCTTGACCCTCCTGTCGCTCTCCCATCACATCCTTTGACTCTGGCCGATCTTGAAGCTTCTTTTGAGCCGAACTCCTACGGCGAAGGCCCCAGCAAACGTGCCTCGCGCAACAAGAACAACATGAACAACATGAGCAAGGGAAAGAAGGGTAACGGTACTGCTGTCTCTGGCCCGACTACCCAGACAATCACCGGAAAGAAAAGCACCATCCAGACTCCCTCTGCTCCTGGCTCGAAAGTTGAGATTCCACCAGCTCCCAACTTGAATGTTCCGACTCCGCCTGTCCCCGGCACAATCGCTCAAACTCCGAATACCCCTGTTCCTGATGGTGAACAACCCCAGACTCCAAGGAAGAAAAAGAATAAGAAGAACCGAAAGAAGAAGTCAAACGCCACGCAGCAGTGAGTCCTTTACTCACCTTCAATGTTCATCAATTGCACAGCAATTGCACAGCCATCTACCTTGAACAGCGACTTTACGAATACGATGTGATCTGGGATTTAGGATTCAATCAATGCATACATGCATGGAGCGTTTCCGGCGCGTTCATACTAAATTCAGTTGTGATTTACCAGTCATCCGCATGAACGAATCTTCTCCATTTCCTACGATCTATTTTCCATGAACAAGATACCCCCCACTGTCTTCCTGTATCCTAATGAAAAGATACCTGCCCAGGTGGTAGCACGATGTAAGATTTTCAGAGTTTAGGCCCAGTCATGAGTACGTTGCAGCTTTCCTTCTGGTTTGAAGTTTATCTAGTGGATGCACGTAGAGGCCGTAGTTAAGCAAGAGCAGATGGGACCAATGGCGTAATGGGTTCGTAGTAACTTCCTGAATTATCACGAACCGGACGTTGTTGTTGCCCCCTTCGAATAACCTCCTCCATTCTACACTTGTCTATGAAGAAAAAGAAAGGATCTGATGAGGCTTAGCTTTTGCTGACCTCTTGCTTTTATGTAACGGGATCATATATACGAAATGGTGTATCACTTTCGAGTAAGGAAAACTGAATTGTACGATGCACTGATGAAGTGTCAGGATATCCGGCTTCAGACATAACAAAAAGAGGTGAAGGGACGTTTGGCAAATCGAGGTGTGTTATAAATGTTCAAAGAATCCGTGGCGAGATACTTTATTCTGTAGAGCAAATATGGGTATCGAACCAGTGGGCTAACACTCCATGAAAGAGGCTGGAGGAGGAGAGAAAAGAGGAGTTCCAGAAGGGAGAAGAACCGCTTAATTAATGCCTTGAGCTCGAAGGATTGTGGCTCCTTAAGTAAAGCGAGTACCAACTTCGCTTTTGCTCTAGGAGCCGATTACAAAAGGGGCAGCATGAATGTCATCATTCCGTGGATATTTCATGACTATCGATTCTATCTTTTGCTTCCTTCTATGATTGCTCTTCACTAGAAGACATAAGAAGCAAGAGACCCTCCGCCCCTGTGTCACATATAGCTTCACTGTTGTCGGGAAAGGAACCACGTCTGGGCCGTGGAAAGAAGTTTCTCATGAAGCGTAAGCACACCAAATTTTGTTCAAGGCTCAAGGTACGTGGCGTGTCGCTACTGTGGCCGTGGCATAAAGCCCATGGGCCGTCGAAGCCGATTTCGGCAGCTCTAGACCGAAGGAAGATTCCCAGTAAAATTCCGAATTTGTGCGGCCGCTATCTACCCAAGGTATCATCTATACAAAGTGCAAACTACCATCTACTCCTTATCCGGGAACCCAAAGGTAACACCGAACGGAGGGAAGACGAAGCGCTGGAACGACTTAGTCGCAGCTAAAGTCTCCGAGTACATCTTAATGGTCGCCATATCCTCAGCGTCGAGATGGATGAGATCAGCCCGATTAGCCTCGATGCGCGCGGGAGTCACAGACTTGGCGAGCACAGAGGAGCCGCGAGCGATGTGCCAGCTGAGCAGGACAGTAGCGGGCGTGACATTGCGCTTCTTGGCGACGGTGACGATGGGCTCGGCGGTGAAGAGGGGGCTGCCGGTGCTGCCTAGGGGACTGTAGGCAGTGATGTGGATGCCCTTGGCGGCACAGTAGTCGACGATCTCCTGCTGCGGCAGAGAGGGGTGGTTCTCGATCTGGTTGGCGGCGGGGATGATGGTCGCCTGGGGGAGGAGCTCCTCGAGGTACTTGACGGAGTAGTTGGAGACGCCGATGGCCTTGACTTTGCCGGTGCCAACGAGCTTCTCCATGCTCTTCCAGGTGGTGACGTGGGAGTGGCTGTGGTCGATGTCCCGGGAGCCGTCGGCCAGCTTGGGGAAGACAGGATGGTTTCCTATGTTTGTTAGAATGGGCCAGGTTGTGATTGTAGAATGGAAGACTCACCGATGGGGTTCATGGCCAGGGGCCAGTGCATCAGGTAGAGGTCGACATAGTCGAGTCCGAGGTTCTTCAAGCTGGTCTCGAGACCCTCCTCGGCGCGGGCGTGGTAGGAGCACCACAGCTTGGTGGTGACGAAGAGCTCCTCGCGCTTCACGATACCGGAGTCAATGGCCTCCTTGATACCCTGGCCGACTTCGTTCTCGTTGCCGTAGACCAGAGCAGTGTCAATGTGGCGGTAGCCGACCTTGATGGCGTGGGCAACAGCCCTGGCGACTTCGCCAGGGCCAGATTGCCAGGTACCGAGACCCAGAGCAGGGATCTCGGCACCGGTGTTGAGCTTGATCCGGACGTCACAGGCAGCCATTGTGTATGACTTTGAGAGATGGATTGAATTGAGAAAGGAAGAGGACGAGGAAGAGGAAGAGAGGGCAAGAGAAGTAAGGAAGAAGAGGCCGGGGACCGATGTAAAGATGCACCGAGCTGTGCCCCCACGCGCGGGGGATTCTTTGCCCCGCCTTTTGCGACTCGGGCCCGGTATTCTCACTCCGACCGGTCCTCGTCTTCGTTTTTCCGTCAACCAGGGCAATCATACCCGGTTTCGAGTACTGTCGTCATGTGGATTCTGTTGGGCCCTAGGTTTGCTCCTGTCGGCAACGGAGTACACGCGGTGACGTGGTTCGCGAATTGCCCACTCGCGAAAGAAGAACCAGGGCAGCGAACCAAATACAGCTGAACATGGCGTCAGTCAGCATCGGGAATTGGATTCTACAGTAATGTACAATGTTTTTCTCTTCCACATCTGCGGATTCTCGTGGTTCGCCTGTTGACATCATTCTAAGCAATGTTGACGATACGAATGACTCGGATGGACTAGAGTTGCGAGAAGTCGCGCTATGTCATGTCCCGAATCGGGGTATTTGGATCGGGTAAATAGAGTACCCGGGGACCACGCTAATCGGGCAATCACGCCAAGGCTCCTGGGCTCTCGAGGACCCCGCACTCCGAACTCGCAGCATGATCGATAGTAAGCCGCAAAGCGTCAGTAGACTCCAAAGCTACCCTAGGTAGAATATAAACATCCAAACGACAGAGCCGACATGAACGAGCAACCTTGGAAGCATTGCCGGTGCTCGTCACATTATGCAGGACAAGTCCATACCCGACGCCGCTCTGTGGAGACCTGGAACTTGATTCCCGAGCACTCGACCATCGAGGGTAATGTTCGCCGCCTTGTTCATCCGGCAAATTAGCTATAGCGCTGGGGATACTAAAAAGAACCTCGAGCAAGTCCGAAGGCCCTAGTTATCTCAGCTCTTATTTAAAAACATCCATTGATCCTAATATACAGAAGAAAGATCAACAAAAATCAATGGCATTTACAAATCACAAATCACATCTGAACGCAGACATGTCCAATTAAAGCTTCGACACCTCTATGCGGTTCCCATCTTCATCAAAGACAATCTTCTTCCCACCAACCATACTCTCCTGCAACGCCGCCCCAATGCGTACAGCCTGCACGGCAGCGTTCAGATCCAACGGCAACTTCCGATCCTCAAGCACACACGCCGTAAACTCATTCGCCTCAGTAACAAAGGCATACTCAAAGCGATCGTAATAAGTCTGCGGAATCTCCCGCCTCACCCCGGAGTCATCAAAGATATTAACCAAATTCATCTGCGGCTGCGCATTCACAGCGAGCTTCCCCTTCGTTCCAATAATCTCCGTCGTATCCTCCTGTCCAGCCGCCATCATGCGCGACGCGTAGAAGTACGCTATCTTGCCATCATGGAACTCGACTAGTCCAACTGCATTGTCGCGGTCGTTGTGTTTGCGGAGGTCCGGTTCCACGGCGGTGATTCCTACCGCCGAGACGGATTTGACTTTGCTGTGGGCGCCGAAGAACCAGAGTGCGAGGTCGATGTCGTGGATGGAGCAGTCGACGAAGATTCCACCGGAGAATTCGGCGTAGGCGACGAAGAAGCCCGAGGGGTCGAGCTTGTCGCAGGTTTGGCTGCGGAGGACGGAGGGTGTGCCGATCGTGCCGGTGCTCATCTTTTTGAAGGCGTCGCGGTAAGAGGCGTCGAATCGGCGAGAGAACCCGCACATCACTTTCAAGTGGGGCTTTTTGTTGGCGGCATCGACGACGGATTGGGACTATTGGGTGTTAGGTGTTGCCAATGGAGGGGTGGAGGGGGAGTACGTACGACGTCAACGCTGGTCGACAGCGGCTTTTCGCAGAGAACGTGCTTGTCGGCTTCGATGGCCTTGATGGCCTGCTCGGCGTGTACTGCAGTGGCCGATGCAACGACAATGGCTTGTAGACCCTCCTGCTTCAACATGTCGTCGTAATTTTGGTACAGGCGCACCCCGAAGGGCTCCAGGTGTGTCTTGGCCCATTCGAGCTCGACGGGGTCCGGGGAGCTAGCGGCTACCAGCTCGGCGCGAGGGCAACGCTCCAGGAAGTTGAGGGCGTGACGCTTGCCCATACGGCCGAGGCCGGCACAGCCGATCTTCATTTTTTGAACGGACATGGTGTGCTCTGTACAGGGTGGGAAGATCAATTGGATTCCCAAAATGTAGTTCGAGTCCCCCCCCCCCCGGCTTTTAAAAAAGATGAATGCGGAGAAAGTGGGTCAGCCAGACCGACATTCGGGGAAGTCGGAACTACAAGGCCGACTGGAATTCGACTTCCGAGGAATTCAACGCTGCATTATTTTCCTAAACTTCCTAAACTTCGGGATTCAGATTGATATCATCGCGTTGAAAAAGACTCTCCCTCCGCGCCTCGTGCTCCCGTCGCAACTTGCGCTTCGCAATGATCTCTTCGGGGTCGACCCACCCGTCTCCCCGCAACCACGCCAGGGACTTGCGAATACCTGGACCCTGTACCGCAGCCGGGTGGGCCTCGTAGATTGATCCGATGACCGCCCAGGAGAGAACGAAGAGCCAGACTTCACCGCCACGGCCACCCTTCCATAGTCCACGCTTGACACCGGTCTTCCAGGCCGAGTCCACTCCAGCGCGGAAGAAATACATAAACACGCTGCGGCTGCTACCCAGGAACATGAATGGGAGTCCACCAATGGCTCCGCTGAGGAAGAAACGCTTGGTGGGGAGTGTGGAGCGAGGAAGAGCGCCATTCAGAAGGCAGATGCTGCCCCAAGCGGACCCGATGGCGGCTGACAGTACGGCAGTCATCAGGAGGATTCGCTTGGATAGATTGTTTATAGATGTAAATGGCTGAGCGAGGACGCTCTTGAATTTGGGAATGGTCAGTGCTAGCGTCACGGTGGCCAGGAAGCGGGCTAGCGGGGGCACCGAGAGTAGAATGTGGTGTAGGTACGCTGTGCTGCAGTTTGGTACCCCTGGGTGAAGCAGAGCGCATGACAGGTTCGTGATCGAGGGGTGCGCAGGACCTGTAATCGGGGAAATTGACTTGACCACGGATGGGAGGGTAAGAGGGTCGGCCGGGTGCAGAATGGGCGACACAAATTTACTAGACGGGGTCAGGTATATACAAAGCAGGGAAAAAAACGAAACTTACGGCCAGCGCAGATCCGCAATAGATGCGAGAGAATCCACGATCTGCTCCTTCTCGGGCCAGGAGCTGCTGGCAGGGAGCGACTCCGGTCGGCCGGGGATATAACTCGGCGAGAGCTTGAGAATGGCATTGCCGAACCACTAGAACACAAATCAGCCGTCATCCTCCATCATTTTCACAGTATACAAGGTATGTGACCAACCTTAGGCGTAGTCTCGCGGTCAAATACAAAAGCATGGAAGAGCTGAGCACACGAGATCGGCATAAGCAGCCAGCTGCCGAACCACCATGGGCGCTGAGCCAACCATCCCTTCTCATCCATAGTATTGAACAAGAACTCCAGACTCCGCGTCGACCAGTAGATAGCAGCCGTCAAACGGAGCTGCTCCTGTGGCGTTATCGCCAGAGCGAAGCCGGCCAAACTAGCCCCGACGGCCGGGGCAAAGCGCGACGTGAGCGCGCGCGAGATCCGCGGGTTTCGCACCCGGAAGGGCTCCGCGTCATCGGTGCGGAGGTTTGCACGGAGTCGGCCGAAGAAGCGATAGAGGAGACGATGAAAGAGGAGCAGGAGTGACATGGAAATCGAAAGGCGGAAGATGGGGCTTCGGTGCAGCGGGGTACGGGTCTTCTCTCTGTAGTGATATGGCGTTAGCAAGAATCCTGAATAGGGACACGTAACTGTAGAAGAGTGATTCGTCTTGTTCATACCGTGTCGTATCGCCTCGAACCCGCTTCATCACCACCTCCACCAGCTTCATCGCGATACCCGAGCCCACGAAAACACGCAGCGACGTGCGGAGAGCGGCCTCGGTGTGCCGGTTCTTTAGATTCGACACGGTCTCGTAATGCGACGGAGATGGGAGCCTGTCTTTCAAGGATGGGGCGCGTTTGACGGCGACATCGTGGAGGGTTCGGTACTCCTTCACGCTCAGACTAATGCGCAAAGCATTACGGACGATCGGGTGAATGGTCGCTGTTTCCCCAGGCGCGGGGGCCCCTGAAGGAGCATCTGGAGTCGGCATGGTGCTTGTTAGGCCGATATACAGAATACGAAATCAACCGCCCATGGTCTGGGGAGGTGAGAGAAGATGGGGGAGAGTTCTCCACTTCCGCACCGACCTCGGCTGTGGCTATGTCTACTTCTTGTACCCGTGGACTGGTAGTTTCCACAATCTAGGTCTTTGCTTTACATATTTAGATCATGGACAGTTGGAGGATTAATCAACATGAAGGCGGACGATAATTTCCAGGGTCTTAGTGCTTGGTGTATGGTGTTTGGTGCTTGGTGCTTTCCTCTGATTTCCCAGTAATCACATGTCCACATAATATTTGTACTTGATCCGGAGCCACCTTAGGAACATTTGAAGATTTAGTTGCATAGCTCTACTATTACCGCACTGATACTTGGATCGAAATTGGATATCTCAATGTTCCTGAAAATTAAACAAAGCTTCTCAAATGGATGCCGCAAGCAACGCAACGACACCCGCAGGACAAAGTAGGAAATATTAAGACAGCAAAGGCGGGTAACTCTAGTTACAGAAGAAAATGAAAATGAAAAGCAAATGAAATCGCCGCGTGAAAGGAATGAACACTCGTCATAACGCGTCAAATCAACCCAGAAACTCCGGAAACGCACGCCGTGAACTTGGTTTACCAGAAACTGCACCAACCGATCCAGTGCTGGCAGATGTTCTCCACATTCGTGGCCTGGGCAAGGAGCTTGTCGACTTGGTCGCTCGCATTGAGCTCCTCGTAGTGCTTGAAGTCTCGTCCCGTCAGCTTCTCCTTGACCCGGGCGAGAACCTGGAGCGCACGAGCGTTCTGTGCTTCGCGGGCTTCGGCAGGGACACCTTCTTGGGTGTCGAGGATGCCACCTTCGAGAATGGAAGGTCGGCGACGAGAGAAGTTGCTCGGCTGTACGCCATGCTCGAAATTGATGCCTTCGATGATGGACTGGCGACGCTCGGCTGTAAGTGATACTCGGTCTGGGGATTCCTGTGCACCGAGACGCCAGTTGATCAAAGGGTCATGAATGAACTAGATGATTGTCAGTCGTGATGATAGTAATAAGCAAGAAATTCATGGGACTTACGGCCTCCAATACCGCCATGAGAGAATCGTTATTCTCCCGCAGGACACGCATGACAGCCTCGCAAGTAATCCGGTAGCTTCCTTCGATGTTGCTGACCTCCATTGCGAAGGTCAACATGCGCGTGAGACGGAAGGGCACACGTTCGGGGTACTTCTCGCGGTGCATAGCCACCTCGAAACAATCACCGAAATCGATGTGCACAACACGACCCGTTGTACGATCGAGCAACAAGTTGGAAGGGTGACGATCGCCCAGACCAAGAATGTAACCAACCATGGACATGACACCGAGTGATCGTGTGTAGTTAGTGCGTCGCTCAAGCCAGGCCTCGGAGCTCTTACTCTTGAGCCATAGAACCCGGTACAGATCTTTGCCCGTGGTATTGTCCATGGCATATCCGAAGACCTCAACTTTCTGCATGAGAGTGAGGCTGTCGTAGTCGGGTGCCATCTGCAACATGATCCGGTGCTCAATGTTGAGCAGAATCCGTCGGCTTTCACGGTACTCCTTGATCAGCGCATGAAGGGTGTCGGAGTTACAGACCCAACCAAGCAGACCGGAGCTTTGGGAAAGTGGAATTGCAGGGAAGCGCTGGACAGAGAGGTGGCGCTTGAAACTCTCGCTGTCATTGTCCAGAAGCGTGTTGCACAGCCCGAAAAGTTGCATAACTCGCTCATCTTGACGGATGTCTTCGTGACCTTTAAGAGCGTACTGAGAGAGATTAAGTGTCAGTTCTGCGCCGGATTTAGATATTAAAGGGCCTGACATACCTGATAATTATGACCTGAATCACCCTTCAAGCACATACGACGCGGTCTCTTCTTGGTTTGCAGGACATGCAAAATCGGATCGAAGCTGATAATGCGAATGACAGGACGACCGCTTTGATAGGTCCCCGGTACTGCCAAGTCAAGACCATTGCATTCCTTGAGGCGAGGCGACACATATTTGAGATCGAGAATGGACAGCTGCGGAAGTTGACGGTTAATCTTACGGAACACCGTGTAATAGAGATCCCAAGCTTGGTTGAGATCGCCGATCTCCTCTGTCTGACGATAAAGCATGCAGTAGTGCTTCGCTTCAGCGAGATCACGACCAAACGCTTGTGCGAAAGATACTTCACGGAGTGTTTCGGCTCCTTTGTCAAGCATGTCGTGAAGAGGAGCAAGAGTGGCAAACATTCCCTCCACGTTGTGGTCACCGAAGTACAGGCGAGAGGCTTCCTCCAAGCCTTCATGCCAAAGCTCGTGCCACAGGACAGCAACACGGATAAGTTCGTGACTGACGAGATCCGCCTGTTCCACAAGCTTAGCACTGTGCTGCCTCATGCTTTCCATGATGTTCGTGGCAGATTGAGACCGCCGAGCAACATTAGATTTCATGGCTACGGTCAGTGGGTACACTAGGGCCTGCGGGTGTGTCTTGCCAACCTCAGCAAGTAGCCTGTGAACGGAACCACGAACCCTGATGTTGGGCTGGTTAATTCGTGCAATAAGCTGAGGAGTTACAGTAAGCCATGTGTCGACGTTAACAGTGGTAAATCCCTCGGTGACGACGTTGTTCACTTCGTGATCGCCACCGTGGGCGAACCATAAGGTCAACAATCTCAAAGTGTCTTGCAATGAGGATGTAGAGGACAAGGCGATAGACCGCAGGAAGCCACGAATGGCAGGAATGACGTGCTCTGTCACGATATGGGGCGGCACTGGCGCAGGCTTGCCATCACGACTTGCCTGGTTGGAGATCGTTGTGACAACCTCAAAGTTTGCAAGAGCCCAGGCGTGCCACGCTTTGTATGAGTCGCGGTTATACTGGGTGGCCGCAGAATATGCGCTGAGAATCTCGCGGACATACTCAGGTCTCCAGTCACCTCTCTGGAGAGACGTCTGCCATTCAGCCTGTCGGAGGTAACTCTTGGACAGAAGCTTTCGGAATTTCGTGACATCTCCTATACGTTCACGCAGACTAATGGAATCAGGGTGACTGGGATCAGAGACTCCATTTACACCATTCATTCCGTGATGTTCGTTGTGCGACACCATGAGGGTGTTGAACTTAGAGAGATCGTCAGTCAAACCAGAGGTGAAATCCTTTAGCATTTCAAGAGCCTCAAGTTGGTGTCCGTTCGCCCAGCTGAACTTCAATCGGGCGTAGGTGACCTCCGGGTGAGAAATCGTGTGTGTACCGTTGAGGTCGGTGATGATAGTCTCCAGTGACGCAAGAGACCGCTCGGCAAGACCCATGCGGTTGGATTTGCGGCAAAGGTTGGCGAATTTGATGGACATCTCAAGATTCTCACGGGGAGGAGTCACGAGTGCCCGGACCTTTAGCATACGCTGCCACACTTCCACATTCTGCTGGCATCCAAGCAATCGTTGGTTCCATGTTACGCGCATCGCCTCTTGCTTCTCAGCATCACCAACGTTCTGTTTGTAGGTGATGATTTCTTCAAGCTCTGCAAGCATCTGGACACGAACGACAACGTTGTAGGCCCGGTTGTAAGACTCTCCGAGAAGAGCCGACAGCTCGGTATCGAGCCCATTACGTGCCTTTTCAATGTACATGTTGGCCTCTTCGAACTGGTTGCGGTGAATGGCGAGAATAGCGCCAAAGAAGGAACGGTCTGGAGACTGCTCTTTCATGACACCAAGATAAGAGTCCATAAGTTCCCACTGGCCGCGACCCCAGGCTGCAGCAGCAGCAAGAGGAGCAATAGCCCTGCGGTGCTCCAGTGACGCTTGATTCCACTTTTCTTGTGCAAGATCCGAAAGAACTTTCCACTCACCAAGGGCGTGCAAACAACGCATCTTACCCATTGTGATGCCGAAAGAATCCGGATCGGTCCTCTCGCGTCTCTTGTAAGCGGCAAGAGCCTCGTCCCATCGCTGGAGCTTTTCAAACCAAGTCTCTTTCAGCTCCACGTCACGGTAAGCCTGTGCCTTGCGGAGAATACCGATGGCGGCATCGGATTGCTGGAGCTGATTGTTGATAGTGATAAGGGCTTCTACCGCACCCGAATTTTGGTCCTGTTCAAACTCGAGCTCCTTGTAGTGAAGGGCCTTGGCAAAGGCATGACATTTGGCTGCATACTTGCCAAGGGTGCGAATATCAATCGGCAGAGCTTTGTCATCATGTTCCATGAACTCGGCAAGATTGAGCAGGATTTGCAGGATCTCAGGAGAGATATTTGGTGAAGTGAGTGCTTTCTCGATAGAACGGACCAACTCCTCCTGATACTGGTCATAGAGTTCGGTCCAGCACGACACAAAGGCAGCGTTGAAAAGATCACGGGCTAAAGGCTGGTATATTCCGGCCAAACTGGCACAGGCCCGCAATGCCGGTGATGGAGACTCTTTCAGAAGCTCAACACTGAATCGACGAATCCACTCCTGCCAATCTTCCCGCGTGGACTTCTGCGAAGCATCCCACGCATTCTTGAGATGTTGCTGGTTCACAACAATCTTCTTTTGACCAATTTCTGCAAAGCTTGTATCATCGGCGGGGAAGGCGTAGTTTTCTTCCGGGTTCAGATCTTGCGGGAGCGGATCTCCCTTTTGGAGCTTCGTCACCAAGATCTGATAGTTGGTGTGTGTGATCTGGTGCTGCTTAAGAACTTTGTTCAACAAATGAATGTAATGAGTAAAGTCTTGGCCTAGCTGGAAGATCAGAGCGCAGATGCAATCAAGAGCAGCCTGACGCAATACGCGGTCACCGCTGACCACAACTCGAGACAGAGCATGGACCATAAGCGATGCAAAATCTGAGACATTGACCTGTCGCGACAATTTCGTCAAACTGTCGATGGCTGACTTGCGGATGCTTTGCGGGTGTTGCTGACGATCAAAAAGACGCACAATGGATGGAATGATCAGATGCATGTATTCCTCGCCGCTCGATCCAAATATCAAGAAAGCGTGGAGAATCTTCTCAGAAGGCTGACGACGCGGTGTGGTGTCCTTCTCGAGGGTGTCAAGCATCAGGGGAATCAGACGGGCAAGGTACTTCCTAAATTCTCCTTCCAATGACCTAGCAATGGCCTCAACCAGGGACAAAATCGTTCCTTGCACTTGGTATGTAGCATCCCAAAACTCGCGAATTACGTCAATAATTTCTGGCAAGAACGCACGGATGTGTTGTCGCACAATATTGACCAGAATAGCCATCTGGTTGAAATAAGACTCAAGGCGACTTGCAGGAGAGCTCCTGATCACAGAGATGAATGCCGGAACAATCTGCCCTAGGAATGGCACACACTTCAAGCCCAAGGTTTTAAATATAGTCACGATGGCATCAATCACAGCGGAGTGGTACTGAACCAGGGAGTTCTCCTTCAAGATATTTTGCAACAGAGTGTGAATGACCACCGTAGGGTAATACTCTTCATTTGACGGGGTTAAACCCTGCATAATCAAGGCAACATCCGAGACATTCTGAATCTCGTTGATGTGGTGCACATCGGGCTCGGTATCACTGATCTGCTGGTATTTGTAGGGGTCCAGAGCACCAAGAACACCAACAAGCTTAATGGTCTCCTTCCGTAGAGATCCTGTTTGCTCGGTTTTGATGATGTTGATCAAGACATCAAGGAGATGAGGATATTCGAGATATGGCTCGATGACATAGCCAGAGTTGCTAGCCAATTGTCCCAAAGTCTTCAAGGCAGCTTCACGTTTTGAGTGAGACGAAAGATCTTGCAGCGAATCAAGGATGATGGGCATGATATGGGAGAGGTAACGCCTCATCTCCCCTCCGCCGACATTAGCAAGCTCCCCCACGGCCTTCAGAGTGACAGCAGCTACACCTGGGTTCGTATCTGTCGCTTTCGGCAGTAGGGCTGTGACCATGGGATCCACATAGGATCTGATCAGCTTTGTTGCATTCGAAACAAACAAGCTGATGAGCTGCGCGGTTTCTTCTTTTTGGCGGGCAGTATTCGCAAATCCGAGTCCTGTCAAAAGATTGACCAATAGCTTCCGCAACGGCGGGAAGACATAAGCGGGGTTGACGCTAGAGAGACGGCCAATGATGCAGATGGCAGCCTCTTTGACTTCGAACACTTCATCGTTGACAGCGAGGAACAAGCATCGGATGTTCTCTGGTCGCGCCAGATGCCGATCAAATTTGCGATCCAATGACCAAAGAACAGTGCGGCGGATCTCCGGATCAGGGTCACCAATACCAACAGTTAACAATTTGTCGATAACTTCACTGACAACTTGTATCGAGTGTCCACTAGTCTGGTTGATGATCGGATCGTGGACGAAGAGCTGACAGCATGTAAGAGCCGATGCCTTCCGGATCTCTGGGTTGTCATTCTCCACATAATTAATCGCCACATCGCGAACAAACTCATTCAGGATGTGCCCAGAGAAATCGAAACTTCCCAGTGTATGGAGAGCCAACGCAATTTCGGCATCGGAATGAAGCTCTTGGGGTGCAAAATCTTTGGCAAATGATGGCATGGGAGGGAGACGGTTTTCGGGACAACCAAGAGGCCGGAATGGTGTTCCACAAAGAATGATACTCAGCATATCGAGAAGCTTCTCTTGGATTGTCGATTTGATGGGAGGGATGTAGTGAGCCATGTCAACCAAAGCTTGTGTTAAAGATTTGCTAAGACCGCAGGCAAAAATAGGGTCAAGAAGAGCCTCCATGTATTTGCTGAGGGCTTGTCCCACCGCCAGCGAAAGCATACTGATACACTCAAACATAGGTGCCTCGTTGACACCCGCGCGGTTCCTGGCTTTCACTGCCAGCCCCTCACGGATGTAGACGATGATGCCGTCGAGGTATTGTGCGATGGCTGGCCCCACTGCATTTGCGATCTTTCCAATAGCGACGAAAGCAGAGTTCCTTTCTTCCTTTCTCTTAAGCTGTGCCTGGAGATAGATCATGAACCGGTGCAAGTAGATCTCAATAAAGTCGGTAGGGGCGTAGGATGCGAGGATGGGAATGGTGAGGACGACTTGAGTGCGAATCTTAGGATCACGATGGTCTTTGAGGCGTAGCACGATCTCGCACGCGCCGCGGTAGTGTTCATTCATAAACATAGTACCCTTCAGGATCAGTTCCTTGAGAATCAATAGGGAGCCGTGAATCCAATCGATGTTGTTGGACTTAAGTCCCATCTGTGCCTCCTCGTGAATACGTTGGAACCACGACTGACGGACCTGGGCATCTCGAGCCACGATGATATCGAAACATTCACCAACGGCTTCCGCAGCAGTTTCTCGGATGAGGACTTTGGGGTCCCGAAGTGCCACCCAAACGAGCTCAAAGATCTGTGGTACGAAGCCGTAAAGTAGCGTGGGGGAGCCCTTTGCAAGCTCCCTGATCACCAGCACAGCCGCAAAACGCCTGCTTTCTTGACGTTCAGATTGTAGCCATTCCAGAGCTGACTGAATTTCACTTTCCACAAGCTCCGCAGTGAGTGCTCCGCCGGGCTTCGCAAGGCGGCCGAGCGATCGGGCAGCGTAAACCAGCACCGCATTGTCGTTGCTTCGAAGTGCGCTTCGTAAGTAGCTTGCGAAACGCGTGGTTTTTTGGGCGGCGTCGACGCCATCGAAATCGATCAGATGATCGAGCGCTAATAGTCCGCCGATTCTTTCATTTGCATCACTACCGGTCACCACCAACTGGGCGATCCGCTGGCTAACAGCGTTGTAAAACTCGACGAATTTCTCGGCGGGCCAGTCTGCAGAGAGAATGAGAGTGTCAGCTAACTAGGAGAGCTTTCAATAAGTCTAGAGGTCTGGTCATACCTCGTGAGACTGATAGGACATTGTCGTAGAGCTCGTAGGCAGCTCGGGCACGGGTCTCGTCGTTCTTGGACTTCAACTCCACGAATAGTCGTTGGGTCACATCGGTCATAGGGCCTGCTTGCGCCATGATTGCGACACACACCCCCGGGTTGACATTGGAAGCCGACCGCGGTAGAGCAGAAGCGCAGGGCGCATAAAATGAGTAGAAGATGGTGGAGGAGGGATGGTCATGTGTGAGCCTCCAGGTTGAAGACGGGGTGCACAGACCACGTTCCCTTCCCGCGTTGCCTTCACCTCTCCACGCTCAATACGTCTTACTAGTTCTGCATATGGTTTTTGATTGAGTTGGAAATCTTTGTGTATCCTTGTTAAGTCCCTATGTGCCGTCTCAAAACAAAGGTATTACTTGTCTGCTACGCTTGAGCAGCCGCATTGTACCATTAATTCCTGTGCTGGCCACCACTCCATGGAAGCACTTCTGAAATGCCACGTACTGGAGTCTCTCGCCTGTATAGCACTAGTATACGTACGAAGCACCTCAACAACCTCTTGAACCATAAGAACTACATACCTTAAGGCTCAGCTGCTTATCGATGCTCTCCGCACGAGGCTGGGGGATCCTTCTGGAATCGGTCTAGAACCTGGTTACGCCTCATGCGAGAGTGGTCAAGGACACCCCTAGCGCAAAGCAAACATGTATGTACTCATCTGTGTGCTTAATAGGGTGCCGATTGCCACGAATTAAAATTGAGTTAGTGATGGTGATCGACGATTTAATGTCAAGTTACACAGCAGGCATACAACTAGTCATCTAAGAACATGCGGTCCAGAAGTACCGTGTTTTAATACCTTGTAAATGTTCGGTAACCGGGGCTTTCTATGTGCTTATCTATGGATCGTCACTTCGAATTTGATATATCTCAATTAACCTGCAGCCAGGTTACTTCTCACGAGCCTTCACAACAACGTTATCCCTGGAAACAGCAAAAGCAGACGCCGACACATTGCTTTATAATTTGACAAGTGACCGTATGATCGACCACGGAGATATGTTTGGCAGACATGTGGGAAGATACGCGCTATCGCTTTTGCCTGCATTGGTATGCTAGTGCTGGTGGATAGATCCTTGTCTCCGATGATTAACTGCAATGACTGGTGTTCCGCAATGCCACATGAAAGAATCAAAGTGAAACCCAAGAAGCGAGGCGGAGTTACTCGGATTTATTGCGCCATTAAGTCTTAGCCTTGAATCCCAGAAGCCAGTGAGGCTGTTCAACCGTCTATTTGTAATCGACTGTGAGCCCCCGAGCGGGTGGGCCGTGGTGGGGAGCAATGACGGGATTGAGGGGTCGGAGGACCATAAAAGCCAGGGACGTCCCCATCCTTACATACATTATCTCTGTCTTTCCACGGTACATACTATCGTATCTCAATTGTCACAATGGTTAAAGTACTCTTGACCGGTAAGGAACCTCCAGCACTCCAATACTTCCATGCCGGCATCATGGGTCTAATCGTTCTCAATAGGCGGTAGCGGCTTTATCGCCGCCCACATCGTTGATATCCTTCTGCAGCATGGGTACGGCTCGACGACTAACTCTTCATGGTTTAATTGCTGAAACTGATCTCCATTATAGCTTTGAAACCGTAGTGACGGTCAGATCCGAAGACAAGGGCAATAAGATCCTCGAGGCCCACCCCGACACTCCCAAGGGCAAGCTCTCTTATGTAATTGTCAAGGATGTCGCCCAAGAGGGCGCTTTTGACGAGGTGAGTAGACCCCTCCTCCCCGTTTTCTGCCTCATTTGGTACTTATGTCTTTCTAAACAGGCCGTCAAGTCCAACCCACCATTTGACTATGTCCTGCATACTGCGTCGCCCTTCCACTTCAACGTTCAAGACCCTGTAAAGGACTTCCTGGACCCCGCGATCAAGGGAACTACAGGCATTCTCCACGCTGTGAAATCTTACGCGCCCGAAGTCAAGCGGGTTGTCATTACCTCATCCTTTGCTGCCATTGTGAATAGCAAGCAGCACCCTAGGGTCTATAGTGAGGAGAATTGGAACCCAGTAACATGGGAAGAAGCTATGGACCCTTCCAATGTTTACCGGGCCAGCAAGGTAAGCAAACACTCCTATGATCTTTCATAGTATGAGCTGACCGTTATCGCCCACAAGACCTTTGCCGAGAAGGCCGCCTGGGACTTTATTAAGAAAGAGAAGCCCGACTTCGATATCACCACTATCAACCCCCCTCTGGTGTTTGGCCCAATTGTACATTACTTGAACTCGCTTGATGCCATCAATACCTCGAACCAGCGAATGCGAAACATCATTCAGGGTCAGATGAAGGAGAAGATTGCCCCGAGCGGCGTTTTCCTCTGGGTCGACGTCCGGGATGTGGCACTTGCGCACGTGAAGGCCATTGAGGTCCCCGAAGCAGGTGGTCAGAGATTCTTCATTACAGCCGGCTATTTCTCCAACAAGGAAATCGTTGAGATTGTCCGTGACACTCACCCCGATCTGGAGTCGAAACTTCCTCCCAAAGATGCTCCAGGTGACCTCCCGGAAAATATTTACGAGTTCGACAACAGCAAGTCATTGCAGATCCTTGGACTGAAGTATCACACATTTAAGGAAACCGTTACGGACACAATTGATTCGTTGCTGGCCGTTGGTGCTTAAGCTGCTGGTCTTGTTACGGGAGAAAACTGGACCTAGGAAAAAACGCTATAAAGAAGTACGAGAATTAAGAAATGGCATTTTCGTCGCCTGGTTTCCGAAGTCAAGTAACGTGTTTCCCTAAATCGGCACATTTGTAATCCTGAACCAAATTCAAGAAGTATGAACGATAGTAATCTTCCTAGTGAATGAAGAGAAGAAAATGGTCTAAGTGTCTCTTTTTGGGGGGGGAGGTGGAGACAGAGTAATCTTTCTAGGGTAATAACATATTTGACGAGATATTTGGATTTTTGCCTGAAGCCAGTGACACGCCAGTCTTGTACGTATTAAGAAGCGCATTGTGAAGCGCAAGACCGGCATCGTGATAGGCTACCGCGTCTTTGGTCGCTGTTGTGCGCCGTATCGGCTCAACCCGTCTCTCCGGCCAACTTTTCTTGCGCGACCGCCGTCCAGCTTTCCATCGACCATTGAACAAGATGGCGACCGCCAGGCTGTCGCCAACGGCGAATCTTTTGCGCAAGTCCCGTTTATTCGCCCTTCCCCAAGCTTTGCAGCCTCCGCAGGAGCCCCCGGCGTCCAAAGCCGTGTTCGAATCCAACACCTCCACCCTCCCTCACCCCATCCGCGCTTCGATCGTCACTCCGCAAAAGGCCCTAGCTAGAGGCGATTGGGGTTTGAAGCGGTCTTTGCCAGCGAAGTCGACATCGGAAAAGTCTTCGAGACCTATCGTCCGGTTGCAGGCCCTGGACACTTACGAACATGTCACCGATTTCGAGTCCGCAGCCGATCACACCCTGACCCTGGAGAAGTTCCAGGAGCTACACATGCCCATGTCACTTCCCTCTAAAGTCAACTACGCGACAAGCATCGTTCCCAGGCACCAGAGCCCGTTCGAAACCTTTGTCGACAACACCGAAAAGAGCCAGAGCTTGGCAGAGACCGGTGCTAAACAGTATAGACAGTCCGGTCCCTGGCTTGGTGGTTTGAGCCAGGCAGAGTTCGTGACCTATCTGGACCAAGTACGTTCAAAGAAGCCAGAGCTGCTTGTGCAGATGCGAGAGCGGCTCGAAGCCAAACGGTTTGCCGAGGCCCGGAAACAGGCTCAGGATAACGGGGAGGACTTGGAAGCAATTGAGCCTGTCAAGGTTACCGACGAGGAGTTCAAGACATATATCAAAACCCTCAGAAACGATCCATTTGCTCTCGGTCCCGTTGTGTTCGAGTTGTTGGATCTTCCGTCGCCTCCTGCGGTGCCCAGCGAGCGGATCGGACGCAAGTACTATCAATCCCCCGGGACCAAGCTGTCAGCGTCTGAATACTCTGTGACCGGACCTCCCAAGACACACCCTTCTGCTGGTCTCTCTTACACACGATCCCACGCTCTGACATACAACCACCCTGAGCATGGTCCACAGGCCTTCCAGCGCCCTGTTGAGGCTCGTATCTTGCGCCCGAAGGGCCGATTCAGGGGACGTGTTTCTAGGGCTATTGCAGGTGTTGGTGGTATTGCAGTTGAAGACTTGAATGCCATGACCTTTATCGACCAAGGCACACCTCCTGGTCTGACGTTCTTCGATGCGACTATCCCTGGTGGTGCCAAGTACTGGGTTACCCCGATTCGCGCTGCTGTCGATTCTGATGGCAGAATTGGGCTGTCGTCCTACCGTGCCAGTGCAACTGCCAAGGCACCTTACGGCATTCAGGATTTCAAGAAGCCTGGCGTCACAAGCATCTCGGAAGCCGCTCGACGGGACGCCAACGTCGTGCCCCGTTTGGATCGACCCCGTTTCAACCAGGGTCGTTTCAGGCCCTCGCCCGACAATGTATCGAGGGCACCTGAGAAGTCAAAAGAAGACCTTGTCAATAGCCTTATGCAGGACTTGAATGCGTCGCGATAAGAAGGACAAGAGGTCCTGAGCGATGGAATTTTGACAAAGAAATGTACGATTAGACCTGGGGCTTGTGTAAAGCTACTCTCATTACCCTTCTGCACATGTGATATAAGCCAATGCATCGATCTCATATTATTGAACTCGAAAAATCCTACGGGCCCAAGGTCTGTAGTAGTAGCATTTGCATTGCGTTTCGGCCGTAAAAGAAAACATCGAGGCCTCAGGCTCAAATATCTATACCTTACGTAATAGAGTAATATCACGTGATTACTAGGGTTGAAGTAGGGCAAGGACCCGCACACCGCTAAGCGAGAGCAACCGCCCGAGTCTTCCAAAACGGCAACACTTTAGATTCCTATCCCCGAACATCCTTCCAGCCAACAATTCGCCAAAATGGGTCGCGTCCGTACTAAGACCGTCAAGCGGTCCGCCAAGGTCATCATCGAGCGCTACTACCCCAAGTTGACCCTCGACTTCGAGACCAACAAGCGCATCTGCGATGAGATCGCCATCATTGCCTCCAAGCGTCTTCGCAACAAGATCGCTGGTGTAAGTGCTTCACACCAATTATCTCATTGAACAGTTGCTAACTGCTATACTCAGTACACCACCCATCTGATGAAGCGCATTCAGCGTGGTCCCGTCCGCGGTATCTCCTTCAAGCTTCAGGAGGAGGAGCGTGAGCGCAAGGATCAGTACGTCCCCGAGGTCTCCGCTCTGGATGTTTCCCAGACCGAGTCCGGCCAGCTCGATGTTGATGCCGACACCAAGGACCTCCTCAAGTCCATGGGCGTAAGTTTGCTTTGTCTACAATCACGACGAAAAATAATCTAATTATCTTCTAGTTCGACAACCTCAAGGTCAACGTCGTCGCTGTCAGCCAGCAGCAGCAGTCCGAGCGCCCCCGCCGCTTCGGTCCCCGCTAAATCTAGCACCCTGGATGGTTGCGTTGGGAGATACAAAAGTTCTTTGACGGTCTTAGGTCGGCTCCTGGCGTTTCCCTGACGACACTCCCCCCGGGCTGGCTTTCTTCCCGGCTATCACGGTTTTAGCTAAAGAATGGAGGCTATCCATGGATGAGGAATGAAAAAAATGATTCCCTTGACAAAGGTGTCGCCGATTCTCCTATGGGGATGACGCTTGATTGCCAAAACTTGTCCTCGTGCGTTTACCTGTGGGGCTTGTTCCCCAGGTTTAACTACGTAGGAGTCTTCGGATATTGTTCGAATTGACTCGGGGCCATCGAGTTTTGATCGGTGCTACATACGGATGCTCAGCATTCTGCGGATTGAAGTCTCATGGCCAGTCGTAGATTTTTTTATGAATATCGTAGTCGTCACATGCCTCCGGGTATGCACTGTAAGAAATATGGAACGCCGCTCACTATGCAATCGCCTCCTGCCGTCTCAGATCTGATCAAGTAGATCTGCCTGGTTTGCAGTGGACTCTTTGTCTCGCCGATCCTGCGGCACATATCCTTCAATGGATCCTCCCAGGGCATCTTCCGGCCGCGGCTGCGGGGCACTGGCAGAAGAATGCTCGCTAAGTTCATTCTCCTTGACGTGGACACCAACGCGGCCATGACGGTGTATACGACCCGTATCACCGCGCTCCAAAGCAAGCTCCTCAGAGCGCTCGTTGTCCTGGATATTCAAGTTCCTCATACCAGCCATCATGTCACCACCTCCGTCCAGCTGAGGAGTGCGCAACGCGGCCTTTGAACTCTCAACCTTGGATTTCTGTGATTTGGCACGACCTTCTTCGAGCAATTGGATGTTTTTGGCATGGGTGTCATTCGCCCGCCTCTCCCATACTGGCCTTTCGCCTAGTTGTACGCGAATGTAGAGAGCGCGTTCAGCACACTGGTCAGAGCACCATTTCTCGATGTTGTCGCTGGGCACAATATCCACGCTGCGCCCGCGGCCACCAGGTCCAGTCCCTTTAGCACCATATTTGAATCGGAACGATTGGCCTTGGCCATAATGGTCTTTGCGATTTTTGCGGGGACAAAGGCCATAGCCGCATAAATCCTCATTATTTCGTTCTTCCACGAGACTATCATAGTCGCTTGGTCGGAATGGATATAATGCTGATTTGAATAGCTGGGCGTCTTGTGGGGAGGGTGTTGCTGGGTCGGCGGATGGAGAGGAGGGAAGCGCGAGAAGTTCGATGATGCGGTCCAGGATCATTTCCTCCGCATCTTTCTGTGCCTGAATCTGATGCGCATGTTGAAGGGCGATTCCTAGGTGGTGAGTAGTCGCACGAGGGCGACCTTCGAGGTATTTATCTTGTTCTTCTCGAGTTGGGAGTGAAGATGGCTGTTCGGCGCTGGCGGCAGCGTATGCAGTTTGGAGGGAGGTTTTCAACGCATGTTTCGAAGAGGCTTGCGCAGGCATGGTGAATAGGTTGACACGTCGAGGTTTTGACTGGGCGTGTGGCAAGGAGTGGGAAGAGCAGAAGCTCGGGCATTTGTGGTCCACGATTTTCGGCGGAGGCAAAAAGCAAAGCCCGGGGTTCGCGGGCAGTGATGTCGCCAATAGGAGCCACGACACTTCACCTCCCGGCTTTTTCTGACGTAGGCACTTTTGGGGCAGGAAATGGAGGTTATGTTTCCTACTTGTTTCGTAATTTATCAAAGGGCTATGCTAGTCATTTCAGTGCTCGTGCTGGTCTCGGAATACGGTTACAGATTGCAGCTCGGTCCAGCTATCTAAGCTAACCAGCCCCCGTATAGCTTACATCGGGAGCTATAGATATGCAGGTCAGACCCGTAAAGTATCAGAGAAGGACATTGTCTTTAAGAAGAAGAACACACATTTGTTACAGCTTCTATGCAGTGCTGCGTCTACCCTGGTTCTTCTTAGCCGCCGATCGTCCAGTGGAGCCTCTGTCTCCCTCATCCCGCCAAGTGACGACCACCTCACTTCCCTTCCACACTCCTCCTCTCCCAACATCTGGTGTTCGCAATCAACGGCTGGTCCCCTACCTACTTCGTTCCTCAATCCCTGACCTCCGTTAGGGTGTTCGATCATCCAGTTCCACTGTGAGTCCCTTCCGGACCCCTCCACTCCCCCTCATCTCCCCTAGGCACCCATCAACACTGTCGTCATCCCGAGCTGACTTCGGTGTGACCAAAGTTTTGCTCCCTTTTCACCAGTATACCACTGCATGCTGGAGGTATCCGATCTGGTGATTTGCCCTGTATATTCCTAGCCTGATTGCCGTTACACGCCTGTGCTTTAGCGTCTCTACCCCCGTCGCTCCGAACTCTGGGGCCCGACTTGCCAGATGTCCAACCCGCCTTTTACGGTTAAATCGGTCTTCGAGTATGCTTCGGGCCATGATGAAGATCTCAGTTTCCCAATCGGTCAAATTCTAACCGTCACCGCTGTGGAGGATGCCGAATGGTACTACGGAGAATACACAGACGGGTCCGGGGACAAACAAGAGGGCATCTTCCCCAAGAACTTTGTCGAGCGCTATGAGCCTCCCGCTCCTCCACGCCCAACACGCCCTAACAGGCCCAAGAAGGAAGCTGAACCGGCAGCGATTGAATCTCCTGTCGCTGTGAGCGCACGTCAACCCGAAGCGGAGCCCGAGGTTGCGGAGCAGCCCGCCGAGGAGAACAAGGACGTAGTTGTCCAGCAACCACTCTCGCCTCAATCTCCTCACGCTGCTTCGAGTCCTGCTGTTGAATTGCCATCCTCTCCTTTGCAGCCGGCTCAAGTGCCTGCGCCTGTCGCCGCCGCCGCCGCCGCTCCTCCCGTGAAGGCATCCTCGAAGCCCCCGCCTCCGGCCGTGGCGGAGAAGCCTTCCGGCTCATCATTTAAAGACCGTATCGCCGCCTTCAATAAGCCCGCCGCGTCACCAGTTGCACCCTTGAAGCCCGCCGTTTCGCAGTCAAGTTCCTTCATCAAGAAGCAGTTTGTGGCTCCCCCTCCAAGCAAGGACTCGTTCGTGCCCGCGCCAAGGGACCCCGCTCCCAAGGTTTATAAGAGAGAGGAGGACCCAGAGGTGAAGGAGCAGCTTGCTCGCGAGCTACCGGTTTCCGAAAGCCGGCCTCCGCCGCCTCCTCTACAGCAAGAGTCGACGGAGGAGAGCGCCGAGGATCAGCCAAAGCCCACCAGCCTTAAGGACAGAATTGCTCTTCTTCAGAAGCAGCAGCTGGAGCAGGCCCAGCGTCACGCCGAAGCTGCTCAAAAGAAGGAAAAGCCTAAGCCTCCGAAGAAGTCACTTGATCTGCCTTCGGAAACCGTCGCTGCAGAGCCCGAAGAGGCCGAGTCACCTGTTGAACCATCAGCAACCGCTCGGGATCCGAGTGTCGATACCCTGCGAGCAAGAGCCCCTCCAGCTCCCTCGGCCCCCTTCTCGCCGACAGAGGAGATTGCCAGCGATACTAATGATGCTGACTATTCCGCTGCCGCGGACTCCGAAGATGAAGGAGAAACATCTGCTAGCAAGGATGATGAGGAGGAGCCTGCGGAACAGCCCTCGACCCATGCAGTTGAGTCTAAGGGAGAGGAGGCTGATGAAGAGGACGAGGAAGAAGAGGAGATGGACCCTGAGACCCGACGCCGAATGGAGCTACGTAACCGTATGGCCAAGATGAGTGGTGGCATGGGCATGATGGGCCTCTTTGGCCCGCCAGGCGGTATGCCCGGTATGTCTGCTGCTGCGCCCCGGAAACCTAAGACTCCTGGTGAATCAGAAAAGAAGCTCGAAGAGCCGACTTCACCGGGCATTGCTCCTCCTGTCCCTTTACCGGGAATGAACATTCACACTCGGCCCGTTCCTCCTCCTGCCGATGTGGAGCAAGAGGAAGAGGAACCCCTGGCGACTCCTATCACTGAGCAACATGCCTCCCAAGACGTGCCAGATGTCGAGGAGGTCATCCATGATGGTGCTCCGCCTTCTCTTCCTCGTCGCTCTACTGACAGACCTCGCCCGCCGCCTATTGCGTCGCGGCCTGTTCCGTCTCTCCCTGTGCCAGCCGATACGCCAGCTTCGCCCCCACCAGTCCCAGGAGGTAAGTTATAGAGACTCATAACCTTCTCGGTACATTTTCGTTAATACGTTTAACTAGGTCGACCGGCTCCACCCCTGAGGCCCTCAACTGGCGATGAATCCGATGATGAGCTCTCCTTGCATGCAGAGAATTTGTCCTTAAGCCAGCCCGCAGGTGGACCACCTCCCGTGCCGGCACCCGCGCTTCCTGATCATATTGATGCCCGTCATTCCTCGACCTATGAATCTATCCCACCTTTTCCGACCCCGACTGCTGAAAAGAAAGCAAGCCGTCCACCACCTCCGATACCGTCAAATCCACCGGCGCCGCCAGCGCAGAGCCGCGCCGCGCCTCCACCACCTCCTGGTCAAATCCGCCGACGATCCACTGCGGATAGTCGTATGAGCGCCACTTCTGCTCCTCGACAGGCTGGTGAGGATGTCGAAGGAGAGGTGACCGAGTACGATGGAGACTACGACACTGATATTGCGTCGGGTGCCAAGTTCAAGGATGCCTTGAGATCTCATGAGCGTGATTCCAGTTTTGATGAGGGTACGATAACCGATGACCACTCGCTCCAGTCCCCACGCAGCCCTGTGGAACCTAGACAGCCTCCACCAGTCCCTTCGGGCGCTCCTAGGGGAGCCCCGCCGCCTCCTCCAAGTCAGCCGCCTCGGAATGCTAGGGCTTCCATAGACACACCTCGAGGCCCTCCCCCGCCTCCGCCAAACCGAGAGCCATTAGCTGGAGATGACGATGATGAAGAGTACGACCCATTCAATTATGCCGCCCCTCAACATGGCCTGCCTACTCCCCCGCCTCTTCCCACCGGACGCCCAGATGCGCCGCCCCCTCCACCTCCGCATCAAGAGACTGAAGAATACGATGACTTGTATGATGCATCTCCAGTCCAAACCTCAGCAAGCGAGAAGCCGCCTACATCAAAACATGAGAAGAGGCTTTCTTTGGCGCCACCACCTCCCATGGCTTCGGCCTCCGGGATGCCATCCCCATCGACTAGTCGAGGCCAGCGGGCTTCCATGGACATGTTAAGAGGATCCAACGTTCGACGCTCCATGGATGTCTCTCGACCCTCTGTTGACCAGGGTTACATCGCCACTGAAGTTGATCTTGGAGAGAATACTCTTTGGTGGACGCAGCCCAACACCCCCCTCCCGCCTTTCAAAATCGAAAAGACATCCTTTTCGAAGTTGAAGAGTCATCTTCCTCGAAGCGTGGTGGGAAGACAACAGTTTCTAAGGACGTCTACATTCTGTTCATTGACTACTCTCAGACCATTGTGACTGTGCAGTTCGACGGCAAGAATCCCGTGGATGCCACCCTGGAGCAGCGTCACGAAGCTCCACCGCTCCAGCTCCGCCAGGACCAACTGGAACAAGCCCATATTCAGCTCGGAACCCGCATCTCTGACTCTATAAACGCCATTCAGAATTCTACTGTCGGCGATGGCACACCATTTGGGCTCGTCCAGCATCTGCTTAACCCGCTATCTGATGCGCTGCTTCCTGTTGGTACCCGGGCATATGGTGCGCTGGTTTACTCCAATCTGGCCAATGCATCTGTCTCTCAAAATGATGAGATCCGCGCTGGTGATATCGTGAGCTTCCGCAATGCCCGATTCCAAGGCCACCGAGGCACCATGCACCAGAAGTATAGTGCTGAAGTGGGCAAGCCAGACCACGTCGGCATTGTCGTCGACTGGGACGGCACTAAGAAGAAGATTCGCGCTTGGGAGCAGGGACGCGAGAGCAAAAAGGTGAAGATGGAAAGCTTCAAGCTGAACGACCTGCGCAGTGGTGAGTGTAAGGTCTGGCGAGTGATGCCGCGTACCTGGGTTGGCTGGGAATCTTCCAAATAAGGAGATTCTAAGTCTTGTCGGCGGAGGTGATTTGGATGATTCTTTCTTTTGTCTAGATTCGATGGGAATGTGTCTGAGATAGGGCTCACACATTCCTCCCCCTATACTTTTCCCTTTTCTTACGCCATCCTGCTTATGTGGTAATGAGAGAGCCGGGTGGACGATTTTGATGGAGAATTGAGCGAGCGTGCACACCCTTTTGATTTCCTCGTGTCCCCGGTAAATTCTGCATGACCAATGCCCCTTCCGCTCTGCTATGATTATTTTTAGTTACCATTGCCTGTATCTATTTGCAATGTATCCATTTTCAAGTCTTCATGAACGTACACTGTCCATATAGTATGTGCTGCACGTGATCCTATATTTATGACCGCCTCAGGTGTCGAGTGGCCATTTCCTTATCGGGCAGCCATCTCCCTCCAACTTCTTCCAACCTCCGCAGCTCGTCTCGCAACCGCCAAAATGGGTGGCGACCTGAACTTGAAGAAGTAAGTTGACCTCAAGTTATACACCGGCTTTCGAATATCCAGAATCCTCCTTGAGAATTTCAAATGCTAACCAGATCCCAGATCATGGCACCCGGGGTTGATGCGCAATCAGGAGCGCGTCTGGTCGGAGGAGAAGCGCGCTCTCGAAGAACGCAAGCGTATCGACCAACTGCGCCGAGAACGCGACGAAGAGCGCCAGATGCAAGAAATCCAGCGCCTGCATGAGGCCTCAGGGAAACCGAAGCAACTCAACCGAGTCGACTGGATGTACCAAGCCCCTTCTAGCGCAACGGGCCATTACTCGGAAGAGATGGAGGGGTACCTGCTTGGCAAGCGCCGCATTGACGGAATCCTATTGAAGAACGATACCGACAACCAGAAGCTAGAGAAGGGTGCTGATCTTGCTGGCGCGAATGCGGCCACTGCTGCAGCGGCCGGTCCGTCTGTTGGATCTCAACGTGATACCATGGCTAAGGTTATGGCTGATCCGCTGTTCGAAGTCAAGAAGCGAGAGCAGGCTGCGTATGAGGCTATGGTCAAGGAGGCTGTGCGACGGAAGGAGGAGAGAGGAGAAACGCAATGCTCGCGATGGAGATAAGGACCGCGATGCAAAGCGCCGGAGATACAGTGATGATGCTGAGGATGACCGCCGATCCCGCCACCATCACTCTTCGCGCCGTCATCGTTCAAGATCCCCTGGGCGTTCCAACCGCGAACATCGCAGCGAACGTGATGATCGCGATCGTCGAGAGGACAGACGCCGCAGAGAGAATCGTGATCGTCGGGAGGATGGACACCGCAGAGAAAATCGTGATCGACGGGAGAATGGTCCCCGCAGAGAAAATCGTGATCGTCGAGAAGAAGGACGCCGTGGAGATGACCGAGAGCGCCGCGACGACCGAGAGAGAAAAGAATTTTACACGAGCCGTCGAGATCGAGATGACGAGGGTGAGCGCGATCAAGGCAAGGACCGCACCCGATCTCCACACCGTTCTCTTCCCCCGGGACGCTCTCCATCTCCACGCCCAACAGAAGAACGCGGTGCCCGCCGCGATTATCCTCGACGAGACTACAACAACGACCTTCGCCCAGTTGCTCGAGAGCGTGGCCCGCCACCTCCTCGCCCTGAGGCCAACAAAACCGAACCCAAGGAACAGGAAGAAGAGCGCCGCCGCAAGCTAGCCGAGATGCAATCGAATGCCACCGATCTCGAGTCAGATCGCCGCCAACGCATTGCAGAGATCACCACGAAGGAAGAGCAGCAGGCAGAGGCGGACGACAAGCAACGCTCAGAACGTGGCCAGTTCATGTCGCAGATCCACAAGCGTGCGCAAGAAGATACATTGGATGAACGTATTAAGCGCAGTCGCGGTGGACTGTCCAGGATGGACGAGGATTGAGGTTCAAGCTTTTGCATTTCCTATGTATCGACTACATGTTTTAGCGGTGATTCCCTAGTACTATTCACAAATTCAATGAGACAAGTTTGTATCTACAGACACGCTCTATCGTCGTAGATAGCTTCAGCCAGACCAAGGAGATAATCTAGATGTCGGGAAGGATTGTATTCCAGAGATATATATATCAACGATACGCTGGAAAAGACAAGAATCGGTCAGAGAAGTGAAGCATTCTCTTCTCTTCTTTTTGCCCATTGTCCGGTTGAACAAATACATAGAAGTGAAGTAAAGCAGACTCGTATGAATGGACATCCTTTCCTGTACTGATTATCCTGATATCAATTCTATCTACAATTACAACCTGGAACCAAGTAAACTCCCTTAAAGCAACAATAACTCGCCCGTAGCTGCGCCACCAGCAAACTGAGGCTGGTACGCCTGCTGCTGGTTCTGCGTAACAACATACTGTGTCTGAAGCGCGCCTCCACCACCTACGCCATCGTCACGTCCACCAATGTCCATTGAGGCCATCTGTTGCGAACCGATGTTGTTGAAGTACGAGTCTGCCGCGCTAAGTGCCTCGGCTGAGGTGTTGGTGCCAGGGGCAACGCTTCCAACTGGAACAGGGAAAGTGGGGGGAGCAGCATTGACGGGGCTGATGGGGTTTCCTGTAGTCGTGATAGTGGCGAGACCGCTGTTGCTGGTTGATGCGGCTGGCATGCTGGCAGAGGGAGGGTTGTATTCGAGCATGGTACCAGTGCCGTCTTCGATGCGAGGCCGTTGCAACGCCGGGCTCGGTTGCAGACGACGAGGGCGTGCGGCGCGGAAAACTTGGTGGATAGGCTTGAGGTAGACAGTGGCCAGAGTGCCGACGTTCAAGCACAACTCCTCAAGTGTACGAGGGTCCAGCTTCTCGCTCTCCGCGGTGATGGGTGGTTTCTGGCCCATGACAACTTGCTTGGCTGTTGCCGGGTCGGTCGATAGCAGACGCCAATACATGTAGCCTCGGTCACGGAGGTCCGGGTCATCTGTCTCTTCCGTGCACCACTTGAGGACTTGAGGAACAAGTTGTTGACCCTTCGTAGGCCGCTGGATGAAGAACTTCACGGTGGCAGTGAGAAGGGCCAACTGCACTTCGATGGTTTCGTCGTGGAAGGTAGCCAAGTAATCCTGCAGCAGGCCATCCGAGTTCTCAATACGATCCGCATACTGACCGATGATCCAGATGATGGCTGCTTTGGCTTCGGGCTCGTCGAGGTCGTCAATGTTGCTAATCACGTGGCTGATGATGCTCTCGTACTGGTTGGGATACTTGCGGAAGATATTGCGGATCACAACCGTGGCTTCCTGGACGATGTACGGAATCTTGGCATCGACCAGCTCCAACAAGGTATCGATACATTGCTTTGCGGCGGACTCAATCTTGATTGCCAGTTTACCGATGGCACGCACTGCCTTACGTACGAAGTGTACATCAATCTCTGTGGCATATCTGTCGGAAGTGGTTAGTATGGCAAGCGGTAGGTAATCGTAGAAAGAGACTCACTCTCGAAGCTCAGCCAGAACCACGGAAATGTTATCCTTTGTGGTCAGCATGAACATCAACTCCAACTTGGTCACTTTGACGTAGATCGGGTCGTTGTAATTGCAGAAGAACACACGAATATCATTACGAAGGACTTCCGGGCGCTTCTGCAAGATCAGAATGGCATTGCGCAGGGCGAGATATTGAACCTCTGGCGGCTTGGAGAGCAAGGTGACAAGGGGCGGTGATAATTTCCGGCAAAGTGACGTGATGTGCTTCTCCTCGGCGATGTAGTTCATGAGATAGAGGATCACTCGGCAAGCAGTCAATACGACTGCAGAGTTCGAGTGAGATAACCGCGGGGCAATTCGTTCTGCCAGCAGAAGGGCCTCGGCATTATCTTGGGGCACGTAAGACATCAGAGCTTCGAGGATGTAAGATTGACCCCATCTAGCCCAGCGGTTAGATCAGAGTTTCCTGGTTTCAAAGGGGGACGAAAGATACATACTCAGAGCAATCGGGCAGAATAGAAACTAGTTTTGAAGCACTGACATAGTCAATGGTCAGAGAGATGGACTCGCTGCGGCCCCAGATGTCGACCAGGGAGGCCAGAACACTGGAGACGACTGTGGGATTTTCGTCTTTCAACATCTTATTAAGGCGATCGATCAAATCTGAGTTTTCAACTGTCTTCTTGTCGTGTTCGTAGAGTTTGGCCACACAGAAAGCGGCAGTCTTGCGGACGTAGGGGTCGCTGTCTTGCATGAGGCGCTTGAGAGGCTGGAATGTCGCTTCGACGAACTCGCGCACATGAACGTAGGAAATGGTTCGCAGTGCAAGCGCACGCACAAGCGGATTGTCGTCTGCCATGTCCTATGAGATGGTCAGAGGTGCACTCCTGAATCTCTCCCACCACTCCACGACGGAGACATACATCAACTAGAATAGAAAGCGCCTTCATCGCAACCTCCGGCTTCATTCTCGAATAGTTGACCAGGAACAAGAAGCACCTAGGATCGAAGTAAGCAGGTGGACTCCCAAGACCATGCGACACCCCGCAGGCGCGGCTGGGCGAGGGTCTCATACATTTTCTTGATTTCCAAGCTCGGCAGGTTCATGCAGTCAATAACATCCGGGAATAGCGCAACCATATCGTTATTGCTCATGGTCATATTGGCGACAATCTTCTTCAAGGCGATCTTTTTGGCGGAGTAGTTCTTATCTTTCTTACCGCCGCTATTGAGTTCCTGTCGCAACTCGGCGACCTTGCCCTGTGAAGTTCGCGCAAAACGTAAGCTACTTGGCGAAGCATAGGGACCGAAAGCAATAAACATTAGGAAGCAAGTGTAGAGTATATCAGGTCTCAAAAGACAAGGTGTAAGGAACGGTAGCTGCGAAAGTCACATAGGACAAAAGTTGCATATGATACGGCCAGATGCGGGGAAGGTTGAAAGCCACCATGGGCAAATCAGGCGATCAGGTATATCACTTACCCTAGCGAACAGCTTTGCATCGCCGCCAGAACTCATGATTGCGGCGTTGGACGAAACGCAAGGTTTAATGAGCGGTTGTTTTCTTCGGAGGCTCTGGATCAAGCAGGGAGGCGTGCGATCGATTGATCGATTGCGACGACTGAATATGGATCACTTGAGGCTCAGGAGGTACGAAGTAACCTAAGGTGAAGGCGACGCGAAAATCGAGGGCAAAAAAGGACCGGATCGGGGATATGGAGGGGGTGGTCCGTTGTCAAAAGGGTGAGACTGTCGCTTCACTCCACCGCAATTGTAGCCCGTTCGGAAGAGTCGGAGAGAATTGGAATCATGAAATGGACATAGTAAAGAAGAATTAGCGGGGAAGATCAAAGAGTGGGAAGTCGCGGTTGAGGTCGAGGAAAGGAGAATCCAAAGGCGGAGTGGAGGAAGCTGCGGAGGATCCTCCCTAGTGAAACCCCCGTCATCCACTTTTTCAGCTCTCACACGCCACCCTTCACCATTCTCATCTACGAACGCCATGTCGTCGGTTCTCCCACCTCCACCTCCACCGCAATGGGCCGTCGCGATGAACTCGCCGATGGCGCGACCCTCCAAGGCGGCATCCAGCATCCCAAATCCACCTGGCTTCGCCAGCCGTGGAGGTAAACAGGTGAGCTCAGCCCCAGAGCTGTCCTATTGCCGTGTTGACCATACGAATCATCCTCAGCGCGAGAAGCAGCAACAACAACCCACCGCAGCCAGGCCCGAAGAGACCGATACCCTGAAAATGAAGAAGGCATGGGAGATTGCCATCGCCCCGTCCAAGCAGCTTCCCATGAACGGTATCATGATGTACATGTCCGGCAACAGCCTCCAGATTTTCAGTATTATGATGGTTTTCATGCTGTTCAAGGGACCAATTCAAGGTCTGATTAACACCAATGCGGCCTTTGCCAAATACGAAACCCCGACGACCCGTGGGCGCCTGGTTGCAGTGAAGGCAGTCTACGTGCTGATGCAGCTGTTGTTGTTGGCCTTGGGAATCTGGAAAGTTAATGGAATGGGCTTGTTGCCGTATGTGTTCCCGAATGCATGGTCTCTCAACTTTTCACTGACACAACTGGCAGGACTACGAGATCAGATTGGCTCGCATGGGAATCGGAACGACAGCCTCTAGAGCAGGCTTATTTTGCTTTCAGGTGATAATGAGGATGATTCAGCTGTAGTATAAATTGAAATTCATGGCATGTTTAATTCAAGATATCAGCTCTTAAAAGGTCTTCGGCATGCAATACCATGCACCTCGGGTCAGAGGAAGAGGCCTGGAATGGATAAGTCATTGCCCCATAAGGGAAATGTCTCTTATAACACAGATATCTCTCGAGTGTCCAAACTTTACATAATTCGGTCTTCCCAGATCTGCCAATTATAGATATAGAGGCTTAGATATCTGTCTTGTCCTTCCCGGTTCGAGACTACATGACCTTTGGAGGTTTTCATATCTCCGAAGAATGATAGGAGATAGCCCTAGCCTCCAGATCCATGGTTTCTCTGATCCCTTATGTTGACACAGGATTGGTTCATCCCCTTTCTAGGTGTTGATGCTTGAAAGGTTGTCATCATTGTCTCGGAACAACGTATTGTGGCTCCATCCAGTACGGCCACCCGGCGGTCCACCCATTAACGGTAAATTTTCATGTTTATATTTTTACATACATACACTTCTACATAGAACCGCACGCAAGAATTCGGCACTACGCCTCTATTGACAGCCCTTTTTGAACCATTAGCATGAAGCTCGGAGAATTTGACAAGATGCCGACGTGCAGTTGTAACTCTTGGCTACAGTCGGAGTTAACCGCCGATAAGGGAGGACCCTTTCCATGCCAAAAAGCTTCGGCTTCTCGGCACAAGTCCAATAGCTCCACAAATGATAGACCAGGGCTCACTTCCAGGTTGGGTTAGTCATGGGTGAATGATATCCTGGTCTATTCCGCCTTCCAGGCTCTTGACTTCAACCCTCTCTGGCCGGTGCGGACTTCATCCTCCGCGGCCAGTGCGACACCGGATATGGGTACTTCACCAGAATCAACTGCGACCGACTTGGAACAAGCACATCCTGAAAATGCGGGGAATCGAAGTGGAGATATCGCTGATGTCGACTATTCGGTCTTTACCGTTAGCCAAAGGCGATATATTGTTTTCATGGCTTCGTGGGCTGGGTTCTTCTCTCCCGTTTCGTCGCAGATCTACTTCCCGGCTTTAAATACTCTCGCCAAAGACCTTCATGTCTCAAATTCTTTGATTAATCTGACCTTGACTAGCTACATGGTGAGTCGATATCATAGTCAAATGCGATGCTCCGCGACTGACGCTGTGGTAGATCTTTCAAGGACTGTCGCCCATGTTCATTGGTGATTTCGCCGATAAAGCTGGAAGACGACCAGCCTATGTCGTGTGCTTCACAATCTATATCGCGGCTAATATCGGCTTGGCTTTGCAAAATAATTATGCGGCGCTTTTCGTTCTCCGATGCCTGCAAAGTGCGGGAAGCAGCACCACCATCGCACTCTCGTCGGGCGTAGTCTCGGACGTGGCGACTGCATCTCAGCGTGGCTCATACATGGGCCTTGTGACAGCGGGTTCTCTCCTAGGGCCCTCGGTGGGTCCAGTGATTGGAGGTCTCCTTGCTCAGTACCTTGGCTGGAGGTCCATATTTTGGTTCCTCGTCATCTTCTCGGGGGCGTTCATGGTTCCGTTCCTAATGTTCTTCCCCGAAACAGCCCGTGGTGTCGTTGGCGATGGATCTTTGCCGCCTCAGAAATGGAACATGTCTCTGATCAGCTATTTGAGGTCCCGGAAAGCTCGTGACGAAGGTGTCGAGTCACCAGCCGGCACAAAGCAGAAGCTCAGTTTTCCCAACCCATTGCAGACACTGGCCATCGTATTCCAGAAAGATACCAGCATCGTCTTGTTCTGCAACGCGATTCTCTTCGCTGGCTTCTACGATGTCAGTGCGACAATTCCGTCGATCTTCAACGAACTATACGGTCTGGACGACCTGCAGATCGGCCTGTGCTACATTCCCTTTGGACTTGGCGCGAGCATTGCATCAATTTTGAATGGTAGATTCCTCGACTACAATTATCGCCGTATTGCGAATAGCATAAACTTCCCGTTGGTGAAGAACCGCCACGCGGATCTGCGGAATTTCCCAATCGAAAAAGCTCGTCTTCAGATCGCCTTTCCAATGCTAGCAATTGGAAGTCTGAGCATCCTCGCATTTGGTTGGTGTTTGAACTTTGGTGTCCATCTCGCTGCGCCTACCACCATTCTATTCTTAATGGGCCTTACCCTCACAGGCGCTTTCAACACAGTCAGCACCCTGCTGGTGGACTTTTACCCCACCCAGGCAGCCAAAGCTACAGCCGCCAACAATTTTGTGCGATGTTTGCTCGGAGCTGGCGCGACTGCCCTTATCGACCCTATGCTCTCGTCCATGGGTCGTGGATGGTGTTTCACATTTATTTCTCTGGTCATGCTTTGTACGTCTCCGCTGCTCTTGATCGAGATCCACAACGGTCCTAAATGGCGTGAAGAGCGCCGTTTGAAAGAAGAAGCGAAGAAGCTCGGGAGTATCACATCCCCTGTAGCCGCGAGGCAGAACGAGAAGTCTGTTACAGATGCTTAATTTCTCACAGCCATTACTACTGCATCGTCATTTATGCCGCAATGATAGAACTTTAGCGTACAACCATGATCGATGCCCTTATGCTGAATCTTCCCTTGAAAACGATTTATTGATAGACAATATTTACGTGAACATTAATTGAAAAGTGATCCATATAATACAATCCTGTCTCACCGATAACTTGAAGATGTTTTAATGTAAAAAGTATCATCCACGTGCATTGACTGCCCCACGACAACCCTCCAAGAATATTTGACAAAATTCCCATACCTCTGTGTAGGTATTGTAGAGCGGGGCAGGGGCCACACGAATAACGTCTGGCTTTCTCTCATCAATGACCACCGCATGCTCCTCCAAGTGATGCAAAATGTGGTCAAGAAGCCCCGGTTGAAGCCGCAGACTAAGCTGGGCACCACGCTCGGCTGGATTGGAAGGCGTAATCAGGCTGAAGGGCTTGTCCTTTGGTGAGGCGTCCAGAGGATACTTGAGCAACAGATGCTCAAGATAACCCGTGATATTGAGTGACTTCTTGCGAATTTCCTGCATGGTAGCACGGTTGAATATCTCCAGTGAGGCGACAACGGCGTTCATATCAAGAACGGAGGGGTTAGAGAGCTGGAAACCAGCAGCACCGGGTTGAGGTGTGAACTCTAAAGCAATTAGCTTTGTCTATAATATATCGAATAATTATCACGCACTGTTCACCATGTTGAATCGAGTCTTGATATCACCACCCCACCAGCCCGAAAAGCGTGGACGGAATGTCTCGTCGCTGTCAGGCTGCTTCTCATCCACACGGCCATGGCGTTCGTGGACAAATAGTGCTGCCATACCGCCAGGGCCACTGTTCAAATACTTGTAGCTGCACCATGCTGCAAAATCGACGTTCCAATCATGCAGGCGTAGGTCCACGTTTCCGGCAGCATGAGCACAATCCCATCCGATTAGAATTCCCTTTGAGTGCGCATGTGCTGTGATGCGTTCGATGTCAAAATACTGTCCTGTGTAGAATTGGATTCCAGAGAGCAGAACCAGTGCAGTACTGGAGGCGTTGTCATCGATTGTTTTGATGATTTGTTCTGTGCTGAGAACGGGGTGATCCTGGTTCTCGGGTTCAATCAAGACCATGGCATCCTTTGGATCCAAGTTGTGGTGTCGAATTTGAGACTCGATTGCATACTAATAATGATCAGTACTATTGAAAATGCAATGAATGAGCTAACTCGGGTATATTGCATACATGGTCACTGGGAAAGGCCTTGCCCTCCAAGATAATCTTATACTTCTCCTTGGTTGGACGGTAGAAACTTGCCATCAGGAAATGTAGATTCGCAGTCAAGGTCCCCATAACAGCCACTTCGCTCTCAAGTGCACCCACAACTGGCGCCATCAGCTTGGAGCCGGCGGTGTCGACATCGACAAAGGGAGGAAGCAATTGGTCGTCATGCGGGACAAAATGCCCGGTGACGCCTTTTGTGGCCCATGTTCGTAGATACTGTTCAATATATCGCCGGGTGCTTTTTGGTTGCACACCCAGTGAGTTACCACATAAATAGATACATCTCGAGTCGGACGTTTCATCATGTTCTGCATTTCTCAACTGTCAATATATCGTTGCTGTGTGATGCAGGTATATCGAGGAGGTTTAAATACCCTTGTCTTCTGCCAGGACCCTTCTCTTTAGGTCATTCTTTGAAGGAACAATAAACTCATCCTGAAACTGACGCAGCGGATCTTGGGCGTCGAGAGCTTCAGCATACTCTCTTGTGTGAGCTCTGATATCATCCTGATATGGAAGCGGGGGGCCGGCTTTGATATCCCGGACGTGCTGTCGTGAGCCCATATTTCCGTGTTAGTGACTTCTGTAGCTATGCAGAGCCGTCTAATTCCGATAAAGAATACAGCTTGACCAAAATGACCAACATTCAACCTGCACCCCGCCATGTCCGATCTTTACCATTTTCGTCATGTTGTGCCATTGCACACCGCCCTAGATGACCAATCGCGCCACTGCCGAGCTGACTAACGCGACGATATCGAGTCGAGTGATGCCATCGTCAACTTTCTCCTTGCCATATCTCCGGCCCTGAGACTCTGCATCCTTTACAAAAATGTCCAGGTCCTTCCTCACACCCAGAGCTGTCAGACAGCTGTCAAAACAGCCCTGTCGGCTCTTCTCGACCTCCCGACCGGCCTTGCGCCTCTCCGCATCCTCCGTCGGCGAGTCCGCTTCTCGCCGGGCAACTGTTGCAGCAACAGCCCGCACTTCCCTTTGCAGACCTTTAGTACTGAGATCATCGTTCGCTCGATCCCTCTTCCGTCAGCCTTCTGCTTTTTTCTCCGCCTCCTCCATCCGCCCTGCCACTCATGTTACGCAAAACCCGAGAACTGGAGATGATGGAGAGAACCTTATGATCAGTATCTCGCCACGAGCCGTGGAGGTAGGTTAACAACCCATTATATTCGATGTGCCTGTTCCTGTTTTATATCGAGGCTTTGAGTGGCTTGTGCCGGATGGGAAGCTTCACCGGAATGGTTATGCGCCGCTGTCGGGAACTCCAAAAACCACCGGAGATCCCATGGCCCCAGCATAAGCCTGTTCCGGCCTCATTCTATCACATACGACCATAGGGTGTGGAGAACAGGGCTTCCCGTCCGCTCAGCCGTACTTAAGCCACACGCCGGCAGGTTAGTAGTTGGGTGGGTGACCACCAGCGAATCCCTGCTGTTGTATGTTTTTGTTTTTGGAGTTTTTTTTTTTTTTTTTTTGGAACTTTCTATGGCCGTTCCTGCTGTACAGTTTCAATCAAAAACTAACTTATGCAGCGTCTTCGCGAAATTACCGACCCTACTTCCTCACCCTCCGCCACAAACCAAGAAACCCCCTACAACCACCTCCGCATTACTGTGACTAGTGGTGGCTGCCATGGTTTCCAGTATATGATGTCTCTTGAATCAGCGGAAAAAATCGACGGCGAAGAAGACACCGTTTTTGAGGGTGATTTGGATGGTGCTGCGCCGGCTGCGGAGGCTGCCGGAGAAGCTAAGGTTGTCATGGATGAGCCGTCGTTGGAGCTACTCTCCGGAAGCACAGTCGATTACACCACCGAGTTGATTGGCAGTCAATTTAAGATCGTGGACAATCCGCGTGCGACGAGTAACTGTGGTTGCGGCACGAGCTTTGATGTCATGGATTGATTCCATTCTGGGGATCCCGGAGGCATTCTCTTGCGTGTACAGATACGACATACGGCACATCTCAAAGATAGATTAATGCATGTTATACCCCCTCTTCTCTCTATTTTGCTCTACGCAAGGCCCCTTGATAGCGCCCTGGGGAGTGTAGGATAATAAATATCGTAGATCTATGCATTCATCAAGTCTCCTTTTTCTTCTACCTCACACCAACACACTCCACATGGAGTAAATCACCTGCTCGAAAGAAGCAGAACAACAGACCGGGGCAAATGTGAATCGTACGCCCTCCAGAGATATCGCGATAGCCCGACTCGATTTTGAATCCGAATGGAAATCCAAGCGGGAACAAAACACGGATAGGAAAAAATGAACAAAAATAAACAAAAAAAAAGCGTATAGAAACCAGCAATTGGGGGAGACAATATGGAAATGAGAAACACAAGGGGAGCGGGATAAGAAAAATGAAAGAATAATTCATCTCGAGTCATGTCCGTTTCTTTCTTGCATGCAGAGTCCATCCTTCAACTTTTTTTTCCTTCTCCAAACACCCGCAGAACATGCCATGGTTGATATTTTCATAAATATCGAACCATTTCATGCGCCTGCACTTAGTAGACTCGAGCAAGGTTGCGGAGGTACCAGTCCACCAGACGGCGACCGGCCTTGGTCTCGCTTACGTGGATCAGATCGTTCTCCAGAGCGTAGTCGAGATCGTTGGCAATAGTAGGCTCGCCCTCGAGCAGAGCACCCTCGACCCAACGAATCTGGCGGCTACGCTGCTTGTTAACGAGCAACCAGCTGCGGAGCTTCTCGGGCTCAACCTCGAGGAAGCCGGCAAGCTTCTTGAGGTCCATGGTGGTGTAAAGCTTGAGGTAAGAGCGGATGGTGGGGTTGAAAAGGGTGTTCTTGACCTCATCCATGAAGATGGCGGTGTGGTGGTCGATGGGGTCGACGTTGGAGGCCGGGTTCTCGAAGTCGGGAGGAGTGGGGGAGATGAACTTGGGGCAGGAGGAGCGGAAAAGCTCCTCGAAGACGGGGAGGGCCTCCGGGCCACCCTGCTGCATGCGCAGGAACTGCTCACCGTACTTCTCGCGGACGGCGGAGTGAATGGTGTCGTCCAGACGGGTGGGGTGGAGAGCGACACAGATGGCGATCAGGGCGTACATCTGGTCGTTCTTCTTGGCAATAGTGTCGTAGCTGTTGCCGCCCTTCTGGAAGTTCTTCGTCCGGGAAACGTAGACCAGAATGTGGCTGAACATGCGGATGGCATCGCCGTAGCGGCGCATCATCATGTAGGAGAAGCCCACGTAGTAGTAGGTGGTGAAGTGGGCGGCCATGACGCGGGCGAACATGGCCTTCTTGTTCAGCTCAATGTCATCAAGGGTCTTCAGGGCCAAGCTGAAGTCACCGAGCAGGCAGTGCACGCGCAGCAGGCCGATGATGGAGAAGTATCCCAGCATCTTGTACAGCGGGCGAGAACCGTACTCCCCGGCGAAGGCGGCGCCGTCCTCGCCACGTTTGATGGCAGCGAGCTGCTCATTGATCTGCGATCGCTGGATGAGCGAGTACAGAACGTTAAGCACAGAGTAGCAGCCCCAAGTGTTGGGGTTCTCGCGGAGAAGCGCGGCCTCCTCCTCGTTGGATCCGGTGCGAGCCACACGGTTGCGGTAGCGGCAGAATGATTCGAATTGGTAAATGAACTCGTCAATGACATCCCAAGCCCAGTAGTACTAAAAAAAGTCCAACCGTTAGTCCTGTTGTTCTCTCTCACGCCACCGGGCTGGCCAATTTCACGAATGTGCCAAGCCCAGCCTTTTCTTTCTGTGTCCGGAGCTAATCAATGGACGAAACGGATGACCTACCGAGGGAATCTCAATATCGACGGGGCCTTCCGAGTTCAGGATATAGTGGAAAAGACTGCAGTAGTTGTCGTAGCTGGCGAACTTGGTCTCCAGAGTCGCCTGGTATTCCAGCGGGGTAGCAGCAGCGGTCAGCTGTGCCTGGAGGTCCTGGGCCTGAGAGCCACCAAGGGATGTTGTCCGGTCAAGCTCGCTCATGCTGTCGTCAAAGTTGACCTGCTCACGGTAGTCATTGGCCATAGCCTCCTCCTCAACGTCGGACTCATCGTTCAGGTTGGGGCGCGCATTGGCGCGGTCGTCGTAGGACATTGTGGGTGAGTGTGAAAAGGGAGGAGATTGGGTGGATTGGTGATTTTTTCGGTCGAGGAGCCGGGAAGACGGCAAAGGGCGGGTGGAGGGTTGGTGGGGGTGCACGTCCGTCGTCGCCGTGTGGGATTTAGCCAAAGAAGTCGAATTTTGAGGGTTTTCGCTTGGGTGTTGTGCTTATCTTATCTGCACATAAAGTGGATGCTGACTCAGCATGTGCACACTGTGCAAGTATGGTGCCTGGATATGCTGGCAGCGACGGCACCTCGCCTCTCGAGTTCAACTACGACGACCATGGACCTACACAAGCTTGGGAAACAGCTTTGAATACAATACAATAAACAGGGTATAGGAATAAGGAACATTAGACTCAGTAAAGCCTTTCATTCATACCTCAAGGTGCCCAGTACATCGGGTTAGTTCAATATTTGAAGGAACAATTGTAACCCAGGCTACTCCAGCACTGGTGTCTCTAACTGATTATAGGAGAGATGGGCGAGCATTTCCGTGAACAGATTATGACTGAAAACAAGTCTAGATAAAGGCAGTCTTTTGTAATGCTCTACTATACAGGCGCGGGCCTGTAAAAAGGCCGGGGGCGTGGTCTACATTCAAACACTTCGTAAATTAAAGAATGTGAACAAGGAGTTCAAAGTTCAAGTCAATGAGTCGTATCATAGACTCATGTATTGCCAGGTAATGACTCCTTGAGGAATTCGTGTTGCCGATCAGATCTCGGCACTATGTAGAGACAGCCAGGGACTTATAAGAACAGCACACATGGCTCGCTCGCTGGGGCATGGACGTTCTATTTAAGCGACAGTCCATCGGATTTCCCCGAGTCCCGGAAGATTGGAAGAGTTTGATAGGGAACGGAGAGCAAATCTTTTGGTTTGAAGTTATCGGATAATAAATCCGGCTGCCGCCCGCCTGATGGGGCCTGAACAATGGCAGTAGCGCGCACACTCTGGGGCACTCGGCCCATTTCAACCCTTTGAATGTTTCGATGTCTTCATAACACCATCTATCTTGGTCTTTCCATTCTAGACCACCATAGCGTGGTACTGCGAAGGTATTTTCTGACCAACAATCTCAAGGTTGTCTCCGCGAACCTCTGCCTGCAGTGCCTGGGGACTCACTTTGCTAGGACCGATGTCTGCCTCACTTTCAACAACTTCGACGACCAGCCAAACGAGCCAGAAACTCACACGTCGACTGTTTCCAACGCCCTTTACACAAAATCGATGCCATATCTATGATGTTCACCTTCAGTCTAGGATGGTGAGGATGAAGACACAACAGCGTTAGACATCGTCCATCCACTTCCGACCGCTCTATCTGCACGCAGAAATCGGTCCGAATGCCCCCCTTTCAGAATACACACGGCCTCTTAGGCTTCCTGTCCTCCGCGAAAGTCGAACCCCTCAAGAATTGCAATGGCTTCTGGTGGTAGCATCACAACCCCCGCTGCGCCAGTGACTGGATCGCGTAAATCGCGTCAGCAGTTGGTGTGAACGTGCGACTCATGGCCATCCCAAAACGACAGAACTCGACAAATGCATGTCTCACTTCTTCGATCTCTAGCTGGTGTACGAGGATGCGGAGGGAGGACTGGACCGCGTCGACCACCTGGCTGGGGATGTACTTGAGACCATATGCCTGGCGGTGAATACGGAAACATTGGGCCATTTCTGCTACCTGTTGACACCATTCCTGTTGCAACTTTTGGGTCATGGAGCCTTGAGAGTCCCGCTGGATCATCATCTCCAGAAGGTTCATAATAGCCTGGTGGCACTTGATGCTTTGGACCTGGTTAGCACGACAAACCAAACAAGCACTATGAAGCCACATAGCCAAGGAGAGTCTTCTTACCGAAGGATGAGAACTTGTGGAGTGGGTTCTTTTTCGATCTGTAAAGGATCAGGCCAATTTGCCAGCCACTGTCGCAAACGTTCATATGGAGCTTCTGCCATCGCAGACAAGGCTTGAATGCTTGAGGCCAAACTCTGATCATGCAGAAGCTCTTGAATATGAGCCAAAATGTCCGTAAGCTCAGCCATTCCTTGTCTGAGTTGGGGCAAGCGCGCCAGCTTTGGTGCATAAGTGATCTTGTTCAAACGTGGGTACGGAGTCCACTCAAAGTCGGCGTCGCCTCCCATGGACACCTTGGATATTGGGGGCGGCAAGCTTGTGACCCTGCGCAATTTCATTGACATTTGTCTGACCCATATGTGAGCATTGGTCTGTCACGAAGCGAGAGAGACGCTTACGAGTTCAAGTTGAAGATACCCCAGGCCGTAATTGTTCGAATATGTTCCATCTGATGCAAAATTGACCCCTCATCGCCGTCTTTACGCTTGACTTCATCATCGGACAGCTCAGATGCTGATGGCATCGCAAACCCTATATATTCCTTGAACGGGTTTACAGTCCTCGGCAGCATCAGCAGCCCCATATCCTGTCCCATTTGAGCGGCCTGTCGAAGTAGGAACCAACCCTGTTGAATCTCGCCTTGCGATAAAAGTCTGCAAAATTGAATCAGCATCATATTCAACAAGCCCAATACACAATGGATCACATACACACTGCACATCATAAGCAAAGCCTGGATATTAGGCAACGTCTGGCGGCCTCTCTGGGCAGTCCACAATCTTTCTGCTTCTTGAAGAAAATGTTGTCCACGCGAAAATGTATCTTCAAGATTGAAGAATGCATCTGGGCTATCGGAGTAAACCTGTCTTTGTGTCAAAATGGATATAGGGGCTGGGGAAATCCTGAGTTGCATACGCATGCCATCGATAAGAGACTGTTAACCAGTAATGGTGTGCAGAACTGAGAACTGGTGTCTCCCCGTTTCATATGATCGATGAATATCTTCTGGTCAAGATACTGTGCGCACGGGTGGTCCCACGTGAAATACAGCGAGACAAGGTGCGACACAAAATCGCTGTCATCCGTCACTTCTGTCCATGGTCTGGCCGGTACCTTGAACAGTGGAATATCGCAGAGAGTTTCCAAGGCTACACGTGCATAAGGATGAAATTTTGCCCGAGGTGACTCCCTGGGGTATTCTTCTTCTGGTGAGGTCGGGATTAGATCGGGTTCTGATCGTCGGCGGGGTTTGATATCTTCAAACTCTGACAGAGTTGCCAAACTCGCCCTTGACAAAGTCTCCGAATCCGTGAATTTCGTGACGGGATTTCCCACGGAACGGGCGATATCCCTCAACGAACCATTGTTTCGAATCAATTCGATGAGTTCGTAAAGTTTTTCTTGGGGATCCGACCGAATACTGGCTAACAATGTTTCCAGCAAGTCTTTGTAATCGCTGAGCTCCTTGATCGTTCGCTTGACAGCCACTTTGCGCCGCAAATCTCGAGTGGGGTCGAAACGGCAGTCAGCTTCTAAGCCGGCAGCCAGGCACGCCTTGCAAGGGCAGGTCCCTGAACACTGGATGGTGCAAAATAGCCACGTCAGCCGAGTTCTTCTAGGTGATAACTATGACTCGTCGGGTGCCGGATTACGTCCAACAAGCGATGGTGACAGGCAACTTACCTTCCTCTTTGCAACTTTGCATGCTAAACACGCGGTGGAATTTTTTTTGGGCCGAAGGACCGCCGGGGAGGGCTGCGGCGCGAACCTACGAGGTGGCCCGGGGGCCAGTGCAGGCAACTGCTTGGAGTCGTCGTGATGGCTCATCTTCTCATCCGCTGACTGGTCAGTCTCGTGAAGGAGAGACATGTGTCCCGCCGGAACGTTTCCGGTTTCCTGAGAATCCTCCGCCATAGAGTCCCGGTTATGTTGATGTGGCCTGAGAGAAATACGCAGTCAGCTTGTGTTCATCCTCTGCTGTGTTGCAAAGAGCGAGAAAAACAAGCTGACCGGTGACAGCATCGGACCACACTCCGCCTATGGTTCTATATCACACATACACCATCGAATGGAAATATCCGCAATCTCACCGGACTCGTTGATCGAGAGCAGAAAGGCACATGTCGTAAAAGCGCGGGTCGTCGGGCTTTCGTTTGCTGCGCAATGTGTTCGGGAGTGGGACGAGGCCGGGGACGGGGACGGTAGTCGTGAAATCGAGATTGATCGCGGTGGCCAAAGTTGACCTACAGGTGCTGAAAATTCGACTCAATTGAGGGGGGAAGTGTCTGTCACCATCTGCAGGGGGAGGGGGGGGGGAGGGGGCCAGGTGATTGTGACACAGCCAGGGTAGCCAGGTGGCCCGGTTGAAAGTTGCGGGTTATTGCAGAAGAATGGATTCAGCAGTTTGCCAGGCTAGGCGCTGTTGGCGGCATGGGACGGGGCAGGCAAGGGGAACGGCAGTCATGGAGGCGAGGCTGGTCAGAACCCTGGTCAGCCAGTGCAAGATGGAGGGTATCGGGCAGCAGCCGCTGGGACGTCATTGCTATAGGTGGAAATACCCGAAATACCGGTCCAAAACAAGGGCTTGATGGGCCTGGAGAGGGAATGGACGGCGGTATCATGGCACTCACACCCGGAGAGATATTTGAAAAGGGCATCGATGTCATTTCCGCTCGGAAGGCCGCGACCGACGATCCGCGACTCATCCAAGAGCACGAGCAAAGATTCTAGTCCATTAAAGCACGGCCGAACTAAAACAATTGGGAGCTATACCCGCCACAGGACCCTTTATTGGCTCAACCACCGTCTTTGATCTGTATGTGTGTTTGCCTCCGGCAAAAGGCTCGACCGAGACTGGTTCGCTACGAAGCTCTCTACGGGATCCGCAGATTTCTCCCGAACCAGACAGTCATGCGCACTAGGACTGTGCACGCACGATACCACTGGTACCTGGAATTGAGTGGATATGGCCCCAAACCATTCTTATATAGAGATGTGTAGCATACTGTACAAGCACTTGGGATCCATGGATCAGCCTATGACGGACCTCGGTTTCCCGCGCTTACAACAGTCAACTTTCCGGTTTGGGTATGTAGCTAGGTGGCAAGCTCGCGCTCATTTTCGTTCCATTCAATCAACAGCGTTCCCAGGCCGGGTGGCGGGGCAGAAAAAATGTCCAAAGGAATTCCAGATCCCCGGTTGATGAAACCACGAGAACTGGAAATTCCGGTATCGTTCCGCTCACCTGACAGTCGGGTCCACTACACAGGACTATGTGCGTGGCCAATGTGTCGGGGAAAGCAACCGCGATCTGCAGCGCTATAGTCTCCATCATTGCTCGTTCGTAGCAGTCAAGTGGCTGGTCCACTTCCGACCAATCGGATGCGTTCTTGCGGCACAATTCAAGTCTTGGCATATATCCCCATTTTGATACTTCGCGATGCGGCGCAGGACGTGTACAGTATCTTGTGCCTGTGCAAAAATTCTCAGTCTTCAAGGCTGATTATATATGTTTGTGCTTCGTCATCGACATGGGTATTTCTCTTTTCTCGATGCCTACTGCCGTGTGACTATTATCTCATGCAATCTCACTTCCATGTGCGCCTGTCAGGTCTTTGCTCCCACAAGGACCCTTTGCCAAGACTCTTGCCACTTTCAGCCTAGCGAGGCTCCCATTTCTTTTACAGTAATCCTCAGTATTACTGTGCATGGCGGAGCGCCGCTGACGGGATATCTGACAGCCGTAGCGTTCCGAGGACCCGACCTGACAATTCCTAATTCTCGTTAAGACCTTGAGTGATCGCCCAATGTGAACGTGAGCTGACATGCGTGGTACACTTCGCGCAGATGATGAACCCCGATTCTCTGCGAAGTGGGAATTTGGTCGAGCGGAGGCAAAAAATGCAAAAGATCCTGGACTCGCAGACAAAGAAAAATTGCAGATCACAATCTACATCCATGTTGCTGGACTAACCGAAAGCGAGGCTGATGTCACCCCAGCCCCCTGACTGGCCCGGAGAAACAAGCCGTGCCGCGTCCACGTCACCTCATTAGCCAGCCGTATCAGCCGTATCAGCCGTATCAGCCGTATCAGCCGCATCAGCCGTCCACTATGTAGCGTACCCCATGCTGAAGCCTTACGATCCGGCGAGCCCTGAGTCGGCCTTTCCCCTCTTGTGTCTTTGTGTCTTAGTATCTTAGTATCTTAGTATCTTAGTATCTTAGTATCTTAGTATCTTAGTATCTTAGTATCTTAGTATCTTGTGTGTCTTTTCTTTTCTATCGAACCATTGTCGGTACTGTCATTGAATGTTGATTGCTGATCCTCCCCGTCCACTGCACCCGACTGTTTCCAATCCATCTCGCGGTCAACGCGCTCTGACCACAAGGTAGCGCCCCGGGGGCTTAGTGAAATACTTAATCTCAACGACGATAGATTGACCTCCTGCCGGACTAATCTCGATCATCCGCCTTTGCCGTTGTAAATGTGATGATTCGCAAGCGCATGGTCGCATTGCCCCTAGTGCCTTCAATCTTTGGGGAAATTTAGTCTTAGGGCGAACGTATACTTGGAAGCCCTGCTCCTAGGACATGGTCTACTGCGGCTGCTTGACTGTGTAGCTTCTGCTGCATATCTTTGATTTTCCATCTTTCTCATGGTTCCTTCTGGCTCAATACCTGCTGTAGCTCGAGCTACTCATGAGCCTCGTATTTTGCATCACCACCTTCCTTGTGCTTGATTCACTGGACCTTGCAACTCTGCTGCCAGCACGTAACCACGGATCCGCCCATTTATTTGCCCTTCCAGGATTATTTTGAGTGATGGCAAGCATCAACTGCCGTACCCTGAGGACCTATATCCCTCTCACTCACTACTGGCCACATAGTCCCTTATCTGTCAGTTGGTACTAAATATCCCTGATCGTCTCTGTTTGTAGCCTAGATAGCCTACTTCTCCCATAGCACTAATTCATCACTTGTACACATATCTCCATATTCAGTCATCCCTCTCTGATAGTCTCATAGACCCCTGAGCCAAGTCGAACGTGAAATCTGGCAGCGACTTCATGGTCTCTGTCCAAAAGGCGTCGGGCGAGCCCCAAGATTAATCCGCAAAATGGCAGATCAGTGTTTTTTGAGCTCTTGATAGTTCGCCCTTTTGGAATAAATCTCGACGAGACTTTGGGCATCTTTGGAATCTAGCCGATGACAGATTAGCGGGAAGAAACTTTTCCTTGCCAGTCGCTTGAGAGTATCAATCATAAAGTAGTCCCCTTCGGCATACATGCGGGTGTGGAAGAGTGCCTTATGTGCCGCCCACTCCGAAGCATTGGAAGATCCCATGCCATTAAGGACCTTTCGGCGCTTGGTACACGGCTGCTCAGAATCATTGCCTGAGATTTGAAAGGTGACATTGTAGACATCAGTATAGAGGAACTCGAGTGTCTTCTTCATCAGGAACGGATCTCTGTCCAGGCGGGCTTTCTCCATTTGATTCCTAGGCTGAAGTATCTGCCAGCTTCCAGGCTCAACGCGGATCAAAATTTGTTCGACTAATCTCTGCCACGAAGCAACAATTCAAGTCCCACCGCATATCGGCTCTCCATGGATGCTTGGCATTCGTCGAACACGAGGTCGGGTACAAGGCGCAAAGTCTCTCTCCAGGGGCATCGCTTGAAGACAGGCCAGTTCCCAAGGCTCTCCATTATGAGCTCTTGGGGTTGTAGATATCTGGCTCGCCCTGAATAAAGCTCCTCCGCCAATTCCTCGAACTGCGAGTGGGTGAATGGGCCTGTGGTTGGATTTTTGATGTAATGCTACCAATGCCCTGAGAGCATTGATCATGAAGTAATTGCTTCGGCATGAATCTGCTTGGAAGTATGCTGGGTGTTTCTCAGTCCATTCTGAGGCTTCAAGGGTGTCACTGATACCCTCGAGCGTCATTGTGCATTTGACGGGCAGCTCCCCAGAATTCCTGGGGTCAGCTGCTCTGGCTTATGACTAATTCATACCAACCGTGTTACTGTAGTTCCCGGCAAAGAGGAACTCGAGCATCTTCTTGAGCAGAAATGCATCCTTGCCGTTGAGCTTCATCACTCCATTTGACTACTAAAGTCGTCTTTCGTCAGCTTCAGCATACTTTAAACTCCACTTTTGAAGTCAGATACCTTGAAATATCCCGTACACGCCGATATGAAAATAGTTAAACTGGAGGCAGAAAATCGCCCGATGGCCTTGGAATCGTGTATTTCCGCAAATCATGATCAAGTCGCTGTATTTGGGGCTCAGAAAATGCCGGCTCCGGTTAGCGGGCTGTTCTCAACGGACTGAGGAGAGAGAGCAGACGGAAGATCTCTCACGATGAGGCTCAATCTACCATTGGCATTCTGTCGAGTTGAATCGCTTCGGCAGGTAACCAAGCTCTGACTTGGTCCATATTAACAGCTGTAGGTGACGATAAGCTGATGGCTAGCTGAAGTGGGTGAACTTCAAAAGTGCAAGAACGAGTTTTGTCGGTATGGAAGGGCAAAGAAGATGAAAAGAGAAAAAGAAACGAGAGAAGTGTCTAATGAATTTGCAAAATCCCCTCACTCTGGCTGCATATGGATATTTTCCGAATACCCACATTGATGGTGGTCACTAGAGCTTTACAAAGTAGATATAGAGAAAGCTAGACATGCTCATCTCTTTGAAATAAAGATGCCATGCTGAGCTAGTAGTTCAGGCAATCAACTTGACTAATTAAGGGGTGTAATCAGATGACCGGTGCCAGGGGGAACCTAGAAGAGTTGCTTGAGTCTGCCAAGGCCCAAGTTCCTCCGTCTACAAGTACGAAGACTCAGCCACTTTGGGTGAATATTCCGGGCCAATAAGAGCCGTAGGAATCACAATGAAACACCATGCGAATCGTTCTCGTTCAAGTGCGAGTGGATGGCTGTGTCAGCTGCCTTAGTTTGGCGATGGTGTCGATCTTGTGGGTCTGAATCTTCCCCGTGTCATTCCCTACATTACGAAGTACGCAGGAGACGGGAACATTCTTTCCCTCCCGGTTCTCACAAGACTCATAATCCTCCCACCTTATCTACGTCTATAACCACGCCAATGAAGCCACCTTCTCGTGTCTGCACCTTTCATTGGAATTAGGACGGGCAAAGGGTGACATATCATGTCTGACTGTGCAGCAAGCAGGAATGGTCTCCACAAGACAGCCATCCCCGTGGGGGTCCCGCTTCGGCACTTGACCGGTATCTACAGTAGGCTTCCACTCAGTGGGCTTGGCGGAATACGCTTGGCATGGAGTCTCCCACTCGGTGGGATGACCTTGGCATGAAATCTCCCGCCAAACCCATGATAAGGACCTTGTCACCTCCGTCGATCATCCCGATCCGGACATAGCTCCACCATGTTGGCAAATGAGAGTCTTTTGCGAGCTTCGATGAGGCGCTGCACTTGGCACATCCACAGATCTACACTGGCGGCCATAGCCTTCAGTCCTCGCCGCCAAGATTAGAGCGATGAGACCGTAGAATAGGTGCCGCCAGCCTCTCAGCTGCTGTCGATAAATCAATACACCCATTTTCGGACGCCCGCCAAGGCCGCCAAGGGTTTAGAGACGTTGTCCTTTCATGCCCATTTATGAGGCTAGATTGAAGGCTCATTGATGTGACTGTGCTTAGGGGAGCCCGACCTGACGGCCACATGGATCACAGTCCTATCTGCAGCCTGGCGAAAGGTCTAGATTCAGAAAGAAAAGCGGCTTTTTAGATATCCTGTTCTCATCCTCTCTGGCAAGTGCCACTTCCTGCTTATTCATTAGAGGCATCATATCAGCAATGTGGATACCACGGAACACCAGTGGAGTCCCAAGACACCAAGACGGCGATGAAAAGTAACTGCAGGGTGATCCTTGTTGTCGTCATTTTACGCGGTCCACCTCTTGTCATTGCTACCCGAAGTCAGCTCTATAAGCCGAGCCGAAGACCATTCCTCCTGATCTTATGCAGGCCCATTTAGTTCATTGTCTATCACACTCTATCCAAAATGCACAGTCCCAGGCGATCACTGTCTTCAGCAACAACAGAGACCAGCCCCGATGGCAGGATAAGGGACCCGGTAGATACACACTATGGAGCAGCTCATCAAACCCGCCCGGGACACACAGTGCCAATGGCCCCTCGCTCTGCGCAACACTATACCGATGTATCATTTGATGGGACCGCGGATACCCTTACGGAGAACCCATCCTTGCTGTCTCAGATGTCACTTTATTTCTTCGCGAAGCTGGATCCTAGACGTGCAGATGTAATCCTTATCGTTTGTGGGTTCGTCAGCGGCCTAGTCGATGGCTTGTCTTTCAATGCATGGGGCAGCTTTTCGAGTATGCAGACAGGTATGTTGCCATTGTCTTCATTTGAAATCAATCTATGCTAAATGAGAACAGGAAACACTGTTTTTATTGCCCTGGGTGTATCTGGTCAGCCAGAATATCCGGCGTTTCTTTGGGCAAAGTCGCTCATCGCCCTGAGCGTCTTCTTGTTAAGCAATGTCTTCTTCATCCACCTAGGCCGCGCACTCAATCCTCTACGACGGTCGACTCTCATCCTTTCATTCGGACTACAGACTGCTGCCCTCATTGTCGCCGCTTCCGTGGTTCAAGCTGGGATCGTCAGTCCTAAGCCAGAAGACCCGCGAGGCCCGATTCAGTGGAATCAGATAATACCCATCACACTTCTCGCTTTCCAGGCTGCAGGCCAGATAGTCGCCTCCCGCCTTTTGGCCTTTGATGAGATACCTACTGTCGTACTCACCACTCTTCTATGTGATCTACTGGTGGATACAAATCTCTACACCAGACCGTGGTCAGCCAATCCGAAGAGAAACAGGAGGATTGCCGCCTTTCTAGCCCTATTCATGGGCGCCATGACTGCAGGTGGGCTCTCAAAGGCCACGGGTATGGCAAGTAGCTTGTGGCTGGCGGTCGCATTGAAGGGCTCCATCACGCTGTCGTGGTTTTTCTGGAAGGACAGTTCCGGTGAGGCGAGAGAGAAACAAGTTACAAGAAACCCAGTCTAGCGTGACCCCGACTGCTTATAATTTCTATGCTGGTAATAAATAGCATTGCTGCCTGGCTTCTCCGTATCAGAAACTCGCAAAATATCCTCACTTTGAAAGCTCCTAGAAAGATCAGAGCAATATAGTACATAAAATCGTAGTAAACCGTGAATAGCACATCGAATGCGTCTAAGGAAGAACAGAAAAGGCAAGTGAGACAGAGGTAGGCTGTCTTTGTAAGTTCCCCTCGCAGCAGCCATCGCCACCCATCACTTTAGTCCTCATCAGCTTCTCCCTGCCTATATCTTGTTGGACATTGCGGGGCTGATTCTTCCCCCTTGGCTCCCCACTTTGCATGTCATTCTTATTCCTGCGCTTTCTATTCAGGTCTCTATGTGCTGTCATGTCCTATGATTTTCAAAGCTGTCTAAAGCTTCTGCCCTAGACATTTTGCTACTTATGGCCAGGATCGAATGACCCAAAGGGCAAATCTCATTCTGACTCGGTTAAGAGTATCTGCGTACCACAAGTAATATCCTTGACAAGCGACTAAGATACTAGAATCCTGTTGATTCTGGGTAAGAGCCGCGCAGGTGTAGCCAAACTTGCATTTCTAGTTTATCCAAGTGTTAGTAGGTCCCTCCCCCTGCACGGACGGCCGGGGTCTAATTGGTCCATAATTTAGTACAAGCCAGGCATCCCATCTTCAATTGTATGTACTTCATGTACTTAGTCTGCTGGCTATAGCTGGTTTTCGCAAGTAAGCAACTCAGTTGCTGCAGAATCTAACGGCGACCTACTAGTGACTTGTTGAGCTGCTACATTAATCGTCGCTGTATTCAGCCCCTTAGCAAGGGATGTGACAAAATCAGTCAAATTCCTGACACGCACATAAGCCACGCAGATTGATAAGGCCATTTTTAGCGTGCGGAACAACAATGCCGGCCTTTATATTGAAGGCACGGCTACCATCGGCGATATTCTAATGAGGTGGATCCTCTGATAAGGCACTATCAGAGTTTCACCCCTCGCTGTCAAGAATAGGGCGTAGGGCGCACAGCATTCCCAGCTGCAAATGGGGTTGCGCAATTATTATCATAACAAGTGCTATCGAGCTCGTAGAAAATGCAAGAGGTTCTAATTAGTGGATCTGCTAAGGATGTCATTTCTCCGATAGCGATCATTGGTTCGAGGTCGATGGCAAAAAAAAAACCTAGAAGAATCCCGCTTGGCGAAAAACTTTTTCGGGACCGGCACGCTGATAAAGAACGGTGGCCCGGGGCAAACCGCGAGATCATATAATAACCTGACCTTGGCCTCTTCTTCAATTCTCTTTGGCATTCTCTTTATAGATAACTTTCAATCCTCAAAAGGTATGGATCAGGCACAATTCTATCAATTCCAATTCCGGATCTTTGGTTAACAGTGACTCATAGCATACATTCCCTTCGTTTACCAAGAGGAATTTAATTTTCAAATAACCAAATCCGCCTTCTATTTGCCTGATTATATTTAACCCAAACATCCACGATGGGTTCTGTCTCTCCTAATGTGGCCGAGCTTGATGGCTCCAATTTCAACATCACCCGCTCCACCAATCTGCGTGATGTTCCTCTTCCTGGCTCTCCTGAGGAGATGAGCCACTCCTACTGCACTGACCACATGGTCACTGTGAGGTGGACTGTTAACAGCGGCTGGGAGACTCCCGAGGTCAAGCCCTATCAGAACCTCAGCATCCCGCCTACTGCGTCCGTCCTTCACTACGCCACCGAGTGCTTCGAGGGCATGAAGGTGTACCGAGGCTACGACGGGAAGCTGCGCCTGTTCCGCCCTGACTGCAATGGCGAGCGTCTTAACAGCAGTTCCCAGCGTTCTTCGCTGCCCGGATTCAAGTACGACGAGGTGAAGAAGCTGGTTGCTAAGCTGATGCAGGTTGACGGATCCCGTATGTCTCACCGTGCTTGATAAAATTGAAACCCAATTTACTAATCCGAAACTAGGCTGGCTTCCCAAGGAGCGTCCCGGCTCTTTCCTTTACATTCGCCCTACTGTCATTGGTAACGGTCCTCACCTCGGTGTCCAGGTCCCCAAGGAGGCTCTGCTTTTCATTATTGCCGTTCCCTGGCCAGATTTCACCAAGATGAAGAAGGAGGGTGAGACTGAGCCCAAGAAGGGCCTGAAGCTCTTCGCCTCTACTCCCGACTCCGTCCGTGCCTGGCCCGGTGGCTTCGGCTCGGCCAAGCTCGGTGCCAACTATGGTCCGTCTCTACAGGCCCACGGCAAGGCTCAGGCTCTGGGCTTCGACCAGATCCTTTGGCTGTTCGGCGAGGACCGCCAGGTCACTGAGGCTGGTGCTAGCAACTTCTTCATCATCTGGCACAACGCCGACACTGGCCGTCTGGAGCTTGTTACCGCTCCTCTGGAGAACCAGCTCATTCTGCCCGGTGTTACTCGCCGCAGTGTTCTGGAGCTGGTTCGTGAACGTCTGTCGAAGCAGGCCGTGGGCAGTCTGGAGCCTCTGCAGGTGGTGGAGCGCACTTTGACCATCTCGGAGATCGAGAAGGCTGCCCAGGAGGGCCGCATTGTCGAGTCTTTCGTCTCTGGTACTGCTGTAAGTTTTGCTCTGTTCAATTGATCATCGACGTGCCCTAACATCATTCACAGTACTTCATTACCCCCGTTGCTATGATTCGCAACAATGATACCGATATTAACACTTTGGGCAAGAACGGCGAGCCTGCTGGCTATGCTACCCAGATCAAGTCCTGGTTGGAGGCCATCATGTTCGGCAAGGAGGAACACGAGTGGGCTTACGTCGTTGAGAATGAGGAGAAATAGGCAGTTGTGACTGCATTTTTGATGATTTATGGGATCATGTATATAGACTTCGCCTTCTCATAGAAACAAGCCTGCGCTTGTTATTTGCCTAGACATTTTACAGCCTCTTTTGTTTGCACTTCTCTTGCTTGTAGTATGCTAGATATTGGCTTCCTGTTAAGTGGATTGGGGGAATCGTTTATTAAGTACATGGCAATCGTAAAAGGCATAAATCCAGATGTCCGGACCTTAGTATCGCAAGTCGTCGAGGTCATGTGTGTCTTCCCTGTCATCTTCAACCTCTTCTTCGGGCACGGCAGTGCCTTCATCCAGATCAACCACAAGGGGAGCATATTCGCCCGTTTCCTCGTCTTCGTCATTATCGTCCATCTCCATTTCAACTTCCTCGCCGTCCTCCAGCTGGAGCATTCCCCGTCTGACGATAGACTCGCGCTTCAACTCCCAATCATACTCTTCCTTGACCCAAGCCTCCAGATTGTCAAGTTCGATTGTGACCATTGACTCTGCTCCGTTCTCAACAACCTCATCCACAGATCGTCGAAGCTTTGTGAGCAGGTTGCGTAAGAAGGCTCCACCTTCATCCCCATCTATCTCAAAAAGACCGCCTTCAACATCATCGCATCTCTTTAGCTGCCGTAGGAGTAGGCGAACCACATCACTCATAAACTCTTCTCTGTCCACGATCGCTCGGCGGCAGGTCAGAATAAGCTCCAGCAGCCGCTTCCACTGCTGGAGACAGGAGAAGTTCATCATGGTCAGAACCATCAGGAAAGAGAATTGCAGCTCTCCCAGAAGCTGTGATTCGCCGGTTCGTTCATCAACTGTTATCTCGCCAGTGACCGAACTGGAGTGCATAAGGATCAATTCTCCCAGAGCCCAAGAGCGGTCTTGAGCAGCTTCGGTCCTTTCGCGTCCAATAGCTCCCTCTCTCCAGGTCCGCTTCAGGTCAACTGGAAGGAAACCAAACTCCCTTTCTTGTTCTCCACTAGCCTCGGGAGCTCCATCTTGGGCTTCCGTGGGTTGATCGAGTCCAGGGATATGGTCCGCGTCACGGTTGGCCGTGCCAGCAGAAGTCACCATCCACCGCGGATGGCCATCGACATCCAGTTCAGGGTTCCCAATGACGCGAGACAACAGACTGGGCGATATCCGGTCGGTAAGTTGATGCCAATCCCTGCGACCGCTTTCCTCGACTTCCGTATCATCCTCCAACTGAGGTGCCTCATGCTGGGTTGATCCGGATGGATTCGACAACATGGCCGGCGACACGCGGCTTCGGTATCGGAACAAGCCACCGCTCTGCCAAACCGCACCTAGGTTCGCCTTGTAGCGCATGGCCGCCTGGCGGTCTAGATCGCTGTCGCTTTTCAGTGACACAAGTGATTCGGTGTCGTTATTCCATTTCCAGATATAGATCTCCGGTCCGGGTCTTTGGTTTCGTGCCACGAGCGCGGTGTCATTGCCTCCTACCCCAGCCTTGCTAATGTCTCCGACGTAGAACCATGCGCCACATCGGAGAGACAGGCTCTCTGTTGTACCGGTATACAGAAAGTGCCATCCTTCTGGTAGATCTCTGATTCCGTGGAAATTGGCCGTCGAGGTAAAGGTGATCAGATCGGTTCCAACCAGGGTCTTGGGCGGTAGACCGGGGAGAAGGATGGTCGGGGAAGGCTGGAGTGACGAAGCCATCGTTCCTTGTCAGGATCCTGGGTATCTGGTTGTTTCAATGGGTGTAATATCGGAGGCTATGGATGAGCCGGTGTGATGCAAGCAATGTTCCGGTAGTCAACTTTAAAAACTCGTCCGACGGGAACGGCGCGGAGCTGATGTGAGCCCTTGGCAGGCAGGTGCAAGCTTCTGAGGATTGTATGATGCTATTGCATTATTGATAGGAAGAGTTTAGTAGTATCCTCAGGGGCTGTGAATCAAACCTGTTGGGTTGGGGTTCGATGTTGAAGCAGCTCACTTTTTTCCATCGGCCCCGCGACAGCTCCCCGCACCAGCTTCCTATTCCAGGGAGTAGTTTGCAGTGTTCACCAAGGTACTTCAATAACTTGTCTTCGATTTACAATTTTCTTGTACAGATTTAGTTTGAAAAGCCCAAAAAAAAACATTGTTCGAATTGGTAGAACTACAAATGCTACAATAGAAATTTGAATGGGGTTTACGAAAAAAGTTAACTCAGACAAGTAATTGATTGATCGTCAGAAGACTACCTAAAACAAAAACAAAACTGAGCAGGAGCTTTTGAGGGCATTGAAATATCTGAAGACCAGGCGATAAAGGCCGTTCCTCGCGTTTATTCCATCCACAGTTGCAGGTAGTAGACCCTGCCGGTAGCCTCCAATCCATCCACGAAGTAGAGTCGCAGTAGGACATGAGAGAGACACCCGCACACGTCTACAGACGGCGACCACGGCGACCACCCTTGCGACGAGTAGAGTCGGAGGGGGTGGGGGTGACGTCCTCAATGCGGCCAATGCGCATACCGGCACGGGCGAGGGCACGGAGGGCAGACTGGGCACCGGGACCGGGGGTCTTGGTGCCGTTACCACCAGTGGCACGGATCTTGATGTGCAGGGCGTTGATGCCAAGCTCCTTGCAGCGGGCAGCGACGTCCTGGGCAGCCAACATGGCGGCGTAGGGGGAGGACTCGTCACGGTCAGCCTTGACCTTCATACCACCGGTAACACGGGTGATGGTTTCACGGCCGCTGTTGAAGAAATTCGATGTCAGCAAACATAATTCAGACTGAACTGTTGAACGCCCCGCTACGGCTCTTGAATCCCGTCGAATCGGTTGAGCGCGCAGAGGCTCAGGAGCAATTGCAGGGAACGTACGAAAGATCGGTAACGTGAACGAAGGTATCATTGAAGGAGGCGAAGATGCGAGCAACGCCGAAAACGAGCTTGCCTGTTCCATGAGCATACTCGTCAGCCTCATGATCACGAAGAAATTTTTTCTTTTTTTTTTCAATTCTCTTTTTAAAAGATCAGTGCAACATACCATCACCGGCGAGGGGGCCGAGGGAGACGTTCTCCTTGGCGGCGGGAGCCTTCTTGGTAGGGGCCATTGCGACTGTGGTGTTTTGGGGGTTAGTGGATGGAATATGGAAGAGAAGAAATCAACTCGAGGCGGTTGATCTTTGATCAGAAAAGTGGGTGTGTGCCCTAGCGAGTTGCGGGCTGTGATTGGCCGAGTGGAGAGAACAGTAAGCGAGTTGCCTGAGGCTTTTCGAACCTCGGAATCGCGGTCGGCCCGTGGGCGGTGAGGGAAGCTCTTTTGCTCGCCTATTTAAATTTTCTTCCGTCGCCCATCATTTACACGTTCTCAGCATTGCCATTGATCTTCCAGAACTCAAAGAATCCAGTGGAAAGCTGGGGCTTGACGTCCAAGAAGACCAATTCTCTGATACTAACCTCATCCTCTGCCATCAGTTGCGAGAACTACGCAGTATCGGCCCGAATCGTGGCCCTGAGTCATTGCCGGAATGGGACGCACCAAAGAGGATGCCTCGATTGGCATCATCGGTATGGGTGACATGGGCAAGATGTATGCCCAGCGCCTGAGTGACGCCGGCTGGAGGTAAATTGCAGCCTTGTTTTCCGTTGTCGATCTGCATCAGTGATGTACGAGAAGGTAAGCTTTCCACTCTTCTCTTTTTCTTTCCCAGTCCCCTTTCGAATGATGACTTGAGTGCATTTGGCTCGAGTATGGTCCGGGGCTATACTGCCTAACCATTCTGGCGGTGGTTGATCTCCGGACTGTCGATGATGTGAAACCCTCGCTACCTTAATTTTCTTGTCTGAAAAAACTTCGAACTCAACCATTCTGTTTTCGCTTTACCATTGCTCTTCGGAACAAATGCTAATCAGTGAATCAAATAGGTCATGACGTAACTGGTCTTCTCGGGGCATTTGAAATGAATATACCTTTTACTAACATAAATCTGTTTCTTCAAGAATCAATGCGTGTGATAGACCTGAGAATTATGAATCTCTCCAACAAGAGTTCGCTTCTCAAGTACGTCTCCCGCCAGGGCCATATCGCCCAGAAACTCATTCGTATATAGCAAGGAGTCACCATATTCCCGAATGGACATCTCGTTTCCAGACTTAGCGATTTCATTCTTTACAGTGTAGAGGCCGGCGTCATCGACCGTGTCGTGGCACAGTATGGGCCCTGTATGTCTCGATCTATTTGAAGGCTATGGCTCTACATATGACAGGTATATCTGACATGTCGCAAAAAAGCAACCAAGGTCGGCGCCATCGTTGGTGGTCAAACGTCCTGCAAGGCCCCGGAACTTGCAGCGTTCGAGAAGCATCTGCCGCAGGATGTAGAGATCGTATCATGCCATTCGCTGCATGGGCCCAAGGTCAACCCGAAGGGACAGCCACTGGTACGACGCCACACCCAGCCCGATTCCACGCCAGCCCAGCCCAACACTGAATAACGTGTGTCGTCTAGGTCCTGATCCAACACCGTGCCTCCGATGAAAGCCTCCAATTCGTCGATCAAATCCTCTCCTCCTTCGGCTCGAAGCATGTCTATCTCACTGGTGAGATGCACGACCGTATCACCGCCGATACCCAGGCCGTTACCCATGCTGCTTTCCTGAGTATGGGAACTGCATGGCAGGCAAACGACCAGTTTCCCTGGGAGCACTCACGGTGGATTGGTGGCATTGAGAATGTCAAGATCAACATCACCTTGCGCATCTACTCCAACAAATGGCACGTCTACGCCGGTCTTGCCATCCTCAACCCCGCCGCCAGGCAACAAATCCGCCAGTATGCTGAATCCGTTACCGAACTATACAAGCTTATGATCAGTGGAGACCGAGAGGAACTCAAGCGGAGAGTAAAGGCTGCTGGTGCCTCGGTTTTCAAGGAGGGCACGACCAGTCAGGATCTCTTGTTAAAGGATGAGGTTCTCGATCAGTTCTCTTTGTCCAACAAGTCCCGCGAGAAGGCTCCCCCGAACAGCCATTTGAGTCTGCTCGCCATTGTCGACTGTTGGTCCAAGCTTGGCATCGTTCCCTACGATCACATGATTTGTTCGACGCCGGTAAGTGGACTAGTCTCGTGGAGTTTTTATTTCCTCGAAAAGGCCTACCTTCTAACTTAATTAGCTGTTCCGCCTGTGGTTAGGCGTGACTGAATACTTATTCCGCAACCCTGAGCTCCTCGACGAAGCTTTGGACACTGCGATAGACGACCACAACTTCCGTTCGGATGATCTGGAATTTACCTTTGCTGCGCGGGTAGGTTATAACCAATGTTTCTTGGACAAGCTCCATGTTCGAGTCCACGGGATAATACTAACCTGACTCATCTAGGCATGGTCTGACTGCGTCTCCTTTGGTGACTTTGAGTCCTACCGCGATCGCTTCGAGCGAATTGCATCGTACTTCGCCCCTCGCTTCGCCGAGGCCTCGAAGCTTGGAAACGAAATGATGAAGACGATCCTGGAGAAGACAACCAACAACCCTTGAGTCACCTTGGTAATGGAGGTGTATGATATGATCTTCTCCTTTTCTTAGATTTTTCCTCATTTGACTTGTATCATTGTATGATAAGGTAGGGGCCAGGGGCCTAAGGAGTATGGTGCCTGATTCGCTTTCAAATACCTAAGGTGCGATCGGAGTTTGTTCAGGGTACGGAGACTGTCTATCTACTAGATTCATGCTTACTTTGGCGGATTCTTCTTACATTAATCTAATCATCTATGCTGCACATGTGTGTAGTTTCAATCTTCATTTTACGTCTTTTCGTTTTGCACTTTTCAAAGTTGCCAATTCTCTTCTTTTCCTTTCCCATGTCTTGTCGTTCCCGTTGCGTTTCAATGCTCGGTGCTTATCGCTCATGGGACTAAGGTAGGGGCGAACTACACCCAAAGCAGTCATAAAAGTAGGATTAATTATAAGCCGCCTAAAGGTTGCCAACAAAGGCCTGTGGATGCTACCTTTAGCGCTAGTGAATGAATGCATAAGTTGCTTTAGCCTCGAACATGGATGGGTTGGTAGCCCGCGTTCTGCATATGTTGGCTTGAAAGGCTGAGACAATTCATGCAGTTTGAAATTCGATTTGAGCCGATAGTGTACTTCTTCCGCGGGCTCATTGCTGCCCGCGCTAACCCCCCTCCTGGACAGACGCTCGATTTCTGTTCGCTCCTTTCAGGATCTCTTTCTGGATATGATTCTGCTATGCATGGTTCTGTAATCTAACGAATGACTGAATTATTCGATCCGGAATAGCCACATTTCTTGCCAGCCCTACTCGCGCTCTCTGCCTCTCATGTGCTATTCAGACCCCCTTAATTATATATATAAAAAAAATGGCCCCCTCTTGCTAGTACCGCCCCCTTTCGCTCCCCTGTCACTCGCCTGTAGCCAGGAGTATCTAACCAGACGGGTCAGGTCTGGTAGTTAGCGTCGTTCCAGACCTGGCCATGAGCTGCAAAAGCTCCGTGATGCTGTTCACGATTTAGGTAGAAATATTTCCCCAGGCGTTCTTGTGTCTTGTATCATGCTTCTCATATTTTTCTACACTGAATAGCGCATAACATCTACAATGCCAGAGCGGAAAACGGTGGCCCTTCGTATGCAATGAATTGCTCAGGGTGATCTATACCCCTCTGGACTTGGGTACGAGGAACTCTGGCCGAGGTAGGCAGTTGTCCATAGTAGACACGTGTCAGTAATCATAAGGCTGGCCGTGATGGAAATCTACAGACCTATATCTAGCTGTGCTCTAAGCCAGGTGGTGGCAGGGCTGTGGCTTTAGGACCAAGATCTGAAGTGGACGATTTCGGGCCGAGTATTTATGTCAGCCAATAATTGCCGACTGCAAAGCACCAATTGGCAACGCTTGAATCAACATCCGAATGCTAAGCTGGTGTCTTCATCCCTGTGCTACACCAATAGTTTAGCCACAAGTCACATGATAATAATTGGATCGCCAATACATTTACGAGACAAAGCATCGTATTTGATGAGAGTAAAGTTGTAGTATTGTGACCGCTACAGGAATAACTATTGATATTCTGGCTTTGTTCCCAATATAGACTAGTGTGTCTTGGCGTAGGGGCAGGAACATCAATTGAAGAGTGTACAGTAAACTTCCGGTTATAACATGGCCCTCCGTCCGAGAGAAACCACATGTTATGAGTGAATTATGTAATATTCAAACAACCTCAACCCCATAATGCCCCTCTCACCGTCCGAAAACCTTCAACTCCAGGTATCGCAACGGGGGAAAACTCAGCGCCGTCCAAGACGCAGCAATAGGTAACCCCATCTAAACGATCCGTCAGCAATCAATCAATCTATAAGCGCAGAATCACAGTAAGGAGAAAAAGGAAGAAAGACTACCTACATCCGCCCCACCTCCCACCAACCTCGCAACTGGCCCAATAAAATACACCTGATTCATGCCCAGGATCGCGCCTGCCCACCCGATCAGAAAGGCCACTAATGCCGCCCAGCCCAGGGGCAACGCACGGCGGTCGTTCCAGTCGGCCCAGTTGAAATCTTGGCGGAAAATGGTGTGTTCTTCCGCTGTAATAACGACCCAGATCATGGTCCAGTAGCCGACAAGGGCAAGGAAGTTGTTGAAGATGGTTAGGAGGTAAGCTTCGCCTGCTATGGCGCAGACGGTGTAAACAACGACGGCGATTGTGCTCCAGATAAAGCGGGGAATTTTATGAGCCCAGGGACCGAGGAGTTGGAGGTTGAAGGAGGCGGAGTAGGCTCCTTGGGTTTGGGTTAGTAGATCTGTTGCGGGTGAGAGGTATGTGACATGCCTGGGACTTGGTTGGCAACTAGGCCGAGAGCGAGGATTACGCCGAGGAAATTACCGAAGCTGTTCAGAGGGGCGAGACTGGCCATTATAAGGCCTCCAGTTGATCTGTCGAAGCCTTCGGCCCAGGACTTGTTGGTAAGGGTGCCGCCGCCTAGACCGATGCCGATGGAGAGACAGAGGACTTTGGCAAGAAAGATGCCGATTGTCGTGGAGAGGGCAACCTTCCATTTCACCGTGTCTTTGGGGAAGTAAGCCTTTTGTGGGGATTAGTGACACTCTAATGGGAGTAGAGAAGGTCGTACATAATAGTCCGCCGCATACGAAGCCCAGCTCAGGGGGACTGACATGCAGAGAAAGAAGAACGTTAGTCGATTACCGGCCAACTCGGCACCTACTCCGACGCTCTGGCTATCCGGGTTGAAATCGGGACCAGCACAGCCGATCATAATAAACATGATCAGGATCTGAGGTATCCAGCAGAATCTAGGGGATTGTCAGCACTGACGAACTCGTTTTGCATGCAGCGGGCAGACCTTTCGAAATTGAAGAACCACCGGTATCCAAATGTCGCAATCACCCAGGTGATCAGCGCCGAAACCACTATGCCTACCCACGGTTTCATCCCATGGCCGTTGACGGCCGAGAGAATTAAACCAGCGGTCAGGCAGTTGGTCACGCCGTATCCGAGCGCGATGAAGATGTTCAGTACAACACACAGCTTGGCGGGCCACCATCCCATTGTATATCGGGCTACGACCTGTACGAAACCGGGACTATTAGGTCAAGCCTCGATTGAGAGAACTCGCGCAGACCTACCAGCGTACGACATCCGGATACTGGCCCAAAAGTTGAAATATACCCGGCACAAATACAGCCTGTGAGCGTACCGAAGATACAACAACTGTAATAGTCAATATAGCTCCTCAACGTCATGGATGAACCTACAGAATTGCATCCACAAACCCCAGCTGAAAGGCCAATGGTCCTAAAATGCCAACGTTCAAACTGTTCGCGGTGCAGTTGATCCCAAACCACATCAGCGCAGCTGAGAGATACTGCTTGGTGGAGGTGGGTCCTCCACGCATGTCATCGGGCACTCGCTCAATACCCCGGGTTTCCAACCCGGCCAGAAGCTCTAGCTTCTGGCTAAGCGTGTGGAGCCAGCCCTTTGACTCCACGGCAATGCCGGACTCGATGTCAGCAGTCGAGCCATCGACAGAGGCCTGTGATTCTGTGGGGGATTTTTCGTTGTCGGGACCCATTGTATGCTGTGGGACTTAAGCTTTCCGCTGATTAGTGGGAATGTGGGAATGTGGAGTCAAGCATGTGTAGTATCAACGTTCAATAGTTAGAATGTGGGACTTAATAGCACAGATAATCAAAACTATACGAATTACAAAGGAAGAAAGTATCGGGAAAAGGCTCGATTTTAAACCCCAATTTAAGAATCGGCCCCGTCTCTCTGTCTCGTGAGCTCTTTGACTATTGAAGAGTGATCTTATTGGCTTCCAGAGCCTTTGATAGAGATAAATGCACGGGTTTCGTAGTTTAATCCGTCTAGACCAAAGTAAATAAATGAAGGTTTGATAAGAGGCAAGCAAGCGAGGTCAGGGTTCAAAGAATTTCTGACTTCACTAGGCGTCGCACCTAGGAAGTGAGAATGTTGGCACTGTATCCTGATAAGGTTGGCTATCTATCCGACGGACGATGCGCACGGATGATCTCCCTTTTCAAGCTGACATTGGTGAATCTTAAATTAAACCTGGGTTGTACAGCATGGCGTTCTCCACTGAAGAGAATGTGCCGTGCTTTCCGGTCGCTTCTCCGCATTTCATCCCCCGACGATCTCTAAGCGAGTACAGGGCAAACCTAGGTTAGTATCTTAGTCTTCTAATCGTCTAGCCAGAAGCGAAGTATTACGATTATCTCTATTCGGGGGTGGCGTTTAGTCTTGGTATATTGAGCCCGTCGGATATATTGCTGAAGGCTAGCGCCGTCGCATACATGCTATAAGTCATGTACTCTAACGGGATAGATTCTGCTATCTGTCCAATTGGTTCCAGGCCACCTGCTATCAATTATATGAATGAGAATAGGTTGGCTTTGTGGACATGGCCCACTATTCTGTGCGGGGTTCAAACCCATATCGATACCAGCTTCTAATTCCCAAAAGCTGTTGACACCGGTATAATAAGACCTGGAATCTTCTCAGAAGGCGAAGGGATACTCGTCTGTAGATCTACCACCTTTGAAACATTTCACTTGTACTGGATTTACTAGACATGTCGAATAACTTCTTCATCCTCAAGGGCTTGACGGCCCTGAGTTTGGACAAGCTGCCTACACCTCTCTGGTCTGCTGCGCTAGTTGTCGTAAGTCCAAGCAGAAATCTTCTAGAAGAATACTCACTGAATCCCCCACAGGCCGCCGCAACGCTCCCAGCAATATGGATCTATCGTCTAGCCCTCCACCCACTAGCTAAATACCCCGGCCCCAAACTCGCAGCCTGCTCCAGCCTCTACTTCATGTACTACATCTGGACCGGCTACTTCCCGCAGCACTGCGAGACGCTCTTCCGCCGCTACAAATCGACCGTGATCCGTGTCGCACCTGGGCAACTCGTCTTCAACGACCCACGCTCCATCAAAGACATAGTGGGCCGCAGCGACGTATATCGCGGCAACTTCGCTCTCCGCGTCATTGGCTTCGCCGGGACAAACGTGTCTAATATTCGCGATCCCGGAGAACACCGTCGCAAGCGCCGCCTTATGGCCCCGGGGTTCTCTAATACGGCGTTGAATGCCCAGGAGCCTGGTATCGTGGTGCCGATTGTCGACAAGCTTGTGAGCCGCATTGCAGGCGCGGAGACGGATGTTGTGAACCTGTCTGACTACTTTGACTGTGCGACGCTGGATATCATTGGGGCATTATCGTTTGGCGCGAACTTCGCCATGCTGGATAAGCTACATGATCATCCGTTTCTGCACGTCTTGCCTAATGTGCTGCGCTTGTCAGTCATTGCACAATGCATCCCCGAGGTGTTTCGCTTCCTCTCCTTTATCAACCGCCATGGGCCGGCCTGGATGACTCCAAAGGCATTCCGCGGAGTTGTGGATTTCGCAGGGTACCATCTCAACATGCGGAGGCAGCGCGACGATACTGAATTCGATCTGGGCAGTCGTCAGGACATCATCAGTATTATCGCTGCGGGGAACGAAAAGTTCAAAGGCCAGGCGGGGTATGCGCATCTCGGAAAGTATGAAATGCTGGGTGAAGCGACGAATCTCGTAACTGGTGAGACTTCCTTCCGTCATAAGATCAAAAGTGTAGATAAATTAACAAGACCAGGCGGAGGGGACACCGTCGCCACAGCACTAACAAACACATTCTGGCACCTGGGCCAGAACCCAGCCGTATACGAACGTCTGGTGTCGGAAATCCGCTCCGAATTCCTCACTTCAGAAAGCATCGTGTCGCCCAAAGTCGCGCAAAAGATCCCATACCTGGACGCCGTTATTAACGAGTCGATGCGCGTGTCACCCGTCTTGCCGGGCCCGATGTGGCGACACACGGACAACCCGATCCCCGTCGCAGGCCACATGGTGCCGGCACACACGGAGCTGGGGGCGATGCGCTACAACATCTTCCGTAACCCGGAAGTGTTCCACCGGGCGGATGAATTCCTGCCGCAGCGGTGGATGGACCGGAATGGAGAGTTTAAGAATGATGACTTGGAGGCTAGTCAGCCGTTCGGGCTAGGCCCGCGCACTTGTATTGGGAGGAATATTGCGTGGATGGAATTGCGGTTGATTGTGGCGAAGCTGCTGTGGCACTTTGACTGGGAGGCTGTTACCAAGGAGTGGAATTGCCCTGAGTATTTGGTTCTTTATCGAGGGGCGATGCTGATGAAAGCAAAGGCTAGAGTGTGATATGAAGCAATTCCATAGATTACGCACTTGAAGTTATTAACATTGAACAGGTACATTATTAATTGCATGTATGGCCTGTCTACTGAGAGACAAAAAACAGAATGTAAGGCGCATCACTTATATGGAGATATAAAATACATAATTGCAACTTTCGTAGATGAGTCTTTAATCTGGGACTATTCCTATCCCGGAATTCCTAGATTTAAGACCCTCGCAATTAGGGGGCTATTCTCATGGAGAACATTTCAATCATCCAGATTATGTCCATGTTCTCGATCGGCGCTTACAATGCCGTCGAAACCGGGATCATCACGTTAGTTAACTATGTTATAAGGGGAGTAATTCAAAACCCACAGTTAATATAAAAATCAAGATCAGCCCAAGGAAATAAATGTTTGCCATGTAACGAGGCAAGTATGTTGTAGGGACGCTTCTTCAGGCCAGACCACCCGGTGATAAGGGCAACTTAGTCATCCATGTGTTTGTCGCGATCAGGCTGAACCGAGCCAGGTGAGACGATCGACAATCGCGCTGATCGTTTGCGCTGGTCATTTACCAGGTCTTTGCTTCAGTTGAGCCCGAGTCAGTCGTGATGGCACCTGCTGTTGCTCTCTGATCATTGTGACTGCAACTCGTGACTGCGGAGGACCCCCCTCCCTTACGCCTTCTTCCCCATATTCGAGCCCTTGCTCCGCCGACCTTTCCCCCCCCCCAACCCCAATGCAGACGCTCGACATCCGGGATATTTGCCACAGGTGATAGACAGCCCCGTGGCTAAATGGAGCTCTATGGCTTCCGGACACAACTCAGCGTTTTCCGCGTCCACCCAGCACCGTGTTTTGGGTGATGGGCGCTCTTCATTCAGCCAGGACGGTGGCTCGGTAGCCGGGAGCTGGAACGATGCAGCCCCCAAACCAGGGCGAAATGGACGATCCGGATCTGGAGGGAGTGCAACTACGGGTGGACGAGGAGCGTCGCTGGCCCCGTCCTTTGGCGGGCCAGGTAGCTTCAGCGCGGAGCTCAAGAGCATGAACTCACGGAGTGTCACACCCCGCCCCGACGGTACCTACACGAGACGAGCGAGCCGATCGATTGGTGAAGAAGACCTCAATACGACCGAAGAACGACAAGCGTTGATTCGAGACAAAATTGCGAAAGAGATGAAGATCAAGACTGGAACAGAAAACATGTTGGAGGCCCTGCTGGCAAAGCCTCTAAAGCAGACCAAAGACCAGCGTATACGAGTGGAATCGGAATTGAGTACTTCCAATCGCAAGCTGGTCCAGTTGCAACAAGAGCTAGAGGAGGAGCTGCTTCGTGCGCAGGCGCCATCTACAACACCCCCTCGCAGTCGCATTTCAAGCCTGTTCCGAAGCAGTCCTATGCGTTCACCCTCGCGAAACAACAACAACTTCCCAGAACCCGTCGATGAGGAACAACAGGAATATGAGGAGGAGGGAGACATTGAGTCGCCAACATACGTTCTTACCGAAACACTCCAGGCCTTGGAGATCGAGGGCATGTCCCCCGACTTCTACGTCGAGCGCGCCAACAATCTGGTTGAACTTTTCAAACGACATCCTACTCTGAAGTACGATCTCGCATGGCCTGTATTTGGCCTGCGCGTTCAAGTGATGCTTCTCAGCGACAGCAAAGAAGTGGTGGCTGCTGGTTATCGGCTCACACGTTACGCTATAGCGGATCGAAAATCCCTCCAAACAATTCGAGCATTACATACCGACGAGCTCGTCATCCTATCTCTTGTAAAGGAGAGCAAAGCCAGCATTGAGAGGGAGCAAGCTCTCAAGTTCGTGAGAGCCTTCCTCGACGTCAAGGACGGCGTCAAGGAGATTTCTCGTGCTATTGTGCGTACGATTGTCTCCATTGCCGAACATCATGAAGACCGTCTGCGAAATATTTCTATCATGACCCTTGCGGAGATGTTAGTCAAAGATCCCGAGCTCGTTGCTTCAGCAGGCGGGTTTTCCGCGTTGCATGATGCTTTATCCGAAGGCACATTTGGCGCTTCAGAGAGTCTGATCTCGAGTTTCTTACACGTTCTGGATATGCCACGTAGTCGAAAGTACTTGCAAGGGTGTGAATTAGAAGCCGTTCTAGCTCCTTTTACCGACTCATTGGCTGATTCTCTTCGCCATGGCCGGTTAAAGTCTGCAGCGCGGGCGGTCTCTGCAATGCTTAAAACATGGCCCGGTCTGGTAATTCTGGCAAGAAATGGAGCGCAACCGCTCAAGTCGCTTCTCGAGTCACTCCACTACCCTGATCCCCAAGCTCGAGATCTCCTTATGGAGCTATTATTCGATGCTTTGCGGATAAAACCACCCTCTTGGTCATCTTCATTCCTTGCGGGTAGAAGACTCACGACATATGGGAGAGTCTCAAACCTGCGCGCCGACACCGAATCGAAACACGCCCGCGGATTCCCCGAGGCCAGCAATAGCAGAGTTGATCTCACAGCACACTTCTCGACTCTCATTCTGGCAGCTTTGATCGCAGCTGGGCTCCCAAAGGTTTGCAATATTCCGAAGATTAGATGGAAATAGGCGCTAATTAGGTGTAGGCTCTGTCGGATCTCATTGAAGATGAGACTGATGCGTCGCTTCGACGAAAAGCCACTCTCCTTTTGACCGAAGTACTCAAACTTGCCCATCACTCATTGCCATCAAGCGTAAGTGCCAAGCTTCAGGTCCTTCCCCATCTTCTCCCTCCCGCAATTCAATATGATCTTGAAAACCATGATGTCTCTACTTCGACAATCTTCCAAATTGAAAGCATCAACCGAACGCTGGCACGCTCTGGAGGCCTTTCGAATAGTCCTGGCCGATACATGGATGCCGAAATTTCCCTTTCTTTGCTACCTGGCGAACAAGGAAAAGACAAGCTAAGCCCATCGATGGACGAGCAAACGTTCCGCAACGCAATTTTGGAGACTCATGTATTAAATACAGTCAACTTCCTCAAATGGAAGTGGGATCTCATTCATCGTCTCGTCGAAGGCCCTCTCACAAATTCCAAACGCATGGACGAGGCCATCAAAGGTTCCAAATTCATGAAGCGTCTTATTGGGTTCTACCGGCCCTTTAAGTATCGGTTCGCCATGATCCCAGTTTCAAAGGCAAACCAGCGTTATGTGCGAACTGGTTGTGCGTTGATGCGGACCCTGGTCCAAACCTCCGAGGGTACCAAGTATCTGGCCGAGAACAAGTTTTTGCGTCAAGTAGCAGAGTGCTTGGCCCAACTTGACCGCATGAGTGGACTGACATCTACCTCACCCCTATTCTCGCGTGAACAAATGGCCAATACCTTAAGTGGAGGATATTTCGCGATGCTTGGAACACTGAGTGCTGATGCAAATGGGCTTCTCATGATGGAAAGATGGCACATGCTGAACATGTTCTACCATATCATCGAGCTTCAAGACCGGAATGATCTTATCCAAACGCTTCTGGGCAACATGGACTACAGTCGAGAAAGTCACCTGCGAGTCATGCTTTCCAAAGCCCTCACAATTGGCTCCAAGGATATTCGTATATTTGCCACCAAGCTGCTACGAAAATACGCCGTCGGGGACATTGCCGTCAGCTCGCACGTTGCTCTTGCCAACGCGGAATGGGTCGTAAAGCTCCTCGTCACCCAGCTCTATGATCCGGATGTCACGGTTTGTCAGATTGCCGTGAAGATCCTCGAGGAGGCATGCAACCAGCGTGATTACCTGGAGTTTGTGGTCAAATGTAGACCCTCTCTGGATCACCTTGGAGAGATCGGCGCACCGCTTCTCCTGCGTTTTTTGTCAACATCTGTCGGCTACCATTATCTGGACGGCCTTGACTATATCACACAAGAAATGGACGATTGGTTCCTCGGCCGAAATGATTCTTATGTCGCCCTTGTCGAAGCAGCCCTGTCTCGAGCCTATGTCGATCAGCCGCGACGTAACAGCTTTGCACCCGAGGACTTGGTAGATATGCAGGACGTCGGAGTCGTTCCCCCTCATTTCTACCGAGAGCTCGCTCGGACAGCCGAGGGCTGTAAGCTACTGGAGCAGTCCGGGCATTTCAATGAATTTGCTTGGACGATTCGGGATTTCCGGCTGGAGGAGGAAGATACCGAGGTGCTTCTCAAAGTCAAGGGATGTCTCTGGGCCGTGGGCAACGTTGGGTCCATGGAGCTCGGTGCGCCCTTCCTGGAACCCGAAATTGTGCAGCGAATTGTGGCGATTGCGGAGAGTGCTGGTGTGCTCACCATGCGAGGTACTGCCTTTTTCGTCCTAGGATTGATTTCTCGCAGCAAGCATGGGCTAAAGGCACTGCGGATGCTGGGATGGGACTCTGCTATCGACTCGGAAGGAGGCTCACTGGGTCTCTGTCTTCCTACTGACTTCCGCACTCTGTTCCTAGTATGTATTCCCTTTATTCTCTTCCATTGCGGCCACTCCCAACGGTGACTAACCTATCCAGATTTCCTTCCCTGGCTACAATTCAGAGGCCAAACGAACCCCGCAGGACAAACTCAAGGAGGCTACTACAGACTCGGACCAGACCAACCAGAAGATTTTGAAACTGATTGTGGACATGGGGAACACTGTTCTATCAAAGCGATCAGCGGCAGACCTACACAGGTATTATCTCTCGTATCATTTCTCTGAGAGATCACTGACCTCTCCACCCGTAGCATCAAATCCAAGCAGCCTGAACGATTCCACCAAGTACATCTCTTCCGCAAGGCCCTCTGCATTCTTGAGAGCCATCATTTCAGGCTGCCAGCGCGGCGCTTTGCCCTTGATCTTTTCGACAAGAGCGTGATGCGGCGAATCGTTCTCGAGGACGACTCCGATATCTCGGACTCAGACTCATCTTCATGAACCACGCTAAAGTCCAAATAGTGGGTTCCTCTCTTCTTCTCACCATTCTCCTTTACTGCATCTCGCAACGCAGCACCGCAGGCGAGGACCACGCTACGCACCGATTTACCTAAAAACGATTGATGGAAAACTTGGACTTTTCGGTATCATAAGCAACTGGCAATGCAATCTGGCTTTCCCTTCTATTTACTCATCCATTTGTACCTGGCATGGCGGCGAACCTTGGAAATGAGACACGAATGATATCAATTATATGCTTTGCGTAAATAAGGAGAGAATGAAGCTGAGGGACCAGAAGGGATCATAAAAAAACTAAATAATCCCCTCTAGTGGCCTAGTGCTCAACACGAGCAACAATTCAAGCTCGCGTTTAGGTTGATGCGAAGCTCGGGAATTTACCCGAAGTCGGTCTAGTATCTGTTCCTTCCTCGTTGAAGCCCGTCCAGAACCTTTGCGTTGATCAGGCATCTCCGTTGTGGCATAAAAAATAAACGTATTCCAGTTTCTATTCCTGCTATCAACCTTCCAATGTCCGCTTGCCTCTTGCATCTTGATTAAAGTGTTGAAGTGATGAAGTTCTGCGATTATCTAAAGTTGGACCCACTTTAGATCTCCGACCCACCCCGAGACAGCTTGACCCGACTCCTCTCGATACTCCTCACCCATAGAGGATTATGCCGACATGTCCGACATGTCCCACCTTGACCCGCCTGAGATCTTGGACGTGGCAGGCTCTGAGGAATGTGCCCCTCGCGGCCTCGATGTCCCCCACCTCGTCGTCCGCTTGATCCAATGCCAGCACTGCTCGCACCCGCTACATGCGCCACTCCGCTTGCCATGCGGCAACTCTGTATGTCGCGCTTGTCTCCCATCGGTCAGGCCTCGGACAGGCATCACATACCCAGTTGCAGAGGGTCGAGAAGAGGGATTCACGTGCTATTGGGAGGGAACGAACAACTGTTTTGGGGAGCATTGCGTCGGAGACTGCGGCGTTGATGTCGTGCTGTGCAATATTGTGGGGATCTTTCAAGAAGAACTGGCTTGGGACTTGCCAGTAGCCGAGTCACAAAACCAGCAGGAGTCTCAAGATCAGCAAGGCGATGCACGAGTTGCTCGCTGGAAAGTAAAGCAGCCAGACACAAAAGCTCCGGAACTGCACAGCGCCGAGGTTACCAAGCCCGGATGGCTACAGGGCCTATATCTATTGGCATGGGATGGTCAGCTTCCACACAATGCATATGATTTTGTGTATGAGGAGCCAAATGCGTCTCACGAAAATGTCGAGCAAGAGAGTTCCATGAAGCAAGACTGCGTCCGCTTCCAGAAACTCAGAGACAAGCTTCACACCGAACTGGACTGCCAAGTCTGTTATTCACTTATACTAGATCCGCTGACCACGCCCTGTGGTCATACCTTCTGTCGTAAATGCGTCGCAAGGGTCTTGGATCATACCGACCTTTGTCCAATCTGCCGCCGCAAAGTCGGGATGCCCGCTGCTTTACAATCTGAGCCATTGAACAACACCCTTGTACGCATAATTGACCATTTTTTTGCGGACCAGATCACAGCCCGCAGAGAGGCCCTCGCGGAGGAAGAACTGGCAGGAGATCATGAAAAGAATCTTCCGCTTTTCGTTTGCACGTTGTCTTTCCCAACAATGCCAACATTCCTACATATTTTCGAGCCTCGGTATCGACTCATGATCCGCCGTGTCGTTGACAGCGGGGATGGCAAATTTGGTATGGTGATGTACAATCGTCGCGGCCGGGCACAAAGTGACGATTTGGGCACCGTACCGTTCATGCAATATGGGACACTGTTGATGGTCGAGCGCTATGAGTTGCTTCCAGATGGGCGCAGTCTCGTGATTGCGACAGGCGTCTCGCGGTTCAAGGTGCTCGAGGCCGGTGAGATGGATGGTTACCATGTTGCCAAAACGGAGCGCATTGATGATCTCTCACTAGCGGAAGAAGAAAGACTAGAGGCGACCGAAACGGCAGCCTCTGCCATCCCTGGCCCGACACAAGCAGCAGATGCTGAAACTCCCTTGGAGTCGATGTCAACCCTGGATCTCCTCAACCTGGCTAGAGAATTCATTCGCAGGCAGCGCCAATCAGGAGCGCCTTGGCTACATCCGCGCGTGATGCTGGCTTATGGACCTGTTCCAACAGACGCGGCACGGTTCCCGTGGTGGTTTGCCAGTATTTTACCAATCGCCGAAGAGGAAAAGTACCCTATCTTATCTGCAATGAGTGTGCGGGAGAGACTTAAGATTTCAGCAAAATGGGCAAGGGAGCTGGAAGCTCGAGATTGGTACGTTCTTCTCTCAATTTTGACTCCTTGAAGATCTAACACTTCCATAGGTCCGCCCGCTCATCACTCAATTCTGTCTTATGACTAGCCGTTCCTTTGCTAGCCTTCTGCCTGATTCCGTTGGCTTTCAATCCGTTATCGTCACTCGTGTCGTCAATGACACCCAACGTTCTTACATCACTAACGCCATTTTCCTTTTCAATTTCCGTGTCCTTTGGTGGCTCGCCTACGCTCCTGGAAAACGGCGAGCAGCCACAGGAACAAACGCGGCCCCGGTCAGACGAACCGTCCGAAAAATACATTCCACCAACCCTCGTCATTGGAATTTTTCTTGCACTTTTCTGCGCGCAGGTGGGAATCAACTTCTTGCAATTTATGCGAAAAGGGCGGAGGAGGAGACAATCTATGGAGTTGCAGTTTCCGCAGCCGGTGCCCCCGCAACCTCGGGATCAAACCGAGCGACCAGAGCCTGTGTCAAACGTTGGTCTAGTGGGCGAAGGAGGGGATGGCCTGCGGTCTCCGGCCCCAGGATCTACGCACGATGTTGGTTAACGACCTCCATCGCCGATTCATGCTAGAGTTGTATCAACTTTTTACCATGAACTTGAACATACCATGAGAACTACGCTCCTTATATACGAGATTTCCAGAGTTTCTTTCCTTAAGATACAAAAGTTACTCAAGTGCTTACAGTCTTGCTACGTAGAAAATTATCATCCGGGTTCTAGCTAATATAAGGACCGTCTTCCTTCACAATACCTCCAGATGGATGTCCAGGATCAAGCCTAGCCCTTAGAATGGTGATTAGGATAGCCCAAATACTGTGGGAGATCTATTAGCTTTTAGGGGGCCCCGTGACTAACGTCAAGGAAGGGTAGAAATTTTTTTTTTAAATTCTATGGAATATGGGTTGCTATGATTCAAAAAAGAGCCGTCAACTCAGTATAAGTGAAGAGATCGGGGCTTATTAAACGACGAGGTGTAAAGGAATATAAACTATAGGTCAATGACCTAGAGTAGAAAAGGGAGAGAAGTGGGAGAGTGGGAAGATGAGTATGGTAACGCTTAAACCGAAACACATCAAGAAAGAGGCATATCATTTGGGTTAAGGTTTTTTCTTTCAAAAGAATCGCAGGTGGCCTAGAAGAAAGATGCAGACTCGAAAGTCTCGAAAGTCTGAAGAACCCTCTCGAGTAATTGAGCAGAGCCAAGTCTGAGACCACCTGTAGAAACACCTTTTTGCTCGCGGGGTTCATTTCATGGAACCGACTTTCTTTTTTTCGACTTTCTTTTTTTAACCTTCTTTTTCTTCTTTCGAATTCATTCCTTTCTTCATTTATAGCTGATGCCTGACGACCCTAGCATCCAATTTGGTAATAAGTGGCTTATGTAATCCGCGTTTGACCGCGTCCCAGCGACGCGATTCTCGAACGCCGAGTCCATTCATGCTCAATAATTTCAAATCAATGGAACTTGTACTGGATATACCACGTCTTGAGTCTCCATGTCATCTCTGACTTTATCATTGGCCCCACCAGCCTTGGTGCGGCTGCACGACGTGCTGATATGTCTGTCCAAGTTCAGTGACACTGTTGCCATTGAGGCTGAGCATGATCTGGTAGGGCTTTTGGAATTCGACGATCTAGGATACCTTGCTGAAAGATTGTTTGCAGCTCCGCTTGAGTGCGCTCAACTCGACGAAGACCGCGTTCGCCTCTTTTGTCTGCGAGAAGGAAGTGTTCTTCGAGACTTACGCGTTCAATGTCCGTAAGGACATTCGGTCTTCAAGCGGAAGTACTGCAGGAGATCGATTCTACTGCCAGATTCTTCTCAAGGTAAGTATCTCCGAATATCTAGAGTCAATTTTTGATCTGATCGATTACCCAGACGCTTCTGTCTGTCTTTCGAGGAAGGGTGGACCGGAACAAGGACACGGCCGTGGAGCGTTGTGACATGGAGCTTCAAGAAGATCCGCAAGAGACAGAATGCCGATTGACTATTAAGATGATCTGTGGACTTGGTAAGCTCCTCTATCTCCGCCATTGTTTTTGTATCTGACTTTATCAGGTGTAATCAAATCTTATAAGCTCACCTACGAACCGGCGTCAATCCAGCATGCCGTGTTCGATAAAGGCAGGGCGACGAATCAATGGACTGCAGATCCACGATTCCTGAAGCAAATTATTGAACATTTCAGCTTATCCGCCGAGCAGCTGGATATTTACTCCGACTCAGGAAAGGCAGTGTTCACGAGTTTTACGACGAAGATTATGGATGGAAAAGGTATGGCAGAAATCTTCCATGTCAAAGTTTGGGAGCTGATAAAATACAGAGGTCCTTAAATACCCCGTGCACACCTCCGTGGCTGCCGACAAGCGGGATTTCGAGGAAATCCAAATCGAAGACAACATGCACATTGCGATCAATTTGAAGGATTTTAAAGCCGTCGTCGCCCACGCCGAGACTGCCAATGCAACGGTCACGGCACGATATACACAGCCTTGCAAGCCACTGCAGCTGGCATACGACTTCGAAGGTGTCAATGCCGAGTTCACGATCATGACGCGGGGTGAGGTAGAAGGCGAGACAGCACCGGCTTCATCTCGAGTCGGAATGCCACAGCTTTCACAGCGTCATACACCTGCGCCCATCTCTTTGAACAGGATGAATACTCCTCGCGGTGCAACGCCAAATACACAGATGCTTCCGCCCCCGCCGCGGAGTCGGTCCATTCGTCCCTTGAATGGGTCGTCAACACAGGAGCATCTTGCTCCCACCGCAGTGTCAGATCGGCCTTCTGCATCGTCGGTCTCGATGGACTATGATAGTCTCTTTGTGCCGGCTGATGATGATCGCCAATGGGATGAAATGGATGAGCAAGAGGAGCCGCAGGATATTCTTGGGTGGGATGCGTCGGGTAGACAGGTTTGTGGCCCTTTTTGTTCTGTTCAAAGGTTGGAGGCTGATGAAATTCAGGATAACTCTGAGCCGACTCTCCAAGAAGCGGAGCCTGATTTCCCTAAAATCGCCGATACGCGTCGTCGGCCTCCAAAGGATGAAATGGGCGTTCCGCCGACACAACGCATGTCACAGGTATGGGAGCCCAGTCGAGTTGGTCGAGTCCAGCTAACGCTGTCTAGGTTCGAGGGCTTGGTCTCTTCGATTGAAAATGTGTCATCCCAGTGCTTCAGATCTTTCCGAAGTGTCAGAAGTGTGTATTGAACCACTCTGATCTGCTCCTCATTTCACGTTCAACCAACTTGTCGCACATCCAGCTCCAACACCAACGACCTTCGCACCAACAGCGCGCACAGAATCCGGCAACGAAACCAAATTGAACGTGCCGGCCACATTCCCCTTCTCATCCGTATCAGGGCCGCAGTTCCCATGCTCACCCCAACCAAATGTCGCAACCTCTCCGCCCTCCAAAAGCGCAAGAACATGCTCACTGCCAACAGCAACTTGAACAGGCTCAGGCAACCTCGGAGGTGGGAGTTGACCACGATCATCGCGACCCCAAGCAATAACCGGCGCCTTGGAGTTCCCCGCCTCTGGAGCAATATGTACATAAATACCATGCCAACTAGCTCCAATATCACTATACCCCATCCCACCTAAAGAAGGAACATTCAGAATACCCCACCGATTCCCTCGATCCCCAAGAACCATAAATTCCCCAGCTTCACGCTGCCCAACGATGACCGTAAACTCACGTCCGCATACGGCAGCCGTTGCGCGGAATGGGATCCCCTCAACTTTCGCGGGTGTCCATAAAATCTTCTGACCCTTAAGAGAATCACCAAGTTGGCCCTTCCGTGCCCCGCCCCAGCCCAATACATCTCCATTCGAAGTAACAGCCACAGAATGACCCATCCCACTCGCCAACGCAGTAATGCTAGTCCCCGGCGGCAACGAAAGAGACAGAGACATACCGTTCATCGCAGAAGAAACACCAGATCCAAGACCAAGTTCACCCTTGGGAGAAGAACCCAGAACAAAGATTCTATCTTCGTTCTCCTTGTTCAAGGCAACAAGAACAGACCCCTCCCACGTCGCAGAAACACACTTGAAGAATTCAACAGGTAACCCCGTCTCGTCCGTGAGAAGAACGCGACGAAAGCGAAGTAAGTCATCTTTATCGACGCTGCCGGTGCTCTCATCATATGCAGTGGAGGGCGTAGGCCCGCACCGCCCATCGGAGTTGCAGCCCGCAGCATAGACACATCCTCGCTTCGTGAGAAGCAGAGTGTGATTCCCGCCAGCAGCCATGTGGATGATCTCGTCGTCTGGGATGGTGGGGGAGGAGAAGAGGCATTGTGTTGGAGATGAGACGTCTTCTTTGTGGCCAAGGGCTAGTTGGCCGGAGCCGTTGGAGCCGAAAGCGAAGAGTCTCATTTGGTCGGCTCTTTCTCTTCCTCTTACTCTCGGTATGAGAATATTGTGTAGAAGTGACTTCTTTGGGTAGTTTCTTGGATCGGCAGTATGTCACCGCTTGAAAGGCCGCTTTTGTGAGAGTTTTTGGTGGGTGGAGCGCGAGTCGGCCGAACTGGAGCCGAGATTTTAGACCTCTACGGTATGTGGATCTACGAAATTCAGGAAAGTGAAGCTTGAGTCTCAAAAGAGTAATGGTCTTGTAGCCATGGGTATGTAATAATATATAAATACTGCAGGCATGTGCCTGCATCATGCGTTGTGCATTTCATGCAAATGTCCAAGCAAGGCCAATCGGCCGTAGGGGATATCCGAACACCAAAAAAAAACAAGCGAACCCCCAACCAAAATGCAAATGTTTAATTTTTTGTGCAAAGCCCACATCTAGGGCGACTTTTCATTCAAGGAAGATCCTTGAGAAGCACCCTCGGCAGGAGGGGGCAAAGTGAAGTTGTCCTGCCTTCCACCGAGCTTCTCCTGGCCCTTGAACATGGGGCTGGTGCGGTGGAAGTAGGTGTGGACATGGCCCTCGAGCAAGGTGTCGTCAGTGTCATTGAGGGTGTCCGCCTTGTCCTGCTCTTGAATCTTCTGGGCCATGGCGGCTTCCCACTCCAGGCGGTACTCCTCGACCTTCTGCTGGTAGTCCTTCTCGGCGTCGTAGAAGCGGCACTTGCGGAGAACGAAGCGCTCATACCAAGACAGGTGAGCGGGGTGCACAGCGGCGCCGTGGTATTCCTCCTCGCGACCCTCGCGCAAGAATTGCCAGCGACGCTCCTGCTCCTTGAGATCAAGACCAGTGGTGTCGGGCAGGAAAGCCAGAGTCAGAACCATACCGGCCAGGCCGAACCAGGGAACGACGTAGAACTTGGTCTGGGTGTCGATGTAGTTGTACAAGACTGAGGCCAGGAGAGCACCGGACTTTCCGGCCGCAGCAGAGATACCGTGGGCAGTAGCACGGATGGGAGTGGGGAAGACCTCAGCCGCAACCAGGAAAGTGACACAGTTGGGACCAAACTGGTTGAAGAAGGAACTCAGGAAGTACATGGCCTGGAACTCCTTGATGTGCTCGCCCGTGGTGTAGTACTCGTAGTGGAAGGCAGGGACGACGAACAGAACGAAGCACATAAGGAAACCGAAGGTTTGCATCCACTTGCGGCCGTACAGCTTATTGTCAATAAAGAATGAAGCCATGTAGTAGCCGACGAGAGAGACGCCGACGTTGACCAGGTTCCACAACCAGGTGGGCATCACCGAGTCGGTCGCGGGGCTGATAACGGAGATGAACTCGCTTTGAAACAGCTTGTTTCCGTAGAAGAAAACATCGTTGGCGAACCAGCCGCCAGCGGTCGCGATCAGGCGAGGGCCGAAGTACTTGAAGGTAAGGCGCAGAGAGTCAACATCATAACCGGTCACGGAGGCCTTCTTCTTAGCCGCAGCAAGCTGCTTGCTAGCCGCCTTCATGTGGTAGGCACGGTAGTAGACGAGCCACAGGGTCCCGACGGCGGGAATGGCGAAAGAGATACGGTAGGTCCACTGGGTGGACACGGCGGAGTAAGGGTTATTACCGCTACCGTGGTGGAAGCAGAGCAGGAGGATGATCAGAATAACCTGGTTTGCGAACTGGCCCCAGCCCTGCATCAAGAAGGCGCTGGTAACCTTGCGGCCACGGTGAAGGCGATCGTCCTTCGTCGAGATCTTGCCCGACCCGACGGCATTCTCCATACCGCTGGTCGCAGTCATGGGGTACTCGCCACCTGGTTGCACGGTTAGTCGCCACTCGGGAGAGTATTTTGAGCAAGGAGAACGTACCAACACCAACACTGTAGAAGAAAAGCGACCAAGCATAGCAGATAACCCAGCCGTTCTGGGTCACACCCCAGGCGGCGGTCAACATCAGCAAACCAATAAACATAATGGTCGCATCCTGAATCAGACCCCAGCGACGTCCGATCCTGCGCACCTGTTAGATTCGGCCGGAATTGAGTTTTGGTTCGGCGGGAAGAAACTTACCAGTCACCAATCACACCGACCAAGATCTGGCCGCAGATGATACCAATAATCTCGAGATAATCCACCGCATTCGTCCATTGCTCATCGCAAATCTCGTGGGTGTCCCAGCACGAGGGGAAGGTCTTCTCGAACAGAGGCTTGATGTTTCCAATGGAGAAGAGCACGTAACCCTCGAGACCGAGTCCGGCACCGGGCAGAACCATGTTGCGGAAGTAATATGAAACAGGTGAAAGAGGGTCCTCCTTCATCATGGACCAGATGGTACCAAGCTCACGCTTGGCCTCGCCAGCATCGTAGGAGCTAACGAATTTGATCTTCTGGCCAATGGGGAGATCGGCCCAGTAGACGCCCTTGGGGTTATAGCTGTCCTCGGGACGAATCAGTGAGTCGAAAGCACCCTTCTCGTTGATATCCATGTCCTCTAGCGGGTTGTGAGTGCCGGTCATATCAGGCCCATGAGGGGCGCGCGGTCCAAAGTCGGTCATGATGAAATATAGGCTCGGTGAGAGCTAAACCCGGAAGTTGAAGACTCGGGGCGAGGCAACGCCGGATTGGGGGGAGGGAAGGTCGTGATGACCACGGGGAAGATGTGGTGTAGTAGCACACAGAAGACCCAGAGGGAAATAGAATTTATATATGGACAGAGCGAAAAAAAGAAAGGAAGGACCGGAGCGGCCGAGCTCGAGTTCGGCCATGCTCCATACTCAAGTGGCGGCTCCACTCGAGTAGCCTTCCACCGAGAAAAAAAAAAGTCTGCGCCTTCCGGTGGTTCGGAAGACGAAAACAGATTCGGTGGATCTGAGTTGTAAGGCCCGCATCCAATCACCGGGGCACGTGGTGGCAGAATCCGGACCTGTCCGCCCTCATTAGGCCCACCGCCTGCACCTCGCCTGCAACTACTCGTGAGATCTGCCAAGTGTGGGGCGTCCTTCGCCGTTCCAACTCACGACATGGCGCCCCAGAAACTATTACACCCGACCCCCCTGAGAGGAGTCGTCGATGTAATGCGCATTTTACACGTGGTGTCGGTGGTAGCAGCGTATGCAAGCGAGATCAGCGATAACGGGGACCCTGACCCGGTACCTATCGATGTGGTCCCAGTGTCCCCGAACACTGGGAGATCCCCAAATCCGCTACCACAGGGGCGCACGTGTGGTCCTTCCTAATCCGAAAGCTCGCGTGCTCCAGGGCCAGATTGACTCGACCCGAACAGCCTGGGCGCTTTAAAGAAGCAGGCTAATTCAAAGCTAATGCACTGGCACAATTACTGTAGCTGTTGAAGTGTGGTTGAAATTGATAGACTTCGCGCTAATATCTGGGGGCGCACGCATTGATTGTCAACCCCGCGGGCCAGTCAGATTCCCCGCTGTGCCCATGTGCTCGCCCACCCTTGTTCACGCTGTCAGTTGGATCCACCCTTGTCCTCCAGGCCTTCCTGTTGAGTCTTTCTGCCCCGGCTCTTGGTCCTTGCCTCATAAGGGTTGGTCTTGGTACGAATCACCGTCATATGCCGCTTCTTCCTGCATGCCTAGTCCGGTGCGCTCCGGCTACCTTCCATCTACGGAGTAGTTCTTGGCTTGAGGCATATCCGGGCTGGGCCTTGGCGCCTTGGTCTTGGCCCATACTTGCTAGTACTCTGCCATGCACATGTCTGGTAGCCTTCATGCATAAGCATATCCAAGCAATGCCGGTCTGCATCTATCATTCTTGGAATCGCTTGGAAATGCTTGACGTTGCCAGCACGTGGTCGGGTAGTCGGTACCTGGCAGAATGGATCTGGACCCTCAACCCTTGAATCAGAATCATTACCTACAACGCCCACACGGGCGTACTCTGTCGGGTTCTCCTAGTTCAGGGCACCCACCAGTGAAACCACTGCACGGCACCGGCGCACGGCACAGGACTCGCATAGACTTTGACTCAGGGGTACGGCGTGGGTACGTCGATCGAGGGCCACATCTACGCCATCCCGACAGACCGTCGCCGGGAAGCGTATAGATCTACTCAATAAGGCTAGCCCATGGAAGGCTGACAAGATTCTACGTCTTTGTCTGGCTGTCTCTGTCGAGCCAGGGGTGCGAGGCTGCGAGACTCGCCCCCGCCCATCACAAACACCGCATTTGTTCTGGAAAGTTGCCTTGCTGAAGAATTCCAGTGCAGCTTCTGCGCCCTGCGCAGATCACTGCAAGATCCAACGAGTGCATCTGGGATCGTCGCCCTGTGCTTTACTCCTGCGAACGCGCGGTACGTTGTAAGCAACGCCCTCAGCTCACCCACCCGCGGTATCCGCCACGTAGTACAACCCACCATGCAAGGTGCATATACCCTTTTTAGTCTGGCAGTGCCGTCTAATCTGAAACTCCAGTGGAAAGCGGCAATACCGAAGCGCCCCATTCTCTTGCGTAAGACCAAGTACACTTGAGCAACGTTCCGAACCCCGTCCGCAGTCGGGGCCTTCATTGACACCAGATCAAGAGGCATCTCTTTGCAATACTCACATCGTGCTGAGCTCGTCCGACCGGGTCGATCGAAATACACGAGTAATCCGAGTCGAAGGCGTGGGCTGGCCATTGAATCACACCAATGACAATTGATCATGATCTTTTTTTTTTCTAGAACCACGATGAGTAGTATAGTATGATGCAAATTTCTCCCATTAGATCCACTCGGAGAGATATCATATGGCCTAAGGTGCAGTTGAACGGGTCCGCCAACGTCGCATTCCAGACACGCCCGGAGATGTTACTTTGGACCAGTCTTCAACTGACCACATCAGGAGTTAATCAAACAAAACAATATGAGATCATCGAGAGGCTCTTGACTATGAACTGGGATCTAAGTATAATCGTAACATGTTGTTTACACCGTGGAGACCGACCTCACCCCAGCGCCCGCGCCGGCTCGGCAGCCGCCAACCAAGGCACCAAAAGCCACCATGCCAAACAATGGTCAACGCAATTAGAACACTGCTGACTCAAGGAAAACCATTGTATCTCTGAGCCCCTTCAATCCTCAGTAAACCTGGTATCGAAAGCGCAAGCTACGACTCGTCGTTGTGCAAAACTTCTAGTGGCTGGCAGCATTCCAGAGACAGGCCGGGAAAGTCAACATGTCGACCCCCCACTCAACTCACCCATCCAGGCATCTGTGCTTGCCCTGTAGAAGCCAGACACGCCTATCATTGCACTGCGACGGTTAATTTTCCGCGATGGACACATGCCATCCCCGATCCACCTGCGTGCCGATATCCTCAATATGCTCCTTTGCACTCCTACCTGCTACCTTTCCTCTGTGCAGCCCATACCGGGAATGATGGCTTGTCTGAACTATTCCGACGCGTTGTCGGGGTCGTATATAAGGATTGGGTCTTGGGAATCGGAGGTTTTCTGGTTTGTTCAGTAAGTAAAGTAGATTTTTTTCGATACACTCTGGTGAGTTAGCCCTCATTCATGACAATTCCCACCCATGCTGAGTACTTGTCAAGCAGGTCTCACGGCTCTGTTTATTCGGGCTGTTGGTTAGTTCCCAGACTCCAACACAGTCCCATCATCGATAAAAAAAAATCCATCCATCGACGACACTTACTGGTCACGATGAAGGTTGACTTCAAGAGTATCTTCCCGGCGATAACCGCCTTCATCGCATTCATCCTCACGCTCCTGTGCCTCTTCGCGGGATCTCAGAAGGACCTCTTGAATAATGCGGACCTCCTTACGGTACGTCGAAGGAGTAGGATTCACGCAGACGACAGATGCTGACCCGCACCAGCTATACACCCCCGAAGGTCACTCGGACACGGCCCACAACTTCTACTCCGTCCATGTCATGTCATACTGTCAAGGCGTCCTGGGAACAGTGGACGCCGGTGAGACGAGCGTGGCACGCAACGTGACCGAGTGCTCGAGCCGCACGCTTCTGTTCGCATTCAACCCGACCGATGCTTGGCCCGAGGAGATCATCACCCACGGACCGACGCTAGAGTGGCCGCGGGTGATCAGCGACGACTTCAACGCCTTCAGTTTCACGAGCCGATCAATGGCAGTATTTTATATTATCGGAGTGGGTGCGATCGGATTTGCCCTTGTGTCTTGCTTGTCGTCGGTGATCACTCGGAAAGCACAGACGGGCCTATTTGAGTTTGGGTTCATGGTGGTAAGTCATTCGGTCTCGTGGCAGGGGGTTTTGTTTTCTACATCCACTAATAGCCGGGTCCTGTAGCTCGGTGCTTTGAGTATCAGCATTGCGTCCATCATTGCGACGGTTATTGCCTTTGAGTTCGTTGCGCTTATTAACGCACACGGCGATGGTTCCGACGTGTCAGCACAATACGGCGAGAAGTTCCTCGGTATGACCTGGGCTTCAACGGCCTTGCTGCTGGTAGGTACTATCAGCTGTTTCATCAATGTCTTTGTCCGAGGCTACGAGGAACAGGAGCCGGAGATGCCCGTCGGAAAAGATGAGGAGGAGGGCTGAAGAGGGGTCCTCATGGTGGGGGAGAGAGATAGGATGCTTGAGCGCGGCCCGAAACGGACGCGGACACCGGAGGCACATAGGTCGGGTGAAGTCGTGCGAGGGAACATGTTTCAATAGTTTAATATGATATGACCTGCAATGCCACCTGAATGAATAACTTGGCCAATGAGATGGATTGAAGCCCTTGTACGTCGGGCATGTAAGAGAGTTGAAGCCCGTGTCCGTCGGGCATGTAAGAGGAAGCGAAATTGACAACCTGGCGACCGTCAGAAGGACTAAGAAGTTCGTGGAACCAATGACACAAGAGGCATCGGACATGGTGTCGGTGGCAGGACCGATTAGGAAAACATGAGTCCGGGCGTGTTGGAAAGGAATAGACGATGATTCGAGATCGTTCCAACCTCGGCATAGTGGACGACTAGCGGGAAGGAAAAACTGGGTCTGGCTTGTCACCCGTTCATCCGACGTCACTGCGGAGCAAATCACCAGTCGATCTAGTCGACTGAGTAGACTGCCTAGACTGCGACTATCGCGTATCAGATGGGCGCTTTTTGCACCTGTCAGACCCCGGGACCTAGGAACACTGTCCTCCGGGGGGAGGCTATTGCTGGGGGTTTGACTTCCCGACTAAGCCCCGGGGTGCGCCAAGGGGAGATGAGGTTCAAGCCGGAATGCGGAGAGCGTCCACGGGATTTCCCGGACTCACCCCCATGGTGTTCGGTGAATCTTTTTAGAGAACGGAGATGAAGAAACAGAAAGGGGAATGGCCGGGTTGGAGAGAGGAACCAGGGCCAAAGTGGGTTTAGCTAGATTCTGATTTAGTCTCTTCTGTATAGGACGACTGGATGAGGTTGCACGGCAAAGCGGGGGTTACACTGCCGGGCCCATCAATGGAATTGTATCGAAAGGTCGGGGTGTACAGAGAATGAAGAACGGAATCAAATTATCGTGGGCTCTACTCATGTTCTCGGCGTACTCAATGTGCTCATCCATGGGTTTGAATCAAGGCGGA